GTCGTTGCTTTGTGAAGCACTTCTATTGTAAGCCTATTTAGATAAGAGTCTAAGTGGAAGCACGTAACCATGTTGAGTCGGTGTGTTGCCACTAGGTGTGTGGTGATGCTAGTTATAAATCGGTGCAGGTTAGGTACAGGTGGCTCTTTGTGTGTAGGTCCCTCATAGGGGGTCTTTTCTTGAAGTGCTGCCAAAAGCCCCAGTTTATCCAACATTGTTTGGCACCTTAGGATAATGTCCTTTGGAGCTGCATTGGGGGCCTGTGGCGATTTGGAGATTCTGTAAACTCCGTCAAATAGGAATGTTTTGGCATGTTTTGTCGGCAGTACCGCGATCACTAGGCGCCGAATGAAGTGGGGCAGTTCCCCTAGTGGCACAGTCTCTTGCACCCCCACTGATTTTGATATTCTTACGTCGGCCCCTGTCGTCCAGCAGGGCTGGACAGATTCTCCTGAGCCCTTTGCAGTTGTCGTACTGTGTCGCCCAGTGTGTGGAGGCTTTGCTTTCGGTCTACAACTTCTTTCTCTGTTGCTTGAGTGCGTGCAGTCACGGCCTGCACTTCTGTAGTGAGCGCCGCCAAGTGTCCTTCACACATCTGTTTTAAGATTATGTTGGAGGCCTGCCAGCATGGTTTGAATGTCCCTTTTAGTGGCTGGGACGCCATCATTTGGTACCAGCGATGGCAGTGGGAACTTGGTGGGAGGCTATAATGTGTTTCTCCCTCATCTGAGGGTTAGGTAAGGCCTCTCAGCTAGTGGGTTCCTGCAGAACACTGGGCGTTTGCAGCATTTGACATATGTCACGCTGTGCCTTCGAGGTGTTTGGGGTCTGTTTTGGGGTTTTCCGACCCATCTCACCTGCGAGGTGTTGATCGTTCTGTTGGTCTTCCAGGCTGGGTGTATACCACGGCCAGAGCTCCTCCGTAAGCTCCCTTTGCTGTCCACTCACGAGGTAGGCCTTGCTGCCGAGGCGTCAAGTTTTCATGCCGGGAGTCATGAAAAACGGTTTCGGCTTTGTCAGAAAGGTGTTCCGCATGCAGCTGTGTTGTGTGAGACTTTGTATTTCGCTGGATGGACGCGATATTTGGTAGTTTTAATTTGTTTTACTCAGAGCTCAGGGAAATGGCTTACGCTCCGGTGCAGTATCAGGCTCCGCCCTTGAGTGTTTTGCATTTTCATTCTTTGTTAAAGGAGAATATATTCTAGTTTTTCTTACTTCTCCTAACTTCTTACACCTCCTAACAGTTATGGCTCCATCAGACAGTTCATACTTAGGGCTCCTCTCAAACTTTCAGGTATTGCTCACTGGGTCCCACTTCTAAGAACACCAGAGAAAAGTCCTCAGTCAGCACAGTACTTTATTAGACATGCTCAAGCATGTGTTCACATCTACATTCAGCTCATGAGCGAAGTGCTTTAACAGAGCAGTTCAGAATGGTTGGAGAAGGTGACTCATCATTGTGCGTGTACACATTTTGCTGACGTGCCCCGTTTTCAGGCAGGCCCTCCTTCATCGCATCAGGGCATGCTTTTTCCAGTCTTACCAATATTGGGAAGCAACACGAAGTTTGAAGCTAGAAGCTACATGAATGACGTGTGCATATAGCAGATTTATTTTGTAATCTATGACGAGATACATCCATTAGGTTCTTAGAAAATATTAAAATAAGACATGATTGATATATATCTATCTAAAATAAACTTATCAGAACTCTGTCAAGCTTTCTTAGGCGTTAGGCTTACCTGTTAGTGTTGTGACATTGTAGAACATATTAAATTAATATATCTTTCTTTTGATTTGATTTTTCTTGGCCCCTTGGGGATCATACATTATGCATTCCCTTTATTTCACAACATGACTGGTATGCATTTTTGTTCTCAGTGGATTAAGGGCTACAATTTTACCAGGTATACCCCAATGTACGTTCCAGGATCTTGCTGGTATTACTTATCCTACAGGAGTAAGCATGCTGCTAGGTGATCATGGATTTCTTTGTATGTCCTTTAAATACTATTGAAAGGCTGATTCTTCTCCTTGCACATTTTGGCTGTAACACAGTATTTCACTGTTTAAGATAAATGGCGGAAGTTCATGAGCTCTAAGAATCCCTTACAGTGGTTTGTTCTGTTAAAACTCATAAGATGTACCTAATAAGGTCTCCAATTAATTACATTATTAAATCACTATTCGAAAGTTGTTCTCATTTTTATAGAATGTAATACTTGGCATCACATTCTAATTTAGAATTTTTACATATTTATATTGTTCACTTGTAGCTGTGGCTATTTATCAGCATCTCTCTCTAGATCAGTTCCAAGAAGAACTTCTAAAGTGCATGCATACGTCTTTGGGTAAAATATGTACTATGTACCCAAATCTTTATGTAGTTGATCCAGAAGAAGGCAACAATTGGGGGGGGCAGAGCAAACAGCGGAGCCGTTCGGAAGCCATTTCAAACGGCTCCTGAAAATCTAATCTAATCTCCTCCAAATCACAACAATCCCGCACAATCCAGGGATCACGAACCCCTCAAAAGAACAAGGGGCTCCTGCTGCATCGACTGATGCCCTTCTTCACGCCGCCTAAAATACCAAAGTGGAGGGGCAGGCCTGGGGCCTACACCACACGCAGCCAGACTGGGAAGCGCTGCTATACGGGGCCTACATGGCGGACGACTCAGACTTCTACCCACTAACGCAAACAAAACCCCCCGCATAAATGCCAGCAAGGGGGCAGCGCTCCCAGAAAACCAACACCCAGACGGAGCACCGCGACATCGGAACACTGCTCCAAAAACAAGCACGGCCCATGATGGCGCCCACAGAGAATGCTCAAACCGAGGCTCCCACACCACAGACGAGCACCGCCAACAAGGTGAGCTGGGCGACTTTGACTCAGGGGCACCCACTCCCACAGAGATCCCAGAAACCGCGACCCCAGCAACCAAACATGACCTTAAACTCCTGCTGCGTGACTTCCACAAAATACTCGCGCCTGAGTTAGCTGTCCTCCAATCAGACATACAGAACACCACCAACAGGGTGAGAGCTAATGAAGAGGACATATCCGACCTACAAGTGGGGCTATCTAATGTGCAATCCACAATACACGAGCTTACACAAGCACATCAAACACTGTCACTACAAATGACAGCTATGGAGGACCGGCACAGACTGCACAATATCAAAATCTGCGGGGTACCAGCAGCTATCTCCACGGAAGAACTGCCACACTTTGTCTGCAGAATGCTAGCCTCGATTATGCCCCAGACTACAGTGAGAATTGTTATTGACGGGGTATACAGACTCCCCGGGCCAACCTAGCCAGCACCGCACCCCGCCAGAGATGTTATTCTCCGGTGCATGACGCTACATGACAACGGACAAGTTATGTCTGCCCTGAGGGGCAAAACGCCTCTGGCATTCGAGGACGCCCACCTCACCTTTTATCAGGACTTGACAAAAACGACCCTGCAATGGCGCAAGACACTTGCACCAGTAAGGCAACGACTGTGGGCAGCAGACATCACCTACCGCTGGGGACCACCTGGGACCCTACAAGTGACTCACAATGGGACAATACAATCGCTCACCTCTCTAGCAGAAGCACCCAAGTTCTTCTCCACATTGGGACTGGCAGACTGACTGGCCCGGTGGACGCTGCACATGGCAGGGTATGGGACCCCGCAACGGTCAAGCCCTTTGTCCCAGGAACTGACAGGGAAGCTAGCCCAGACACCTGAAAACAACCGGAGGCAGACGAGCTGCAAAAGAGACTCTAGTTGCTCCACCTAACTTCAAACGCACCTCAGGCCTCCTCATGAACCCGGGTTCTTATTGTTCTTACTGCTTTTACTTATGTTACTGTTATGCTTATTTTTATTGTTTTTCACTATAAGAGCACCAATCACTTTGCTTACATCCACCCAATCCCCATACGAGACAATGAAGTGCAAGATCCCGACCCCCCTCACCCGCACTGCGGTAAGGTGCACACACAGAGACAAAGCCTACCAACCTCAACCGGCAGACAAAAATAGTCCTGGTGGGCAAAATATAACACCTTTAACAAAGCCTGTTTTGACGTGGACCGCAGGCCCGAGTCTCCCTCCCCCCCCACCCATAAGTTCACCACCACTCTAGTCAGGTCAGTAGCGCCTGCATCGGCCGGTCCTTAAAGCACACAAATTAAGCAAAGTACCTTGGTTGCGAAAGGCTAAACGTTAATCGCATACTATACGCACAATCCTTGATTACTTGCACTGTTAACCTTCTTAACTCCACCACTTACTACTGACATGTCCAGTACATTAACTACAAACAACCTGAAAAGCCAGCACCGCATAGACCGTAAATAATCAGATGTGATCACATGACATTTCCATGCACTGTCTTTTCCATATGCTATGTTTTACTCTGTTTCCTAGTTTTCTCATGACCATTAACAAAAAATGTGAAACGCGTTTTAAATGCCAAATTAATGTTATCTTATGTCTAAGAACAGTTTGCACCAGCAGTTGCGACAGTGTAAACCGACTTGTATAATCTATGCACAAACAAAAATAAAGAATTTAAAAAAAAAACGGCAACAATTGCCACAAAAAGTAAAAATAAATTTTTTATTACACAATGGAAATGCACTTTAATTATATCCTTGAATATTTGGTTTTTAGAAAAAAAATTATTACAGGCCTTTTTAAAAAATATCTGTAGATTCCGGTAAAAAAACTCTTTAGGTAGAAAATTCGACATCTTTATTGTACTTACGGTAAAGAACTTTCCTCTGCTCTCAGCGAAAACGCCTTTCTTCTGGTCTCAATGGATGACCTTGTTTTTTTACTATAATCTTACTAATGAACAGGTTAGCAAATAGCAGTTTTACTGGCTTTTATAGATTTATATAATGCTATCATATCCCCTTCTATAAAACAAAAACAAGTGTCCGTTCTTCATCAACGTTTTCTATGAGAGGGGATATGATAACATTATACAAATATATTCGGGGCCAATACAAACCATTGTGTGGAAATCCATTCACAAACCGGACTTTACATAGGACACGAGGTCATGCGTTTAGACTGGAAGAAAGAAGATTTCGTCTAAGGCAAAGGAAAGGTTTTTTTACTGTAAGAACAATCAGGATGTGGAATTCTCTGCCTGAAGAAGTGGTTTTATCAGAGTCCATACAGATGTTCAAACAGCTACTAGATGCATACTTGCAAAAACAGAATATTCAAGGATATAATCTTTCAATGTACGGTAATAACTGCTTGATCCAAGGATAAATTTGACTGCCATTCTGGGGTCAAGAAGGAATTTTTTTCCTAGCTTGTTGCAAAATTGGAAGTGCTTCAAACAGCAAAAAAACAAATGTTAGGAAGGCTGAACTTGATGGACGCAAGTCTCTTTTCAGCTATGTAACTATGTAACTATGTACTATGCAATATTCCTTTCATTTTAAAGCTCGCATCTGCACTTTTTCTAGTTCTGCAATATCCTTCTTCAAAATTGTTGCCCAAAATTGTGCTGCATATTCAAGGTGGGGTCTCACCATTGATTAATAAAGAGGTGAAATTATATTATGATCATGTGAATCAAAACCCCTTTTTATACTTTATAGCACTTTACTAGCCTTTGCAGTGGCAGACCACCATTGCACACTGTTGCCTAGTTGTTATCTATAATTGTTCTAAGTCCTCATTTTTATGTCATCTCTAAATCAACCCCATTTAATGTAAAAGTGGTTTGTTGGTTCCTTATTACAAAATGCATGACTTTATCTGTATTGAGTCTCATCTCCACAGCCTGCACAGTCTCCCAATTTGTTAAAATCTCTCAGTAGAGTTATTCTGTTGTGTCCAGACTGTATTATTTTACCTAATTTTATGTCATAGGCAATGCCAACACATGGTATTCAATGCTCACTTCAATATAATTTATAAATGGATTAAAGAGGAGTGGTCCCAGGGCAGAATCCAGAGGTACTCCCCTTACCACTTTTGTCCAGTTTGAAAATTTTCCATTTACAACTACTTTCTGCACTGTCTTTGAGCCAATGTTCTAGGTATATTTTTCATCTGAACTAACTGGTTTGTTTTACTAGTAAGCTTTTGTGTGGAACTGTATCGAACACCTTTGCAAAATTTAAATAGATCACATACCCTTGGAAAATCCTAAACCATATTTCTACTAACTTCTTCATAGGAGGCGATTTAGTTAGTCTGGCATAACCTCTTTTATAAAGCCATGTTAATTCCTACTTATATTGTTGTTCAAAATGAATTTGTTAATGCTATTCTTTACCAGTCCTTCAAATAACTTCCCACCAAAGATGCTAAGGTTATAGGTCTCTAGTTTCCGAGTTGAGCTGTTGAACCCTTTTTAAGGGGTTAAATATGGCCTCCCCACCCATAACTCTCATAAAACGCAAAATCAATGAAGCAATGGATAAACTTTCCACCCTTGTACACGACACCATCAAGCACTTTGCCAAAATATGGGAGCGATGGATCTTTGAATTCTCAACCCTACCGAACAACACACTCCGCAGGACAGACTAGGCGGGAGGACGTACCTTTGGGGAAAATCCTCCGAGGACCATCCCCACACCTTACCAACCTTGTTGCCCCCCTCTCCTCACCCCCTCCTACATTACCTAACCAAGCCACCTCAATAACTATCCCCTCCCCTACCGGACCAACACACCTACCCTATTCCATACACACTCCAACACACACACATCCCCCCGCCGAAATGGAAATGGCGACCCCCACAGGACACACCAACTCTACATCTAAAGACCAAAGGCACCAATCACACAGAGACACACAAGGAACTCAAACATGTTCCCTCGACCTAACCTAAGCTGACACAATATAGACCATTACACTACACAGGGACAGGGCACACCTACTGCAGAACCCGCAAAACAGGGGTATAACAAACAAGACCCAAACAAACGTCTTTAAAACAGGCAGCGACTCTAGAACTAGGGAGCCACATCCCACCCACAGCGGAGACAAAACTGGCAGACCACTACCCACAACACAAGGAACACAAACAACCCAGCAATGTCTTAACCAAAATGCGCTCACTTACGTAGCAACCCAATCAAGGACCCGCACAAAGACCCTATAAAAGGCGACATACGACATCAATAACACGAACAAACCCCGAAGGAACAGACATATGGAGCGCCCACGACCCGGCATAACATCCCACACAATGAAAGGTCGTCACACACAACAAATGAACCTCTACACCCACTTGATACCCCCCCTCTCTCTGCTTCCCGTTTCCATCTCCACTGACACCTTAAGCTCCTCCCGAAAGGAGTACTACAAATATATGCCGAGCAACATTCAGGAAAACTGATACAAATTAGGCACAACAATGCAATGCATAAGCCAATACCTGACTTATTAATATTGTTATAAACTGTTATATGTTAAACTAACATTTCATCCCAATCTCTTCTTTCTGTAACCCTCTCCCCATAAAGTACAAAAACGAAACACCAACAAAATAAAGAATTTATAAAAAAAAAAAAAAAAAATGGCTACCCAACGCTATACCAGTGGCTTTCTGACTGATTGGTAGCCTCTGGGGGAGAGGGCAAACTAGGATGTTGATTTCCTAGTCGTATTGTTGCAATCTACTACTGCTGGTAGTAGGGTTGTGGTCTGGGCCTCATTTGGACTAACTCTCAAACTCGAGCTTCACTTTACGGACTTCTTCTCATCCTGTAACTGTACCTTCATCTTCCTCTTATCCTCTATGATTTTCCCTGGCTTTCTCTCAGCTTTTCTACCAGTACACTTATGGGTAAAATAAATTTATTTTGTTTCTATGTGGTGGATGACCATCTCTTGCCATCATGCACATTTTGTAACCATAGGGGACATGGGTTTCTTCTGGTTCCATTGTTATAGCAGTTTGTGCCCTTATACACTCATTTTTTCATGTCTTACTGAACAATGTAGTTATCATGTACTGGTATTTGCTCTCGTATGTTGCTTTCTTTTTTTCTTCAATAAAAACTAAATGAATTTTATATATATATATATATATATATATATATTAGCAGGACTGCTACATATATATCCACCTAACTGCTTTTTCCAATCCTCTGATATGATTCCAGAAGAATTAAAAACAATTGTATGGATATTTCTACATGAAGTACTCATGGGTGAATACCATCTGGACCTGGGGCTTAACTTGCATTAACCTTAATTGTTGTAGCACTGTATCCTGTGCTGACCAATCACACATTTGCAGGGATTTGCAAATTTACAGCCCTAGATTATTTCATATATACATTGAAGGAAAAATATATGTAGTATTACTGCCTTGTCCTGATCCTCCTTGATTAACACACCCATCTCAGATTCCACTTGACAAACACTGTCTCTCTTAACCCTGCTCACCCCAAATCTGCAGGGCGTTCCATGCCCTCTTACAGGCATTTGAGCCCACTCTGTGTAGGGCAGTATGGAAAGTTCCAATGTCATTAAAGGGGTTAAACCTTTACACACACAATAGCAGCTTCCATAAGATAAACCACAATACCCAGATTCAAGGATTCAGGTCTTCTAGTATAGGTTATTGATGACTTGACTCCAACCATTATATTGGGATGATGTGGTTATAGTTATCAATATCAGTTTAATACATTGTAATAAAATCTATATCATAGTGTATTCCCATTGGCAATCTCCATTAATGAATGCATTGTCTAATTTCTTTTCATATAATTTCCATGTGATTGTTTCCAATGCATGATAGAAATAGAAACAAACTGACAGACTAGGTTCATTTTCTCTGTTTTAGTTTATTTTTAAAATGACAGTTTTAACATCTTCAAATGATAAAACAGTGGTGCTGTTATAAGAAATGTTTTAGTAAAGACAGATGAATGGAGTTTGTTAGAAACTTCAAAAGTTTGAAGAATTTTGTTTTAAATGCACAATACCGTACCACATTTTTATTCTAAATAAATAACTGTACATTAAAGTAATACTTCCTGTTCACATTGCCTCTCAGAAGCAGCATTTTTTTCCTAAGTTGAAGTAATAGCATAAAACAATTACTACCTAAAAATATAAACTTTTCTTTTAATCTTTAATGTGACAAATGTGCATTTAGCTTAAAAAATATACTTGTTCTTACAATATAAACGCATGCTTAGGTGCAGAATTATCAAACTTGTCTTCCATTGGTAGAGAGAGGTCTTTAACCTCTCTACTACCAAACAGTTTGCAAAAATAGAACATTTGATACCTGATGTGCTAGCACATACATATATGATACGGCAGCAATTGTGTATAGACTACTGTTCAAATACAAATGAAAATTGTGTATGTACACAATTTTTATTAATTTGTTCATCCTTTATAGAACTATTGGGGAAATGAAAAGCTTTAGACAGAAAAAAAAGCCAACAATTTCTCACACCCAGTAGGTGCCCCAAAACGTGTTAAATATCCTGCTTAAAGGACCCTGAATGCATTTATTAGCAATATTGTTTACTAAAATGGCAAAAGAATGTCTTAATTTGAGCGTAATTCCCACTTACAGTTAAATCATGTTTGTAAAAATACAAATACTTAAAACGTGTTATAGCAATCTGCCTAAAACTCTGTAATGCCAATAGCGACACGAGAGACCACCTTCTCTCCTTCTTCCTCCCTGACTTTAATGGACCACTATAGTGCCAGGAAAACACTAGTTTTCCTGGCACGATAGTGCCCTAAGGGTGCCCCCACCCTCAGGGTCCCCCAGGCTCTAGGAGGTGAAAGGGGTTAAACTTACCTCTTTCTCCAGCGCCGGGCCGGGGACTCACCGCCTCCTCGGCTGAATGCGCATGCGCGGCAGGAGCCGCGCCCACATTCAGCCAGTCCATAGGAAAGCATTCACAATGCTTGCCTATGGACACTGGCGGAAGCGCCTCTAGCGGCTGTCAATGAGACAGCCACAGGAGGCTGGATTAACCCTATTATAAACATAGCAGTTTCTCTGAAACTGCTATGTTTATAGAAAAGAGGGTTAAACCTAGCTGGACCTGGCACCCAGATCACTTCATTAAGCTGGAGTGGTCTGGGTGCCTATAGTGGTCCTTTAAGAATTGTGTTATCCTTAACTGTTTGAAAGGGAACTATCATTTATAGGCCATTTGCAGATACTGAGTGAAATGGGTTCTTCTACAAGCTGTTAATCATTCCTGGGGTATAAACAAAGGCAAGTGAGGCTTTATAGACTACATTTTGTTTAGCAAAGCAAATTAAAGTAAACACATGTATATATGTTTTTGGTAGTGAAGAAGTTAGAGGCACAACGTACCTATACATGTCAGGTAACATTTCTGTGCTGGATGTTTTTTTTTTTTTTGGAGTGGTGGGGGGCTGGGGGATTCGTTTTGAATAACCTGCAGTATTTCCCTTTTTTGCTCCAAAATGAGTGATCTGATGTAATGATAGCTTTTTACGACAGCAAGCCGATAGTTCCATTCCAACTCCCAGACATACCTCCCAACAAGGGCCTTGTCTGACCAGCCCATGAGCATTACCCTAATTTCTAATTTGCCTCAAAATGTACATTTGCACTATGCAGACTGGGGACATGTCCCTACTTTCACAAGATGCGAAGCACCAGAGTGCTAACCAGGGATGGCTGCTGAGTAGCCTAAACCCAGGAAAGTTGGTAATAAGTAGTATGGTCACTGAGGGGAGTTGCAACAAATACTGGATCCTCAAATGTTATTTTTAATAAAAGCATGGGGCACCTCCTGCCTGCATTGTCTTTTTAAGAAGCCACAAAACTTGGATTTCCAAAAATGAATTCAAGTACAGCAACACTCTTTAAACGTCTCTTAATCATACTTGAAAGTGCAGGAAGTTTTCAGTCTCTGATTATATCCTCTCCACTATCAGAACTATTGAGTTTACCTATACTTAGGATTTCAACAGCAACAAAACAAAGCCCCATCAGTTATTTAATAATGTGAAAATTGGTAAGTAAGATCCACATGGTAAGTTATTTGTATGCACCTACATAGGTCCAGCTTTGCTCAGGGCAGAAGTCACAGCAGTCTTGCAATTTCATGGTAAACTCATCATTAAATTTGTGCCAGTCTTAAGCCAGTTAATTGGAAAAAATGTCAGATGAAATATTCCAAAACTGCAGCAACTGAGTAAGCCAAATAAAGTGTGAATGGGATCCACAATTTAAATACGTTCTCAATAAAATCCGCAGTTTAAAGTGTAATTAGTAAAATTCTCAAGTGATAGACTGATCAGAAAACCAAAACACTTTCGAAACCTTAGAGTATCTACATTACTAAAATTCACAGTCAGAGAAGTATTAAAGGATCACTATAGGGTCAGGAATACAAACATGTATTCCTGAACCTATAGTGTTAAAACCACCATCTAGCCCCCCTGGGCCCCTCATGCCTCCATAAATATAGTAAAACTCTTACTGTATTCAAGCCAGAAGCTGTAAATCTGCATGCTGTTAGACTCAGAAAAACAAGCAGTCTGCTGACATGTGGTAGCCTGATCTAATCACAGTGCTTCCCCATAGGATTGGCTGAGACTGACAAAGAGGCAAATCAGGGGCAGAGCCAGCATGATTTAAACACAGCCCTGGCCAATCAGCATCTCCTCATAGAGATGAATTGAATCAATGAATCTCTATGAGGAAAGTTCAGTGTCTGCATGCAGTGGGAGGAGATACTGAATCACAGGATGCTGTGCACAGTGCTGCCCTGTGCTCTGCTGACAGCAGATCTGAGTGGATGGAGGCATAATATGCCTCCACCAACTCAGAAGTCCCTCTGGTTTACTCTGAGTGACTGTAACTGGAGGTGTTCCTAGCTTTGAATTCAAACACTGTATTTTCTCAGAAAATAGTGTTTACATGAGAAAGGCTGCAGGGAGCTATAGTTCTCACCTGAACAACCTCATTATAGTCACCTGAACAACTTCAGCTTAGTGTCACTTTAAGATCTCACAGGGTTCTAGGCAGGTTAATGATTTGTTTCCTCTTTATTTTTTATATAGGGACGATGAATGGGTGTAGGTGGCTATTTACTTATGTCACTTTATGGGTAATCCTGCTGTAATCTCAGTTGCAATTTTAGCTATTATTCTAGGGAAAAAACAAACTTATGTAATACATTAATAGTAAAGCACAATGTAACTCCTTCACAAGACAATACACAAAACTTGTCATCACTTGTCATCAGGGATAATTTCCTAAGCAGTCATCTTGAATGGGCTAAAAACTGTAATAATTATATGTTTTGGAAATCAAAGTGTTTGGCTCAATTTAACAATTGCAACCATAACCAATTGAATTATTCAGTTAACCAGATCTTTGCATAGAACAAGGGGCCTGAAAATGCGCAGAAAATATTGAAATCTATGCAATGTCGAAATGTTTTACACCGCATATAGCTTACTGTATTCTTCAGCTCAAATCATCTGGTTTTGTTCACATCTGTAATTGCACTTATCCATCTTTATAACTATTTATATTATGTTAGCATTTACAGTTTAATTTATTACAACATTAACTAGCAGTGATGTGTTAAATTCTGTATTTTTTTTGTGACGTTCACAGTGAATTAATCTCTGGTTAAGGGCAGTCGTTATATCTACCTATTCCTTGTTTTACTGTGCTCTTTAGTAGGTCCCTCCTTGGGACCACCCATTTCCTGCCTTCCTAAGGATGAGGCCATGGATGATTACAGGTGGAATGGAATGTCCAATAAAAACACGGCAGAGTACTTTTGTTTCCATGGTGATGACAATAAAAACTTGCTCACCATTGGCATAGCATGCATGGCAAGCACAGGAGAACCCTCTTCCAAGTGTCTTTTTACCATCCTCCGCTATAATTACAAAGCATGCATTGTAGTTGATGTGATAATTCCTACAAGTCATTCACTTTTCCAGAGGAATATAGGAACAGAATTAAAGACATCACTCTATTCACCAACTGACGTGCTGTCAATTAAACAGTGTAGTTATGGGGAAATTTTGCCTAAGAACCCAGGAAATTATGGCATCTCAGACCCACTCAAGTGTTTGGGAATGCACCCCATTGAGTTTGGAAGAGAAGTAGACTATTTCCTTTGGCTACACTGTAACCAATCTGGCCTTTATTAAAAAAAATATATATATACATAATGAGCAATGTCCTTCTAGACTTTCATTGTGCTAAGCTCACTATGTTGTTTTTGTGTTATGGATAGATCTATAACTAAATCTAGTTTTATTATACAAGTTTGTTTATAATGCTTCAAGGCTGCCCAAAGTTCTACAAATAGTTTTTTTGTCAGTAGTGGGAGGAAGCTATCATGGCTTCCCTGAATTATGTTTTATGGATTTTAAACATACTTTTATGAGGTTTAGTGAATAAAAACTAAAAAGGAGCTCCGTCAAAGTGCCTGTGAGTTACTAATTTCAAACCAAATAAAGAGCTTAGTCCTTAAAGTAAGCATGTTACAAGTGACAAAGGATGCCACCAAGTATTTCAGAGCAGAACCCAAGAAGGGAGACAACAATTAACTAATATCTCAGTATGACAAGAAGGGCTCAGTTCAAGATAGCTGGTAACTGAGTGCAAGTGAATGCTGGATCTTTCACCCTGCCTCAATGACTCCACCATTCTATGTTTTATCAATATCTCAACTAATAGAGTAGACTCTAAATTCTGGACCAATGGAGGTCTATAAGGATTGGGTTGTGAAGCTCAGCTCTAAACCCCAGGGGAGATGGCTGTGGTGCAAAATGTAAGTAAGAGGTGTGTTGCCTGTTATTCAACATCCCTTCCAACGTAATAATCAGATTTCCTTCTTTTCTATAAAATAAGGCACTAATTTAGCAATTTTTTTTTTTTAAATGTGGTTTTAAAAAACAGTAACAAGCATTTCACAGCTGTATTAAAAACAAAACAAACTGTTATTCATGCACTAAAGATTAAAATAAACTCTGTAAAAGTTAGTTATATCTATTTTATATATTTATATTTACATATTTATATATACATATATTTTATGAAAACTCTTATGTACAATGTATCAAATACATTTTTTCTTTACTTACACAAACTCTTGCATTTTTTTTTTTTGTGCCGCAAAAGCAAATTACATTTATGAGCTACCCATACTTCTCTGAGAAGCTAAACCCTTTCTGAGCTCAAGGGCTGTGCAATCCGTCATTCGCCACCCATGGATCTAGAAAAACGGCCCTGATGTAAACATTGTTGCAATGTTTCAAAGTCGCCTCGTTCCCATGTCGTTTGATGTGTACCTCTTTTATTAGAAAGTATTTTATATATATTTTTTGTTTTTCATTTTATCCCTAAACAGTTTTGGGATTGAGGTAGGAGGGATTCTTTCAGATTCAGTGACCACAAAAAAGAAAAGTGTCTTTAATTTGCTGAGAGCAGTTCACTTGCATTCACATGATGATTAGGGGTCCGGTGGTTATTGTCATTTAAAGATGTAACATGTCCGTTGGATAGAAGTCTTTGTGTGGCCATTTCTTTGGTTACTGGCTCTGATGTGGTGCCTGGTATTTGTTGTAGAAAACTTTTAGATACTGGGTGTTCTTCATGGAACCCTTCTGTATGCGTTGACCTCAATAATGGCTCTCTGCATGGACCTATGGGAGATATTTATTATGTTAGCTTGTATTTTTAATCATCTGACAGTATGCAACACTGACTTGCGGAGATGAAATCTCAATATGTCGCTATAAAAATCCCTTTAAAATTTTTTTTAGAAAAATCATACAGTGTTTGTAGTTTTAAACTTGTCAGGAAGGTCAATATCCTTCTACTAAAAGCTGGCTGAGCATCGTGGAGATTCCATGGTTATCATTCCCTTGGTCTTCTACTCAATAACTATAGCCATACATGAACCAAATATAGGTGCACTTACCTTCTATGGAAGGGTCTACTGAAGGGGACGTTAAGGTAGAAGTGACTCCTTCATGACTGCTTGCATAAGCTGGGCTTGTGTGATTTTGTTTATGATTGCCAAAGGTCCCAGCAATCTGATGACAGGAAGTGTCGTTATTCCCATATACATCATGGTTGCTTAGTGGCTTATGATATGAATAGTCTAAAGATTCCAATGCCTGCTGGCAGTAGTCTGAATCCTTGTCATATGGGGTATGATCATCTAAACAGTCTGTGCATTTAATCTGGAATCCATAACCTGTGAGGAACAGAGGCAAAAAGAAAAGAAAAAAATATTTTCAGAGACATCATTTCACCTCTACTATGCCATAGCTATTGACAAACGATAGTGTAGCTCATTGATGTTCTGGGTATGGGCTGCATTAGAGAGAAACATCATTCTAAAAAAGCATGCCTTTCTCACATTTTTCAGATCTAGGTAGTGCAATTGAAGAGTCTTTGATTAATTACATATATTTTTGTCCTGAGTAGGATTTTGCATTGATCACTCTTACTGATTCACCATGTGTGCAATAACCCCCTATTTTTCAGAGGGAAACCATGTGTTACCTGTATTATCTGTACTGAATAAACCATCTGCCGTTTTACAGCCTTCAGAGTTGCATCCTATGCAGATCCTTGGCTGCCGGTATGGCACGTTACAAGCCTCAACATCCAGATTCCCAGCTCCATCACTTGAGCATATTCCTGAAATAAAAAGGCAGCCATACCATGAAAACTAGGCCTATTACAAACATTGAATTGTATTATTACAGGAGCTAGAGGGTCACAAATGGCCAATGAGGTCTAAACATCTGGTTTGCATGTGATTAAAGCATATTTAAAGGGATACTACAAGCACCAAAAAATTTTAGCCTGCGGAAGCAGTTTCGGTGTATAGATTGTTCTCCCTGCAGTCTCGCTGCTCAGTTTTCTGCCGGAGTTAAATCACTTTCTTTATGCAACCTTAGCCACACCTCCCCTGGCTGTGACTCACACAGCCTCCATAACAACAAATATGGTTTTATTTTCAAACAGGTTTTACAGTGTGTTGACTTTAGAAGTTCTTATCCTGCTCTGTTAATTGGCCTTTATTCATGCACTGGAGGCTCTAGCAGATAATTATCAGAGCAGGAAATAAAGGGAAATTTAGAAATGGTCCTTTTTTAATAAGAGTATAGAAGGTTGTGTGAAAATAAAATTGATAACACACAACGGTATGTTTTAAAATCACTCTGCTTTATTGTGCATATAGCATATGTTGGATAAACTGACATTTCAAATACAAAACTTGCAATTACAGCAGATATAAATTTAACCCTTAATAGTAGGGAGAATATGATTTGAATATTTACAACTAAGAAATAATCTATTTGTCAATGCTTATTTTTACCAAGAACAATAAATAGACTTGTTCACTACATATTACAGTTTTCATTAGATAACATTATTATAGCATCAGTAGAACAGTTACTTGCCAGTATACAGTGCTGTGGAATAGGTTTGTGACACAGTAACGCAATATTATATTGAAACTAAATAACTTACCTTGAGATGACAAATAACTTGGAACATCAGGGGGTACAATTGTTTCATCTGTAAAGAAAAAAAAAAAAAAAAAATCAGATACAGCTTGTATATATCAGTGATTCTCAGAAAACAATGCATTCTGTCTTGGCACAGAGATAAAAGCTGGAAAATGTATCCTGAATAAAAATATAAAATACCATATTTACTAGAATCTAATGCGCATCTTTATTAGCAAAATAAAGCTTCCAAAATTTGAATGTGCCATAGATTCAATGGCGTGCAAGATTAGAGTGTGAGAGGGGAAATTTCAATGCACCATAAGAGGAGGCCAATCTGAAAACATTGCTAGCTGGTCTCTGCAGAGTTCCTTCTAAGAATTTGTAGTAATCTCTGTAGTGACCACACTTTCATTTCTTACGGATAATCAGCAGGCTATGGTATAATGAAACTGTACAGGGCCAAATCCAAAATTCACCGGGGCAGAATTCACCAGGGGGTGAAATTCGCATTGCATGTGTTTTAGCTTCCCTGTTTCAAAACTTGAGGTGTGCATTAGCTTAGAGTAAATAAGGTAGTATCAAAAATCACTTTCTTGTCATTTATGAATGGCAGGTGCACTTTAAATAACAGGTGCCAACATTCATTTTCATGCATGTGCCTGCAACTGGAGCAAAATAGTGCTTAAACAGCAGTCCATTTAATAACCATAAATTTATGTGGGTATTTATAGTAATATTTGTTCAAAGAAACTAGATTTCCAGAACGGCCTGCAATTTTATACACTTTACATACTACCACCAACCAATAGGTGTATAGCTTGTTTTTTTTTGTTTTCCTTTTTGTATAACAATACCTGTATTGGTGACGCTATACTCTTCTCTCTTCTTCCTGGTCTGATAGATTATGCACACCCAAACCAGAGATGTTAGGACAATGCTGCAGACAACTGCAATGGTGATAATGCCAAACGTCATAGTTCCCTCTGTTTTGCCTTGTTCCGCAGCACAGCCAGTGGTGGGATAGACGCTAACCCGACTGTAGGCACGTTCTGTCCCAAGCGTGTTGGACATCTCGCAGGTGTATTTTCCAGCATCTTCCTTTACCACGTTTCGAATGACAAGCAACTGATTACCAGGTGTGAAATGATGTCTATCTGTCAAAACCAAGGGCTCGTCACCTTTAAGCCAGGTAATTCGAGGAGGGGGGCTTCCATTCGCTTTGCATTGTAGTGCCAAGGTAGCCCCTAGAAACACAACACGGTCTTCTATTGGATGAATCAGAAAGGGCATTTCTGCAAAAAAATAAACACAGGCTCAGTCAAATTTGCAAGTATATATGATTTTAAAGTCCAAAACATCTGGAGTGCCAAAGGTTGCCTATGACCTATACATTGCTAGTGATTTTGTAAACACAATATAAAGATTTTTATTCTTTATTTAGAAAACACAAATAACGGGTTCTTCACTAAACCATGATTTGTAAGGATGTTTTAGTTAAATAATTATCCAATTAAGTTTACTATTTAGATGTTTTGGCTGAAAATTAGAAATTGGTCAAATGGTTGAAATTTCCAACAATTCATGGTTTAATAAATGACCATGAATTACATTAAAGTACAAACTTAGTACAATTAAAATATGCGATAGCAACAATATAAACAAACTTGTCCATCAGATATGGATTTTATGCTTGCAGAAGACATTAAAGAAACACTATAGGTACTCAGACCACTTCAGTCCAAAGTCCCTTAACTCTGCAATAGTAATTATTGCAGTTTTCTACCAGACAGCCACTAGAGGGACTTCCAGGTTGTTAGGCGGCTTTTGGTAGGAGGAGGAGGAGCAAAGAGGGACCTAAGGTTAGTGATATGATAGATGTGGTTTTTAACCCCTTCTGCACCATTGGGAGACGAACATAAGGGAGGGAGAAGCTATAGTGCTAGGAAAACAAGTTTGTTTTCCTGGCACTATAGTTTCCCTTTAACAATGCAACACCCTTCTGGATGGTTAAAGTGAAGCAAGATGCAACTACTGCCTATAAAAGGTGGTGGGATGTGACTTGTTTACCCTATGGCCTCTGCAGCATCTTGTGAGATTTCACTTAACAAGGACTGTACATTTCCAATAACGTTCAGGGATAATATGAAAAGAACTTTTAAAGGACCACTATAGTGCCAGGAAAAAAATACTCTTCTTCCTGGCACTATAGTGCCCTGAGGGTGCCCCCACCCTCAGGGCCCCCCTCCCGCCAGGCTCTAGGGGTTGGAAGGGGTTAAACTTACCTCTTTCTCCAGCGCCGGGCGGGGAGCTCTCCTCCTCCTCCTCGGCTCCTCGGCTGAATGCGCATTCACAATGCTTTCCTATGGACGCTGAATATCACAGTGAGAAGCACGGAAGCCCTCTAGCGGCTGTCAATGAGACAGCCACTAGAGGCTGGATTAACCCTATTATAAACATATATAATTTCTCTGAAACTGCTATGTTTATAGAAAAAAGGGTTAAACCAAGATGGACCTGGCACCCAGACCACTTCATTTAGCTGAAGTGGTTTGGGTGCCTATAGTGGGCCTTTAAAGCAGTTTTATACTTTTTACATGATTTATATTAAGGATGATAGTCTTACCAAGTACTGTTAGCGTTGCATTTGCAGAGACTGAGCCAGCAGAATTTTGGGCTGTGCAGCTATAAACTCCCATATCCTCGCTCTTCACCTCCATAATAAAGAAAACATCATCATCTGGCATGACATGCATACGTCGCTCTCGGGCTGCTGGGAAGTCCGTGCCTCCATCTTTTTGCCATGCTATTTCAGGAACAGGATATCCCTCTGCTGCACACTCCAGTCTTGCAGTGGTACCTGTCCGCATTGTTATATCTCTGGGTGTTTTGATAAAGGATGGCAGAACTGTAAATAAACAGAAAGTGCATTGTTTTACACAGAAAATATTGTCAATACCATAGATTAATTCAAATGGAATTAGCAGCTGTCAGGAAAACTATTCTTCATACCTGGATTTCGTGCTACATCAAACAAAATTAGCCAATGTCTTTAAACTGGATTGGATGGAAGCCTCCCAACACAAGGAGCACAAGGTTTTTTCAGTATGGGAAGCTGTACATACAATCCTTAGATACACATTATAAAGCTCGTGTTCACCAAACATTTCAACTGAATAGTTGGTATTATTTAAGAATACTCCATGGGTGGCATCCAGTTTGACTTGGACAATGACGAGGAATGGGGCAATTTTGATGACACGTTGAATTGTCCACAGTTTTACTATTTTTTTAATTTCCGGAGTAGGGGGTACTCTTTATACTTTCACATGGTACCAACTATGAGCAATATATCATTAAATGGATGTTTTGTTTAATCTGAGTTTTATTTTTTATTTTTACATGTGTTTTGGGAATGTCTATTTGGAGGGTTTGATTTAATATAACCCAAGCACCCACTATGTTCTCTTTATTCTGCTTAAACTCTGATAAAATGTTTGTTTGTTTTCCCCCCACAAACTGGTAATGGGTGTTTTTGTTTTATTAGTATCATTGACCTACATACTTGTGAGAACAATGAACATTTCTCATTCTACATCAAGACTGCCTATAATTATCATTTAGCCTAAGCACTTTAGCAGGAGTGCAGGGTATGTTAAAATAATCTTTCTGTGCTATGCATTATAGATACAGTATATGTTGCTGGTGAATAATCTAATATGGCTACCCTATGAAGTATCATTCCCTCGTTGTATAATTTAATTCTGGTGTGGAGCATTTGGTCTGCATGATTGAGAGTGGTGGAAGGGTAACCTAGTGACGGCATTCTAATTCACTTCTGCATTCCACACACTTCTTTGTAGCCAAAGAGGGACATCTTTAATGTTGTTCTTGGTTTGTGGAGCTGCAGAGCATCCCAGGCAAATGTCTGATTTATCTTAATGGAAGGGCCATTCCTGATGACACGGTAATCCTAGTACAGGGTCTATGAGCGTGTTGTCATTGACAAAGCACCCATCAGTAGTTCATAGTGACATTATCTTCTCTAAAGAGGCATCCTTAACAGAAAAGAAGATTCACAATCATCTCTCTGATGGTCACAAAAAAGGAGATATTTTTAATATCTGGTGTGCTATTCTCAGTTGTGCAAATAGTATCAGAAACTAATGTGTTCAGTGTTTTGACGTGGTCACTTACTGTTCACGGTAAGCTTTGCTTTGTTGGAGTATGTCGAACCAAAATGATTGGAGATGATGCACTGGTAACGCCCTTCGTGTGTAAAGGTCACATTTCTCAAATGTAGGATTGTGGTGTATTCCATCACTTCACCATCCTTTTCCCTCACATTGGCAAAGTTCTCAGTCTCAGAATTGTGTAGAATTTCACTGTTTTTCATCCAGTAAAAGGTCATGGGTGAACTGCTACTGCTAGCCGCTGAACAAGTAAGACGGACATCTTTTCCATGGACTGCCATTGTATTTTCAGGTTGGACTATGATTTGAGGTTTTGGGAAGTCCTCTAAAAAACAAAATATTAACGGTGTCATTTTTAGTTCTTGATTATTGTTCAGTTTTATCATGTTACCAAAGCAACCCCCATGAAAAAAAAAACTCTCCTACTTTATTAATTGAGCTTTAACCCCTTAAGGACACATGACGTGTGTGACATGTCATGATTCCCTTTTATTCCAGAAGTTTGGTCCTTAAGGGGTTATTCACAGACAGGAGGATGCTGCAAACTCCAGCAGGCAATAAAGCAAGAGAAATGATAAAAACGGTGCAATAAGAGAAGTTTAAAATTTAGACCTGTTTAGGGAGGCTATGTGAGTCACAGGCAGGGTGGCTCGGATAAATAAAGTGATCTAACGTCTAAATGGCAGAGAATTGTGCAGTGAGACCAAAACCACTTCATTAAGCAAAACATTTTTGGTGCTTACAGTATCCCTTGAAATACACTCAATTGTCTGACATGTAAGGGTTACCCAATAGATGTATTTTATATTTATTCAGTATATTGATTAAACAAATGTGTCCCTGTAGGATAGTTTAGGATAGATAACATAAGCCACTCTTGAGAGCATAACTACTTAATTTTATTAGAGTCCTCTGGCAATCGCAGTCGGTTTGACACCAAGCGTCCCTATAGCTCAGTGATGGCGAACCTTTTTGAGCCTGAGTGCCCAAACTGCAATACATGCCAACTTTTTTCCCCTCAAAGTGCCAACACCGCAATTAAACCTGAATACTGAGGTTTAAGTTTAGAAAAAACAACTCGTACAGTTGTCCGAACTAATTAACAACTTCTGTTTTAAAAAAAAGAACACAACAGAGAGTTCAATGATACAAATTTTAAATAATTATATAAATAGATCAAATCAATCTTATATTTATTAGTATCTCCAACAAATGCAATACGTACACACAGACTGCTAAATACATACACACACAACGGCTACTAAATACACACACAGTCCGCTGAATACACACACACACAGTCTGCTAAATACACACACACACAGTCTGCTAAATACACACACACACAGTCCGCTAAATACACACACACACAGTCCGCTAAATACACACACACACAGTCCGCTAAATACACACACACACAGTCCGCTAAATACACACACACACAGTCCGCTGAATACACATACAGACAGATTGCTGAGTACACAGACTGCTGAGTACACACACAGTCTGCTGAGTACACACACACAGTCTGCAAAGTACATACACACAGACTGCTGAATACATACACACAGACTGCTGAATACATACACATAGACATCTGAGTACACACAGACTGCTGAATACATACACACAGACTGCTGAATACACACACAGACAGTTGGGTACACACACAGACAGTTGGGTACACACACACAGATTGCGGAATACACCCACAAAGACTGCTGAATACACACACTGCTGAGTACACACAGTCTGCTGAATATATTCACACACACAGTCTGCTGAATACATACACACACAGACTGCTGAATACACACACAGACTGCTGAATACACACACAGACTGCTGAATACACACACAGACTGCTGAATACACACACACATACTGCATTGAGGGTGCAGTGTATGTGTTTGTGTGTAAGGGTGTGGAATGCTGTGTGTGTCTGAGGGGTGTTGTGTGTGCGGGGTAGGGTGCTGTGTGTGTGTGGGAAGTAGGGGTGCTGTGGGGGTTAGGGGTGCTGTGTAAGGGTAGTAGGGGTGCTTTGCTGTGGGGAGTAGGGTACTGTGTGTGGGGGGTAGGGGTTCTGTGCTGTATGTAGGGGTGCTGTGCTCTGTTGGGAGTAGGGATACTGTGCTGTGTGGGGGGTAGGGGTGCTGTGCTGTGTGTGGGTGTAGGGGTGCTGTGCTGTATGTGGGGGTAGGGGTGCTGTGCTGTATGTGGAGGGGTGCTGTATGTGGTAGGGGTTCTGTGTTGTGGGGGGTTAGGGGTAAAAATACATTACAAAAAAAAAATATATATATATATTCATTCTGTATCCTCCCCCTCCATTCCTCTTACCTTTGGTGAAGGGGGGGCGGGGGGAGGACACAGCCATCCCCGGTGGTGGTAAGTATGTTTCTGGCAGCTAGGAAGCAGCACTCCTGTCCTTCCGCGCGATGCTGTGTGGAGCACACAGCATCGCGCCGGAGGATAGGAGAGCTGCTTCCTAGAGCCCTCCCCCTGTCCTCCCAACACGGAAGCAGAGTAGGCGCCTGCCGTTTTGGGCAGGTAGGTGCCTACTCTGCAGACAGCCAGCGGCCCCCTCTCCTTGTGACTTATGGCCGCGTGCCAACAGAGGGTTCGCCATCACTGCTATAGCTCCACCACCACTAAAGGATGTGGTTTATACAGAGGCTTTTCTGCATTAGCCAAGTCAAACCAGCGATGGTGGCTCTCAGAGAGCAGCACAGAAGCATAAGCCAACACCACGGGTTTCCAGGGACCATCTTTCAGTGTCAAACCATTTAAAGACCGTTTAACACGGAAGAGTGGGATTGCACCAGGTGACTCCAAGCAGTCGTGCCACTAATGAGATTTTTTGGTTATGATGCTTAGTGTTCCTTTAAGGCCCCATTAACTCAAGATATAAGATGGAAAGCACAGTAAGTTGAAGCAGCCCAGGATGTCACAAGAGCACATCTGTATTTTCTTGTATCTCATCCAATATAACTTTTTTTTTCCCCTGCAGCAGTGATCTTAGCTCTATTCCAGACAACCCCCGTTAGGACGTATTTATACATCTTCATAAATTTATGCTTTGAGGATATTTAATTAACAAGCTGCAGTAGTAAAGAAAAAGTTGACCGGCGAACAAAACTACCCAACATAACAGAATGTCCTGTTATTTTTGTAACTGTGCGTGGGTTTTTATAGCATTTGGCAGAGGTAAGAACATTTTATAATTCTAGAAAAAAAATGCACATATAGTACCAGAATAGAAGTCCTATATAATAGGAGTCCTGCTCTTTCTTAAAACCGTGTAAATGCATGGGAGTAACCACGGAAACCAACAGACTTGCTCAGTTCTGTTTGTTTCTATGGTGATTGCTCAGTATTTACATATTTTCATAACTGTCCCAATAGAGCAGCAGAATGCCAAACAAATATATGAAACAAAAGAGGAAAGAATTTTAAAACCAGTGATCCGTCCACTTTATGGCATCTAAATTAAATGAAATTTGCAATAAAGGAAGCATAAACATTAGATGACTCTTTACAGGAAGTGTTTAGGAAAACTTTGCAAGTCACATGCAGGGAGGTGTGACTAGGGCTGTATAAACATAGTGATTTAACTCCTAAATGGCAGAGAAGTGAGAAATGAGACTGCAGGGACATGATCTATACACCAAAACTGCTTCATTAAGCTAAAGTTGTTTTGGTGACTTAGAAACCTAGAATGTGACAGCGGATAAGAAATGTTTGGCCCATCTGGTCTGCCCAGATTGTCCCTTTAATAATAAATAGCCCCCTTTAAAAGCAAAATGGTTTATGCAATTGAGGTGTACTTTAGAACAAGAACAATGTATCCTATTTGTACAGACTGAATGGTGAACACATGTATTGTAGTTTAAAGACACATTACTGTGAGCACTTTGTTGTAAATTGAGACACATCAACAAATGAAGCAAAAAAAATGTCAGTTTAATTTATATACCTTGTTCTTTTATACTGAAGGACCTATGTGGTATTATGTGCCTAGGCATATTAGACTATAGTTATAACAATATGGAGCTCCTAGAAAAGAGGGACAGAGTGACTGTCCCTCCAAAACAGGGACACTTGGGAGGATTGGAATTTTGAAATTTACTGTATCATTCACCTAGCTTTGCCACCCAATCCTTCCAGCACTTTTGCCAAACCTAATCCATGTTTTCTTGGTAATTACTTAATGGGCATGATAAAACAAAAAATAAATTTAAAAAATACTATTTAGGTACATTTTAAATGACACAAAAGGAGGGTTTGAGAAGTTAATACAGAATTTGGGACTCCTCCTTGACTGACTGCTTTTCCTCTTTAAATATTGATACTTTTCATACCTTGCCTAATACTATGAAAAAGTGATTTGTGTCCACTAAAACATGGTGAATCTGGCAATTCTCATCAACCTAATGTTCCAGTAACATTTTGTAATTGTCTCATTTATTGTTAAATCTCCCCCTCTTATAATATTGTAAAGCTCTACGAAAAGCGTTGGCGCTATATAAATAACAATAATAATAATAATAGTACTCGTCACCCATGATCTCAGCTTTCTTCCACAAAGTTATAACACCTCAGATTTTGCTAGAAAGCAGGACATTTTAACCTTTTTGCAATTTTTTTAATTTAAATGTGTGCTATGTTTTAGGTAACGGTTCCCATATATCAATCTGGTGGTAACCTTATTATAGTGTACAGCACTGGAATACCTGTTGGTGCTTAATATAGAATTAATTGTAAGGTGCATACATGTTAGAATATAGTCTTTTATATAACATGTGCGCGGAATATACGTATACACTATGTCTTTCGTATACACACACACACACACACACACACACAACATTCTCCAGTTGTCACAAATGCGACTTTTAAGTGACCCGGTGGCAGGATGCTATAGTCTTTCCCCCAAGGTAATATTACTGAGTTACAAAGCAGCTTGTAATTTTATTGTTATTAAATGATTGGACTTAACTGCTTACAAGCTAATTCAGCGATGGATTCTTTGGCACGGAGTGAATTAACCATTCATGTAGTGAGGAAAGATTAACAGCACGTTTTTTTAATTCGAAACATGTTTTCTGGCAGTTAAAGCAAAAAGTTGTTTTTTGGTTGTTGTTGGATATTTTTTTTTAATTATTATTATTATTTTTTAAAAGCAATCCAAGGTCTTGCACAGTTTTACAGTCCAGACAAAAAAAAAATAGCAACTGTCCACCTTCACTCGATCAGTTAAATTTATGGGACTAATTAGCCTCATTGCCACATGGAGAAGCTTTGAGATTTTTGATGATTAATCTATAAAATCAGCAAGTTGTACTGCAGGATCACAAATCACTAAACAAAATAAGCAAAGGGAATATGTTCCAAATCGTGTACCTTTCTCCAACTCAAACCATAAATAATTAGGACTAATCTTCCAAGCACCTTGTTTTAATTAAAACTTATTTTTGCCCTCATGCTGCAGGGATTAATTGTGTGTTCAGCTGTCCTAAGTTTGCTGCTGTGATTTGCAGCTCTGGTCCAAACCAGCTGCACATTAAAGGGAAGGAACAGTTGTATTTTGGGTGTGGGGAGGCAAGAGCAAATGTGAGAGACATATGCATCCTTAAAGGGATACACGTTTGTATCCTTACATTTCTACGCATTTGTTTTAGTTGAATATATAGATAATGCAGTATATCTTAAATATGCTTACAGTTGACGTTCATGGTGTTTGCTGCACAACATTTGTAATGCACTCACGCCAAACCAGGCAGAGATTGATAGTTAATTATATCTACAGATCTGTATTGTGTGTCCTGTTAGCAGTGCTTTGTGGACACAGCAGGGGTTTTTAGGAGTTGTAGTCCAATTATTATCTTTCTGCTGCAGAAAGTCAACAGCTGAATTATACAGTATTTTCAAAAGGATAAACTAATAAACACTACTGGTTGGGAAAGCCAGGGAGAACAGGTTTATAAAGTCGTAGAAATCGGTGGCAGTGTGTTTGCAGGTATGTCAGAGTTGAGATTCTACTAAAAGCGAAGCGTGAGAGCTAAATGACGACTGATGTCAACAAAGAAAATTTGCAATCACATGCAAAAAGAAGAAAAAATGTAGGGTAATGTGCAAGAAAGAACTTGGCCCTCAGCAAGACAGGCAACAATACAAAAAACATTAAAAAATAGAAAAATAAAGTTGAAAAACCTCTCCCTAATGCTGCACATTTTTTAATTGTGATCCATACATTTGCTTGCATACATACTACAGATCTTCTAGACATTGAAAGTGATTGGAAAGTGAATCTTACCACACACAAAGCTGCGGGGTGACACGTTGAATATGCTTTTACTCTTCAGCGACTCTGGATGGGCACAAGTGGCTTTTACTTTGGACTGCAGCTTTCTGCCAGTAACCCACTGTGGTAGCCACTTAAGATGACAGTCACACAGTAAGCTGTCACTACTGAGGATTCTGTAGGGAGAAAAACAAAACAAAACAAAAAACAGATGTTGTCTGTTGTCTATGCAAACAATCCCAGGTCAGGTTTTTCACAAACGGCCACTTGTTGCCTTTAGATTCACAGATATGAAGGGTGAACAAATGGTTTCTCCATATTGAGAATAGAAGCTATTTTCATGTGCAATACCGCTCCCTTGCAAAGAAGAAGCAAAGTGATCCCATACATGTGATACTTCTATTTGAGCACGAACAGATGAAAGAATTGGTTTATCCCTTAAACGAGATCTGTATACTTGTGTTAACCTATTTTATGTGATGCTGTATTTTCCTTTAAATGTACATTGCAGATTTAGCAGTTGACACAATCCAGTACAGTTCAGGTACAAACAGGGTATCTATATATTTTTTCTATGTTTCCTCCTAGCCAGTACTTTTCTCCACCTCGAAGAAGATATTAAAATGAACATTCCAAGTACCATAACCACAACAGCTAGCTCAGTCATGCTGAGCAGAGACAGTTCTCTTGCAGAGAAGGCTGGATGTGATGTGGGCACCCATTTTAAACTATTTGACAATTTTAAATAACCATAACCACAGTGGAGTGTTCCTTTGTGGATCTCTGACTGACAGGTGCACAAGATTTTTTTTTGATTTTTTTTTAACTTTTCAAAATGATTAACAGAGAGTCAAAATCAATGCACTTAGTTCCAAGAGAAATCATTTTCAGACCATTTTCATTTTCAGACCATAATTTCATGATAAGTGAACTTAATATGCCCTACAAAACATTGGAATCCCTTTTCCTTGGCTACTAAATTTGTACCTTGAGAGACACATAAATACGGGTAAAGTTGGTGAGAAGGCTTTTACAGTCCTTCTGTCTTTTTTAGGGACATATTCAAGCCTCGGCCTAGTGTAACAGGATCCTGCTCCCTCCCCCTTCATAGACTGATATTTTTTAATGTATGTACTAGTGAATGTGTGTTTAGCCATTTGCCTATGTGAGTGCTAATTTTGTGTATTTGAGAGTTTGGGTTTTTTTTCTTTGGTTTTTTTTTTAAGTATGTGCAAAGCTAAGGTGAGAGCGTGACGCAACAAGGCCTAGCGCAGCTTAAAAATTGTATCACTGGACCTACTATCTGAGTAGTGCTGTCACCACAGATAATTTTGTTTATTCATTATGTGATGTACAACTCTGGAAAAGTGAACAAAGCACAGAGGGCGTCTTTTTTCTCGATATAAATGAGAATTAAATCAACACAATACATACAATGATTGGGAGGGAAGATATTTTTATATATTTCCCTCTAGCCTTGAAATGCATTAGGCAATAACCACATCCTACAATGAGGTGCTCGGCCGTATTGTCCAGAAACAGAGGAATAAAAAGAAAACTATGTGGAGTGCAAATTTATAGTCAGAAACCCAGAAAGATTTTAAAAAGGTTAAATGAACTTACAAGTCTTTGAGGGACTTCATTTCCCCAAATGCCTCAGGCTGTACAGACCGAATAGAGTTTTCCCCAAGGTTTCTGAAGGAAAAAAAATGTTTTATTTTATTTTTTTGGTTTTTTTTTTTTTTTAAAGAGAAAATTGTTGCTCTGTCTGCTAAAATTATTACATGTAAATACATTATATTAAAAAAAAAATATATATATATATATATATATTTTTTTTTTTAATCAGAGGTAAGAGTGTAGTTTGGGATTATTTTAGCTCTCCAGAGACAAGGGACTATGAATCTCAAATACATGCTGAGACTTGTAGTTATCCACAGGACAAAAAAAAAAAGCAAACAAAATAATACTAGTTGGAGGAAATGAACCTCTTCATCGGCCTGCATAAAGAGGAAATTTCGCTCTGGCTACTTCTAATGTAAAAAGAAAACTCATGTTGATTCAGCATTCAAGTATAAACCCTGGAGGGAAGATGGAACAGAAAAAAAAGGCTTTTGCTTAACAGTTTCAGTGGCAGACAAGTTTGCACTGACAAACTTAAGCCAAGATTATTGTGTTCAGGGGGAAAAAGGTGTACACATTAAACTTTCGCCTTGGGGGGGGAAAAAAATCTGGAAGAGATTTAACCAGTTTTGTGTCCGGCTGGTAAAAATGAAGATATATACACACACACATATATATATATATATATATATATATATATATATATATATATATATATATATATACACACACATATATATGTTTTATCCTTTGGGTTTTTTTTTCCATTTACAGGGAATAAAATCAGGGCAAATTAGTCAAGTGGTCTTCGTTCGCACCCCAATCAGGAAATAAAATAGGCCCAAAATTTACCATATGTTCAATAACTTTGTTCCTGGCACCAAAAAAAGGCCAGAGTTGAAGCTGACTTATAATTGAGAAGGAAACAGCTGGCCTCTGGAAATGGATGATATTCTCAACTTACAAAGAAGCTATTAAATTGCTAGCAGACCTCTCAACCATCTACTTTTGGCAGCACCTCTACAAGTTCCAGTGCATTCTGGGATACTCACAGGTGCTCCAGAGCCCCTAAGCCTGAGAACGCTTTTTTGGCCACAGACTTGATCTTGTTTCCAAACAGAGTTCTGCAGTTTCCAAACATCAAGGGTCAGATAAACAAAAGAAAGAATCAAAAAAAAAAAAAAAGAACAGAAATTAGTTTGGCAGAAACTGATCGCGTGTCCGATGTAGTGCGGTTAGAAATGTGAACTACAAAGATTAGGTCTTTCCAACTTTCACCTACTGAAATGAGAGATCGTTATCATTCATGCAATTTAACTGATGACAAACTGCAATAGCATGTATTCCAATCTCCTAAGAAAGCAGGTATACATTTTACTTGTAACACATGGTCTACATTGGGTAGACATAATAAGCATATCCTATTGCTGGGTGCCTTCTGTGCATACAAGCTATTAGAGATTGTCACTGATCAAAGTCGTTTAGTAAGATGTGGACCTCCGTCCCATCTTAATAAATTAGAATTGTATGCATTAAAAAAAAAAAAAAAAAAGTTATTTAAAAAAAATAAACCTACACATTTCCTTAACCATTCAATACATAAGATCATGTAAATATTTAGGATATATAGGATGTATAAAAAAAAAAATGTTTTTATGGGGTAAAAGAAAAATCTCAAGCAGCCCTTCTATCCAAACTTGTGATTCCGAACACTCTTGATGTCCATTCTTCACCACACTCCCCAGTATGGAGACAGTGATTTGCTATACATAGCACAACCATCCCTAATAAAAAAAATAATTATAAATTGTTTTGAAAAAGTCTTAAGAAAAAAATGCAATATATATTTAATACTTGCAAACAAGAAATTCATAACGTCCAATTTAATGTATTTTTATTACACTGCACTCTTGCTGGTAGATCCGCTGGTATAATCAGCTATACATATGAATATTTTTAAGGTGCAAGCTTTCTGGACGTCTCAAGCAACTCCCAGCTCTGTCAAAGTACGCTTTAGCAAACAAATCATCTGAAAGCCATGCCCACTAAGATTCTAAAATGTGTATTACTTAAAAAACTTGTACCTGCTTTGATCAGCTTTCTCAACAAGAGCAAAAAAGATGTGTGCGAGATTATTTACAGAGCAAAAAAAATAAAAAAAATAAAATACTTCCAAGCCAGGGAGGACAAAAACAACAAAAAAATGAAAGAAAATTAAAAATGATAGCTGACGCATTTTAGAAAGATTTAAAGACATTTGGCATACTCACAGCTTGCTTAGACTTTCCAGGCCTGTAAAGGCCCCATTGGTGTCCTCTATTGTACCGGAGATGTCGTTATGGTCCAATTCCCTGTGGAGAAGACAAAAGAAGGCTTACAATCCGTTTCTCAGTTCTGGGACCTTCTTTTGATGGAGGAGGGTTAAAAAAAAAAGTTTAGGGAAGGGACTACAAAGAGCTTTCTTTCTCTGACTGCCATGCATCTCTTAAAGTTCCCCATTACTCAGCAGTGGAATTATTCAATGTCTCCTCTTCATTCACTGCCTCCTTTCTTTCTTTCTTAGGTAGTGAACCTTTAACCCACTGAGAGCCAGAAAGGAGATCTACCCCCTTGCGCTTTACACCCCCGCTTATATTTGAAGATCTCCGCACAGCAAGCAGAGATAAATTGAATTTGGTAGACTTTTCTTTAATAATTATAATAGGAGGTGTGAGTCTGAAACGGAAAAAAACATTTGTTGTGGCCAGGGTTGGTCTATAATTTAGAGGACACAAAAGATTTTAAAGGAAAAAAACTAAAAGGACGTGGGATCTCCACACCAGCTGTCTCAATATATACATACATTTTATATATTATATACATACATACGCGCAGCACTTCAAAAAAAAAATTCTGTGCTTTTGACAATACATTATGAAAATATTTTCATAAAATTTTTTTTTGTTTAAATCTTTAAAAAAGTTTTTCTTTCAGAATGATTATTTTTTATACATGTGCCTGCAAGCAGCACAGATTCCGCAACATGGCATCGCAGGTAAATACGTGCGGTCTCATTGTAATATGGGAATTTTCAGAAGGCGTGATCGGATGTTGTATCTTTAAGAAACTTGTTGATACACTGTTGTAGTGAAGTTACAATGAAGCGATTTCCATAAGCAATGCTTTATTTTTTTTTATTTTTTTTATTTTTGTTTGCCATAGGAATAGAAACTACAAGCTTCATTGTTAAGCAGACAATACGGGGGCTTTGGCCTACTCTTCAGTCTATTCACTCATCTTCTCTCCCATGCCAATTTCCTATTCTTTCTGCTTGGCTGCATACAAATGCACGCTGCCTTGTTAATCATAGTTCTGCTAGGTCTTCCAAGCTGACCTCTATTTGAATAGTTCAGTATTTCAGCACTTTTACACCACGTAAAGGCATTTTAACAATAGGGTGTAATTAAAGCGTGCTTGGGTCCTTTTCACCAGGTGCATGAGCCAGTGGGCTTTCTCACTCATTAATTAGAGCTCTCTTGCATCGATTTTTCCATTCATTACTCTCTTAGAAAGAGAATTTGGAATTAACACTCAGGAAACAAAAATCCCCCAAAAAACAAGAGTGAGTGTTTGTGATATTAATTTATAATTTATTTTTAAATACATATATTTTGTTCTGGGAATTCTATTAGAAATAGTGATCTTGCTCAACATTACAGAATTAAAGTAGAAAGTAAAAAAAAAAAGTGTAGTTTTTTTAACATATTTAGAGGAAAATATTTTATAGCTGGATGATAAGGAGAAAAAAAAAAAAGAACTATCAGGGAGTTAGAAAAATGAGTCAGATGGGCAAAATGTTGCACATATGCTATTTTTCTTTTTACTAAAATACATGGATTAGAGAGACACCCTCATAGCAATTTAGCAAAATTACAGATGTTATCCAAACGTATCCGGCATCCATATAAAAGTAGGGATTATTTGCTTCTTTTCCCCCATTCATATATTATGATTATTCCTATGGATCGCAAGTAAACACAGCTTTATCCATGAGTGTTGCTGGGAGGTGCCCCAATCTAATTTTGGCACGTTTCATTGTCAGCCCAGAGTCCACTGTAATACTTAGGGTGAAATAACACCTCCAATTATATGATGCGTGACAGTCAGGGCCGTCGCTACCATAAGGCGGCACAAGCGGCTGCCTTCGGGCGCAAATCTCCGGATGACCACCAGGAGAAAAGCACACAGCTTCCCCCCCACGCTTCTTGTAGCGTGGCCGAGCAGCAGCAGCAGCTCCTCCACAAACCAGCCTTCTTGCATCAAGCCGTGGACTGTGTGGAGGGGGCAGTGATATCAACACGTCATATCCCTGCTCCCCGTGTAGCACACACCGCGGCTGGCGCCTTGCAGGAACTACCGCCCCCTTCCGTATCTACATGATTGGAGCTGCGTGGGAGAGCACAGAGGAGGGGCTGGGAGAGTAGAGCCAGCCCCTAACTCCCAACTACCTCAGCCAGATCTTTACACTGGATTCCAGGAAAGCCACCCTCCTGCACCCAAACGTTAGGAAACAGGAGGGTGGCTATAAAAGTATATATGATGGATGTGTGTGTGTGTGTCTGCCAGTGTGTGACTGTGTGTGCCAGTCAGTGTGTATCTGTATGTCTGTCAGTATGTGTGTAGGTGTTTGTATCTGTGTGTCTCTATGTCACTGTGTGTGTTTGTTTGTATGTATGTCTGTCAGTGTGTCTGTATGTTATCAGTGTGTGTCTTTGTGGGTATCGATGTCTGTCAACACTTACTCTTAATACAATATCTAATTAACCAATAATAAATTGACATGAGGATCGACCTTATGATCTCCAGGAAGATGTTATTGTTAGTAGTAGCAATACCTTTTTTATGCCCTTAAATATATAGCATACGTTATACAAAACTGGCGAAAATTTTGATACTTACAATATACGAAGGCTTTTAAGACCTTTAAAGGCTCCTTCTGCAATATGACTGATGGAATTATGGCCTAGTAATAGAATTTCAAGGGCACCAAGATCTGCCAAACTGCCCTCGTCCAATCTGGTAAGATTATTATAAGACAGAATTCTGGGAGGGGGAAAACCAGAAATCAAATGTCAACTCTCAAAATAGCTGAAGACAAGACACACACACACACTGTACATTTGGTATAGGAGCAAACTCCTATCAAAATAATAGTAACATACAAATAATTGTAAAAAAAAAAAAAAAAATTAGTCAGAATTATTGGGAATTAAAAGTAAATTTCAAATTAAAGACCAAATTAGATGAACTGGTAGCACAGATGACTGCGAGAAGATTTTCGATTTGGCTATTTTGGTCTCAAAACTGAAACTCTGAATTCCCAACAATTTTTACTTTTTTAATTTTAACATATATATAACATAAACTTTATAAAATGTGTTTATCTTCCCAAATCGTAGTCGAAGGTCTTCTGTCTTTTTAAATATCAGAACCTCAAGTTGGCATTGAACCAAACTTGTGTCGGCACTTATGATTAAAGAATCTTGCCAGTACATAAACTGGGTTCTAAGAAAGAAACTATAGTCCTGGTTTACATTTTTATTAAAAGAGGAGAAAAAAATGTCAGTTTGATAAAATAATTTCTTTTGGTTTGCTTCCCCTGATATATTTAACAATCCAAGCACCAAAACCACTACAGGAAGTAGTGGCGACGAACAGTGCTGTCCAGTGTACCCTAGGTAAGATATCAAATTATTTCAAACCACTTTCACTCCTAACAACAGAGTATGGTCCCAGGCCACACCAGGCACCATAACCACTACAGCATGCGGTAGGGCTTACAATGTTTGAAATCTAGCAGCAAGCACTCTCTACCGATCTAGCTCTGCATAAAATTAGTATCATCCCTCTAGATCTCAGAGGTTGAATCTATTCCCTGCTTTTCAATTAGGGGAGCGAAAGAATACTTACAGCTCCTGTAGATTTCGACAGAAGCTCCACCCTCCAGAGTTTATTTGGGATATTGAGTTGTTACTTAGGTGTAGCTGTTGGAGAGACTGAAGTCCATACAGAGATCCGGTGCTCACTTCTTTCAGATTGTTATATTCCAGATGTCTGGAGAGACAAACAACAGTTAGAAAGAATGAAAGAGATTCATCCATAATTCAAAATGTGGACTTTAACCATCCATCATAGAAATATCCCCTGGAGTTAAAAACCATATTGTCATTGTTTACCTAACATTTGTCCACCTGGGGAAGTTCAACATAAGGATTGTGGATCTATACATTAACCTATGACTCACGTGGAGTAAAATGCATTTTAACTAAAAGTAAAATTTCATTTCTAAAAAAAATAAAATAAAATAAAAATAAATTGAATAAAATTGCACATGCCAGTCCAAGGGAACTAATGAAAAGGCTGCATGCAGAAACAGGATTTGGTTAAAGTTATATCATATCACCAGATCAGACTTTCTATACTTTTTACTTCATGTAAATTAACGCCTTAACTTTAATATGCCTTGTGTACTTGTTAAGGGAACATATTCTACACCAGGGTTGCCCAAATGGTAGATCATCAATTGGGCTGAAATTTTACTTTAGATATATAGCTCAAGGTTTGTCAGTCAGTGAAAGAAAATGGTAAAATGGTTGAAGTGTTTTCTTAAAATGTAAAAACCTCTAAGCTCGTTCATTGGCAGTACACTGCGTGCTCACTTATACTCACAAGATCTGCATTCTTGATAGGCCCCAGAACGCCCCATCAGTAAGCTTACTGATATTGTTACGCTGCAATTTTAAAACCTCCAAACTGTCCAGTCCGTGAAAAGTCAGCCCTTCTATTGAACGTATACGGTTTCGATTTAATTCACTGCAGAAAGAAAGAAAAAAAAAATCCAACTTTGTTATAACTCAATTTGCAAGTGAATAGCAAGTACACATTGACACAGAGGGAGAATAAAAGATAGTGTATTGTATCACACAGCATTCTAATCTACCTCCCCATCTACACCTCCACAGGGAAATCAGAACTTGTGAAGAATCAAAGACTTTTTAAGAAGTACAAGACAGAGCTAAAAACAAGTCTTGTTCTCTTTGACTTGCCTTTTTGAATTGGTGGAAAAATGATCCTTGCTTGGCTAAACACAATCTCTGACCGCACCAGTTGAAAACATGACATTCGGATTATTAAATGGGTCTCCTGGGCAAATTTGGCTACCAGTACATTGACATAATTAGAAGCATGAGAGCACCCGATGTGGAAACAGCCCAGCTATTTATTTATTATGTTATTTAACCTTTACAAAGCATTAAAAATCCTCCTAACACCTAACATTATAATATTTAAATGCTACTTTTTAAGCATGGCAATTGTAAGCACACACCTGAAATTTATTATACAATATATTTATTCCTAATAGGTTGTTCAGTTTAACTTAAATGGATACTATAGTCACCAAAACAACTTCAACTAACTGAAGCTGTTTTGGTGTATAGATCATGCCACTGTAGTCTCACTGCTTAATTATCTGCCATTTAGGAGTTAAATCACTTTGTTTATGCAGCCATTGTCACACCGCCCTGCAAGTAGCCTGCACATGCTTCCTAAACACTTCCTATAAAGTGAAATTTAATGTTTACGCTTCCTTTATTGCAAATTCTGTTTAATTTATTTCCAGCATTGTTAATAGCTTGCCATACCTTGCATGAATCTACAGTTACAGGGGAGGAGAAACTTCTAAAGTAAGTTAAAATCTGATTGAAAATGAAACCATTTTTATTCAATGCAGGCTGTGTGAGTCACAGCTAGGGCAGGTTTGACAAGGGCTGCATAAACAGAAACAAAAGTGATTCAGCATCTAAATGGCACATAATTGAGCAGTGAAATACACAAATACTGTTTCATTAAGCAAAGACTCACTGGCAACGGATGTATAGAGCTTCTCAGTGCTTGCATTTTTCTCCCCATCTCCCAATATTGCTCTGGGTTTTTGTTTTGTTTTAAATAAAATTTACCAACCTACTCCCTCACCACAGCCTTCGCCTACTCAGATTGCGAGTATGCACTCTGAGCCAGCATAACAGTCCACTCACAAGCCATTCTTCTATGAGGGCCTGTGATTGGACCATACAAAGCCCTGACTGACTCCATGAAACAACGGTGGACAGTGGCAGCTGCCACCGGGCCCAGACACATGGAGGGGCTGGGGGGGGGAAGGGCAATTTTCGCACCGGGACACCGTGGCTTCTAGTTATGCCTCTGACAGTGGACATCTTCAAGCGTGTTAAAACCCCCATAGGAAAGCATTGATTCAGTTATCTTCTCTTGGAAAGGCCTAAAGTGCACGCTGCACTTGCCGTGCATGCAGATTAGGTTCCCCCGGTTGGCTGACATTGTCAGACGGGGAGCCTGGTCCAGCGCACTGGACACAGGAAAGTGTTTAAAGGGTTATTTAACCCTTAGCTCCTTTAATGGTACACTCCACTGCCCAAATAAAAATAACCCAGATTTTAAAAAAAGCATAATTAAGTGCATTCATGTTTTCACCTGAGGTATATCTAAAAACAGCTTGCAAAAGCTGCAGTTTTCTTGTTTGCATCCTTTAAAAGCCCTTTATCCCCAGCTCAGACTTTCTGTGGCTGTCCAATCACAGACTTTCCCATGCAGCTCAATGAGAAGGAAATAACAGGACCTCTTGTCTAACCAGCAATGGAGACTCATCCATAGGGGCACTTGGGGCAGCACTCCACCAGCTTTTATGCGTACAAAATATTTATTTGCAGTAGTTTAGAAACGCTAAGATTTTTTTTTTTTGGAGGGGAGGATGGTAAGCCAAGAAATATGGGAAAAGGTTAGTATCTCTTTACTTATATAATAGATTTCAGTTCTGCAGGGCCACTTCCCACTTATTGGTAGATGCTTGGAGAAGCTTACTTCAGAGCATCTAGGTTAGCGGTAGGAAACCTTTGGCACTCCAGATGTTGTGGACTGCATCTCCCAGAATGCTATTATAGCCGTAATACTGGCAAAGCATCAAGAGAAATGCAGTCTGCAACATCTGGAGTAACGAAGGTTGTCTACCCATGATCTAGGCAATGGGGTTGGTTTGAAATTTGCCCTGTTTCAGTAGGTTTTGCACATGACTAGTGCCCTTTAAGAAAGCATTTTCAGGCATTTCCATGGCTATTCAAAAGGCACAATAGTCATAACAATATTCACACTGTTTTTTTGTTGCTATGAATTCATATGTAGGAATCCTTGCTTTAATTTATTACAGAACAAGATACGATTATAATAATTTTAATGCATATACAGTTTTAATAAGGATATTGAATGCATTTTGTGCATAAAATATTTGTAACATATACAGTATCTCGCAAAAGTGAGAACACCTCTCACATTTTTGTAAATATTTTATTATAGCTTTTCATGTGACAACACTGAAGAAATGACACTCTGCTACAATGTAAAGTAGTAAGTGTACAGTCTGTATAACAGTGTACATTTGCTGTTTCCTCAAAATAACAACACACAGTCATTAATGTCTAAACCGTTGACAACAAAAGTGAGTACACCCCTAAGTAGAAATGTCCAAATTGGGCCCAAAGTATCAATATTTTGTGTGGCCCCATTGTTTTCCAGCAGTGCCTTAACCCTCATGGGCATGGAGTTCACCAGAGCGTCACATGTTGCCACTGGAGTCCTCTTCTACTCCTCAATGATGACATCACAGAGCTGGTGGATGTTAGAGACCTTGTTGGAGGATGCCCCAGAGATGCTCAATAGGGATTAGGTCTGGAGACATACTGGGCCAGTCCATCACCTTTCTTTAGCAAGGCAGTGGTCGGCTTGGAGCTGTGTGTGGGGTTGTTATGTTGGAATACTGCCCTGCGGCCCAGTCTCTGGAGAGGGGATCATGCTCTGCTTCAGTATGTCACAGTACATGTTGGCATTTGTGGTTCCCTCAATGAACTGTAGCTCCCCAGTGCCAGCAGCACTCATGCGGGCCCAGTCCATGACACTCCCACCACCATGCTTGACTGTAGGCAAGACACACTTGTCTTTGTACTCCTTACCTGGATGCCAATGGTTTAGACATTAATGGCTGTGTGTTGAGTTATTTAGAGGGGACAGCAAATGTACACATGAAAAGATATATTTACAAAAATGTGAGGGGTGTACTCACTTTTGTGAGATACTGTATGTATTTAAAGTCCCTTTAAAATTACACTTGGTTACTTACAGTTGCGTTAGTCTGGGCAGTTTAAAGACTCGAAGTGGAAGGTGGGAGATTCTGTTTTTGCTTAGGCGAAGGGTGAGTAGAGACCTTGACAAATTTTTGAAGGATTCAGACTCCAGACTGTTCACTCTATTGCTCCCTAGATTGCTGTAAAGAATTATAGACACAATTCGATCAAATAAATTGACCATTTTTTATCTTCATTTCTTAGACAACATTAATAATCATTTTGACCATATACAAGTTGCACTGAGTTTTACTAAAATTGTGCTTCTGGGAATATAATTTGCGTCTTATTAACCCAGCATGTCTCTACACTTACATGTAACCCCAAGTCAAATTTGCATTTACAGATTGCCCCAGCATTTCAAACTTTGATTTATACTGATTAGAATTCAACTTTACGAATACAGTACAAATTTAGGGAAAAAAGGGACAGCTATTTCAAAATGTTTAATGAAGATGGGATTAGCACTGCCTGAACGGATTCAAAGACTGGGTGGCCATGAAGCTGTGAGCCGATACGGCCAATTATAAGCTTTTAATGTAAACTGTGTCGCTATGCTCAAGTACAGCCAGTGTGCCCTTTAAGCAGGCTATGATCTGTTTAGCAAAACAATAGATAAGAAAGAAGTCCTTATAGGACCACACTCTTCAGCATGTACAGGAACAAATACGGTATGTTTGTATGTAATTATATTCCTAACCTTTTCAGTGATGGAGTGCTCACAAAAAAAGTGCTCAGAGGGAACATTTCTCACTGATCAAAATTGAAAGTGTCCCGTTTGTCAACATATAATCCAAAACTATGCTACAGTAGAAGCTTGGCTTTAACCCTCAAAAAAAAAATAATGATAACTGCCTTTGATATGTAAATTAAGACAACTGAATGCACTCACGGTATGAAGTCTAAGTGAATTTAATAGAATTTACATTTTTTTAAATCAACACTACGACCCAACTGGGTTGAAACAGTTGGGTTTATATCCAGGCCTGTCAGGATGTAAAATAATTTGCAGAACCCCTTGCAATAAAGCGGTTGATAGATGTGGTGTTGTAGGGAAAGTTTGGTGCAATAGAAAAAACAAACTTACAGCTCCTTTATTCGAAGTCCTGGGGGAAAAGTGCCACTGTGGATCTCGGTTATCTCGTTGAAACTTAAGTCCAATATTTCGAGTGCAACATATTGCATCATTTGACTCGCCTCAATACTGCGGATCTTATTGTGATGTCTGCAAGAGGAACGGATGAATATGTAAAGTAAATAACACAATTTATCCAATGAATGCAGATGGACACAGCTTTTATTTTTAATTTAAACCAATCGATACATACCAGGATTCAACGCTATCAATTGTAATGGCAAGATACATAAAATGGATTGATATTTGTTTTTAAGTATTTAGCATTACAAAACTAGCAATTAGAGAAGTTGTATTTCAATATATGCCGTATTCAAAAGAAATAGTTTCTAAATGTATGCTTTTCTTTCTGTTAAAATGTTAATTGGATTACCTTGGTTTGACATTTCATTGATGATGGAGTAAGCAAACATTCAGAACAGTGAGAATAAGGAAGAAGGCTTAGTTGCTGAAAGTCAACTAATATTCCTTTTGATCAGTAGATATAAATATCCATGATATAAAATAATCAAATTTACAAATTAACCATATTTACTCACTTTTTAATACGACAAAAACATAACCAATTTGCTATATCGATTACACGATTTTGTTCTCTAAGAAACGGGTGATCAAAGTGTGTTTATTTCTATATCATGCTTTCAATGTTGAAGTTAATTAAAATACATATATTTTGCACAATGTTCATGATGAGTTAGTGTTACAATGAATAGTTAGAATAGTTTTCAGTATTTATTCTATTTATTAATGAACTAAACATTGCTACTGGTTTAAATTGAACGCGTCCTTTCAAAATTTAGATTTATAAAAAGCTCTTAATCTTCATCTCTCATAGTTTATCTCTGTATTCCATGCTAGTCACAGGCGTCCGCTTCCTATTGGCCGTTAAAAGTGTAGCAGCATGCTACCATCACCACGCGAGTCGGATAAAAGTACAGTCTGTTCAAAATGGAGACTTGTCAAGCATGCGCAGTGGTGAGATCTTCCTAGGCTGTCAAATCTACAGTTTCACATATTCCAACGTAAAACTCTGGGAGTATGCAGTGTCTAGAAGAATAAAACTAGAATGTTCCTTGAATTGACTCATAAGAGTGAATTACAAGTAAAACAAATATAGCCAAAACCTAAATGGGTGAAAGAGTTGAACTGTCCGTAACGGACAATAGACTGAAAAACAAAAATACTCCTACCAGCAATAATTACAAGATAGGACTGTTATATCTGCAACCTCTAGCTGTTACGCTCTACAAATAGTTTTATTCTCCACCATGCATAAAGCATTATGGGAGCTCTGGTGGAAATGTTCATGTGCGTATGTATACAATATTTATAACCACTAAACCACATTAACCCAAGATTAAAACAAACATTAAGTACTTTGTTCGATTTTGGGTTTTTTCCAGCAACACTTTAATTTCTTTTTAAATATTTAGAGAACCTTTTAATTTGACTTTGAAAACACTGATATATCCATGATTACTTTGATTCACCTGTTGCAAAATTCCCATGAGCCCGATTGCTATTTTATGCTTTGTACACCATATATGCTTGGCAGATATCTGCAAGCATGGAGGATTAGAGTGTTGTTGAATTTAAGGAACAATGTGACCCTCTGGGGTTATTCTATTTTATTTTTTATTTTTCTCTCGAATGGAAGCCAGTATTTTTGTATCAGCAGACTGCTTCTCCAAGAAAAGCTGCTGACTCAGAGCATCCCGGGGGAAACTGCATGATTCTCAGGCCCGCTGCAGATGTTCTGTTTGTTCAGGTGGGAATCAGATCCAAAAACAAGGACAGGCCAATGGCAGGATGCATGAACCCATGAGGCCAGAGGCAGCAATACTTTGAGTCACGCAATTATCTCAAATACTTATCCCTTCCCCCTACCCCCTTTAACATGAAGATTATTAAAAAGGCAACTATACCTAAATGTAAATATCTCTTTAAATAAAACATCCACATTTAGTAAAGCAGGTAATTTCTGTTCCAGAAAGAAAAATAAATAAATAGCTGGAATATTTCAATTCAAAGCTGAATTCTCATTGGCTTGATTTCTTTGTAAGCCAAACAAGATATAGATTTTAGAATTCTAATAGTAAAAAGTATAAAATAGTTGAAAGTTTATTTTTTGCTATAAAATGTAGACTTCCCACAGGATAAAGTTTGAGAAAGAGACACGATCAATCACTTTGCAATATATATTTTATTGTAAATCTTTAAAATGCTCATTTGCATTAAGGTAGACATATATTATTGTCCGTTTATTAACGGCTGAATAAAATTTTGTCCCACATAACACATAAGTTGTATATAATAAAATGATGTAATACACATATTATAATACACACTTTCACACATTGTACAGAGAATGTTTTAGTCATGAAAATGTATATTTTTAAAATTAAATCTGATCCTTACATTTTTCATTGTTATATATATATATATATATTTGTATAATATTTTTAATATAACTGAGTTTGTAGAATGGACATATGTTCCAACTAGGGTATTGTGTTTTCACCAAAGTCTGATGGATTCACATAAACTGCTCTTAAATATTTTCTGCTGAGTAAATACAAGACCGTTTTACTTCACATTAGATTGTGATTGCGGTATCCAACATATCTGTAAACAATTGGGACGTAATGTTGTATTACCGCAAGCCTTTCATGGTCAAATAAAACATCAAAAGCAGACCGTAGAATGAAAGTAACAGGAAGCAAACATTTACACTCTGCTCAAATGAAGAATTCTAATGTTGCATGGTCTTTGAAGACTTGGGCAACCTGCAACAATGGTCAGGATAGAGATTACGAAGCTTATGTTAGTAGGAACTGTAAATATCTTCCTTCCTGCTCTCGTCCATAAAACCAGAAATGATAGCAAATGTGATCCATAAGCAGTGCAAGAGTAGAAGCAAATTACGGTGAATGCTTTATAACAGGCCTTTAGCTTAGAAAGAACACTATTTATCTAAATTGTTTTGACAATCTTCACTTTGATAAAAGAAAATCACCACAGTCAACAAGTTCACATTCACCCATTGTACCAATACATATTCAATAGCAAATACCTCCTTAGATTTTCCTGATGGAAAAAAAAAAAATCATATATAAAGAACTGCCATGCTAGCCAAGAAAACATGGCAGTCACAACTGAAACCCAAAAGGGTAAAGGAGAGGGGGGAGTGGGGGAAGTGTGTGGTTGTGGGTGTGAGCGGGAGAAGGAGGTGAGGAATATCATCTCCTGCTCATGTTGGAACCCTAGACATATATGTGAGCCAGGGCATCCATCTGGTGGAATACTGTTCTGATATATTGTAAAGGTCAACTCTAATATGGTCTCCATATAATACATGTGGTTGACTTTGGCCTCTTGGCCTGCCACAGCTGGAGAGGTGGGTACAGCTCTCGGCTTCCAAAATAACAGGATTTTTTGTAGGAGTAGAGCGACAAAGAGGAATGGTGTAACCGCATAAATTCAGGTGTCAACGAGGGGATCTCACCTATTATCTTGGCAAGCTCTCCATATACCATGTTTCAAAAATATTAAATCTGTGGACAACTTTGCCAAATAGTGAGAGTAAACCAATCCCACTCCAGCATCGCCAGCAAACATTAAATTTAAATTTATGGGAAATCTTCTCTCAAGTGGCTGACCTAGAACTGGTCCTAGATCCTGTATTTCTGTCCACTAATGTGACACTAGAGCACTGTGTCTCTATTGCTATTCTATGGAAATAGTTAATGTTAGGCTTCATAGCCAATGCTCCAAAAATATTGAATCAGAACTCCTGCCTGCAATCCAGGATTTTCAATTTGGTACTCCATTTCTGAAGATACCAAAGAAAACTCCTCAATCGTGGCTAATATGCAAAAATTCCCAGCAACATCTCAACTTCCCAAAATTGAGAAAGCATATTAGATGTCTACAACCATCAGACTGGACATTGTTTCTTTCTCTAAAGTCTCAAAGTAATTTGAGTGAATATTTGCAGTACAGGGAAAAGGCGTTTCCACTCACTAAGTAATAACAGACATGTTTAAAGTTAGTCGTCTAGAAATTACAAAGAAAAAAAAAATATACAGTATATGTGAGATTATACAATTAAATATGGGTAACTGGGCAGCCAATGGCAGATGAGATTAACGTTCCAGAGACGTGATCTCCAAGCAAACCTTCAAGGCACACAAATGGTCCATGTTTTGTTAGTACCCTAAATGAACAGAACTATAAAATGCATAACTCATGTACTGTTGAGGTTTCTGAGAACTGCTTTCATTTATCTGCAAAAACATTTAATAAGAATGCAGATTTTGATACATTTCAAATCTGCCCTGCAGAGTATGTGTTGATGGCTTAATGTAGAAAACGCTTGCTGATGTGGGCCAAACAAATTTGGTTGGGACAGCTAAAGAGCCAAATGTTAGCCACCACTCTGCATTTAGCTGCCAAAAATTAGCTGTCACTGGTACAAATGCAATATGGGTTTCTCCTTCACCAGACAATCAGTTTGAGGGGAGTCAAAGCCAAAACCGTTCCTAACGTTCCCAACAAACATTCTCTCCAGAGCTCTTCAAAGAGCTTTAACCCCCATCACGTTAACTACAGGCCTGATAAATCAAAATATGGCGTTTATATTTAATAGTGATCATCCTCCTTGTTGGACATTTTTTTTTTTTTTTTTAATCTATGAATTAATACAAACAAGCAAACACACAGTTAAAAAAATGCCTGAGTACTCATCTACTGGGCTTTTACAGTAATACATTATTGCCCTTTGAATAAAGGCTCTTTTCTTTTATTAGCCTTCAATTAATAAAAACAGGATCATAAACCGATTGGATCAGAGATTTACAAGGATTATGATGTTATACTTTGCAATGATCTGTAGACGTTGAAGCGCTATACAGAAAATAATTATAAAGTTACGAGCTGAGTGATTTATTTTACAACAGCATAAAAACTAAGCAATATTTGCCTTCTCTTCATGCCAGAGTCTGTAAGTCATTAAATAGTGCTTGAAAATTGCTTTTTAACTGTGTAATTGAACAGTCTCAATCAAGTGAAAATAAATTCACCTTTAGCACCTTTGCAGTTTCATAATGACATCGAAGTTTGAAATTCATCCAACTTTCTTGCAACGATTAAAGAATTCCCTCTATTATTTGTTTTTACTGGTATTTTCCAGGAAAAAACTTCTCTGTCAAGATGAAACAGTTAAAAGTATTTAGCAACTTCAAATCCCACGGAACTTGACGTTTAGATTTGTTTTGACCTGAAATGGAAAAATGTTTTTGATGCCCACGGGGTTAGTGGGATGGAATATATATATATATATATATATATATATATATATATATATATATATATATATATATATATATATATATATATATATATATATATATATATAAAAATATTAGTATGCTAAGAAATTGTGAATTCTTCCATGCAATCATGGAATCCAGAAATTAAGCTGGGGAAAAACTAGGGCTCGTTCTTGATTTAATTTATTTTTATATCCATGATCATCTTCTACTTTAAATGGGGTGTACAAGATACAAATTATCAAAACTAAAAACAGACCCACTTGACCATCTGTCAAAACAGAGTAGTTTTCTGTTTGCTAAAACATAGTTTATTATAGTAAACAATACTACTGTAAGTGCATAATATATATCTAAATAATTGGAGATAGATAGATAGATAGATAGATAGATAATCTGCTGTTGAACCAAGTAAATGTGCATTGCCCATTTGAATCCGTTTTACTTTTAATTAGAAAATGTTATCATGACTGACAATTACCTTGGTCCCCTCAGTTACCGTCATTTTCCAATGTGGGCAATGAAGACATTTCTACTTCCACATTACTGATGACAATTCCGCCCTTCTTTTAAAGGAACTCATTGGCTCAGAGCATCACTCGATGCTCTCACCCAATTAATTTTTTGTCCAAACAGGGATGAAACAGAGATCTATTGTGGAAGAGAAACGTGTGCTTTCTATATATTAGCAATGGAGGCCGTATTGGAGGCTCCGGGGCACCAAGTAATATGTCAAAACATTCTAAAATGATTTGACTTATTGTGAAAAATGACTTAAAAGTCATTATTGCAGCTTATTTCCTTAAAATTATTATTATTATTGTTTTTTTTTCTGTGGGTGTTTAGTACAAATTCCATGAAACTATATTTATCAAGGCAAAGCAGGTGTACTAGAATAAATGTTTAGACTTTTTGAAACTGCCCGAGCATAGCAGCAGTTTTGCCTTCGTACCTCCCAACATTTCAAATAGACAAAGAGGAACACGTTCATTTTTGGGGTGTGTGTAAGTAGCCAGGTACGGGGCTGTTCTGAGAAATTTTAGTGCACTTACCAATAACAATTTATGTAACTAAAATGTAATTTAGAACAAGAACAATGTATTATATTTACACTGATTGTTAAAACATTTATTGTAGTGTAAAATTACATTACTGTGAGTATTTTTGCTGTGAAGCTCTGTTATACACTCACACACCAACAACATGGAGCACCTATAAAAGAGGGACAGATGGGGTTTGGGACCAAAATAGTAAATGTACCTTCTAAATATGGACACTTGGGAGGTATGTGACTTGAATTCTATATAGTCCATAGTTTATAAACTGTATGCATACAAAATACTGTGACTTATTTATGGAAGAAAACTTTTTCAAGGTTTTCAGATTAACGTACAAATAGAGAACTGCAGGTTTTGTGAAATCATCATGTAATTTTTTTTTGTTTTGTTTTTTGTTAATGCCCCACATGATTCTTATTATCAGGCAGATGATACAAAAATACTATTTATCCATACCACCAAACGCTATAGTTACACCACAGACACCCATACTGGGAGGCAGATGTATACCGCACAGCATGCCACAAGCCGCATACTCATACTATGTCTTACCGACCCCCCACCCCCGCTGGCGGTCACACAAGGACCACGCTAATACACCCACATGGAATATCAGTTCGGGGCAAAACTCTCTAGGGCAGATACATAGACTGCAACACTACACGCTACTCATACCCACAGAGGGCACAAAGATGTTACCACTACTGTTGCTTACAAAGTTAAATGCATTATAAAAAGTGCAATGTTATTAAATGCCACAGTTGTTCTTAAATGTCTGATAAAACTGCGAGCAATTGCTGTTGTGGCTATGTTTGCAACGATGTTATTTCTATGCACACAAAAATAAAGAATAAAAAAAAAAAAAAAATACTCTTTATCCAATAATTTAGATAGTCACTTTGAAGGCACATGACTATCTCTACAACCAAACGCAGAAAGGTTCATGAAATGCAGTATAACCATATCAGCAGTTTGACTCAAGCCAGGGGTACCTCAGGCGCCAAACTTCTGGCTATCTCACTTGCAACATTGCAGGTAGGTACAAATATCTTAAGAACTGCAGACCCCACTGTGAAATGTAGTGTAGTGCATATGGTGCAGTGTCTACGGTTGCCAACCCCAGTGTCTTTTGGCAAACAGTACGAGTTGATACACAAAATCTGGGGTGCTCTGCGTGTAACTAACCTGGTCCCTCTACTGTATCTCAAACTGTGTGGAAGGTCTAGTTCTCACAATGTTACCAACGCTGTCTAACTCAGTACGGCAGTAAAAGGCTGTGAGCACTGGTGCAACCCAGTTTGACAAAAAGTAAATAACACATACATACAAACAAACAAAAAACAGATTCATTGCAACGAGCTGTAGTAGTTATTTAGTAGTTAGTGTATAGACAAACCATTTAAAAAATAACTAATAGAAAAGTAACTTCCAAACCATGTCCACATGTTATATACACATTTTATTATATATTAAGACATGTTTTTTTCACTTGAGGGTTGTGGGTTTTTTTAGTTTTTTTTTTATAAATAGGGTAGTACAAAGAGATCCAAATTCTGTATTTTTTGCTATGACAATTTCAGCATGTTTTTTTAAAACCGGTAGAGACAGGCACGTTCAAGGGTAAACGACAACATATATGTATTCGACACCAGCTGTATCAATTGTAAAGAACGCAAACTTTGATATCAAGTTTTGAGGTCATGTGACTTAGCCAAAGGGAATCCAAAATGTTTAGTAATATCAATCAGATGCATTCTATGGAATTTCAAAGTGAATCACAGCTCAATAATTCAAAACAGCTTGTGAATCGCATATACCAAATACGGCAATAGAGTATTTTGAAAATACCATCATTATTACTGTGATTAAGTGCCAGATCCATAATTGCAACCAAATGTGCCGCATGTAAGCAATTCAACTGAGTGCTATCCTTGATTAAACTAGTTTGTTTTCTAATGAGTAACATGAGGTAAAATACTCTGTTACTGATGGTTATATACGCCGGAGCATTTGGATGGACTAAAGTGACATATTTTCAACATTAACAAACTATTACTTTAAGGCAGTGTGGGAATTAATGAGATTAGGTCAATGATTTAGACCCAATTCAGCTGTGCCTACAGCCATCATAATCTCTGGCAAGCAGAAAATGCAGAATTATTATAAAATCAAAACAAAACAAAAACAATGTAGTGGCAGACGTACAAGGATGGATAATGGCTCAATGTAAAAACAAACAAAAAAATAATAATAAAGAAATTGGCCATGTGTAAAACAGATGTAGAGGGTTCACATACGGTATTATTCAGTTTTAATCTGACAATGCCATAGGCTGTTTTTAAAGTCGAGGGCATAGAGTCAGATAAAATGTAAAACAGTTCACATATATTATATGTGTAGGTCTATATACTACAGCAGAATGTTAAGGATCTGCGAAAGGACATTTAAACACACAAACTCACAAAACCAACTTGGGAGAAACAATTTCTTTTGTGCTTCATTTTTTGCATACATTTTGTAAACAGGTTCCTGACCTTTAAGATTATAAACTAAAATACAACGGGTTATAGGCTCATAACGCTATAGGCGCAAGGTACTGAAACTGCTGGCAACATATTTCTACAGAGTTAAATCAATTCTTCTCACAAGTGAAACGTAGATTTTACATGCAGTTTTTTTTAATTGGTAGATGAGTGTGCAACACGCAAACACATTTCAGAGTGCTTAAAGAACTGTGAATTACAAATGAGAGTTCAGCAATGGAAAGATTCCAGTGAAGACTTCAAGGACTATTGAATAGACCTCCCAAAACCTCTCTGAATTACCATGGGATCCTTAGAAATGTTGCTCTCAATTCAGAAGCCTCTGACAAAGAGAACTTGAATTCCACAGAGCATATGTTCTCAAAAGTGTTTTTCAGACATGCAGCAGGACCTCAGAGTAACTTCACAGGTGGCTCGTTAATTGGCAAAGATAGATCTGCCAACATCTAACACACTAATTGATCAAGTGTGTTCATGTGAGAAGATCCTGCACTGTGGTGGGTCTCAAGATTCTTACTAGTAGAGCCGATGTAGGAGGATAACAGCTTGTCTTGAAAAGTTATCATTTAGGGCTTTCCACAGAGTAGCCATTAAAGGACCAGTAAAATATGCATACACTACAGTGGCATATTACGGAAATCCATACACAATTCAAAGATATACGACACAAAAAAGGGACTACATTGTCGTATACATGCTTTTGGACAAAAAACTATGAGAAATTTAAGGAACCTACCAAGCGCCATAGCCAATACAGCACACTTTAGTGGTTATGGTGCCTGTAGTGACCCCCTTCCCCATCCTCCCCCAAGTGCTAATGCTTCTTGCTTGGTGTCGCTAGGAGTTGCTCCTAGACTCCTCGGAGCCAGAATTTTCATTAGCTCACCTGAGCCAAGCTCTACCATGCATGGACAGCCTAGTGGCTGACAGCATCAGTCGGTGCACGGCCAGGCTTAGCTCAGTGAAGGAAGCTTCCGACTGTGAGGAGGCTGAGAGTGGTAACTGGCAGACCCCAGATACAAAGTCAAACCATAAGAAAATGCTTTGGCTACTTACACTGGAGGGCGATGGAGAGTTGCAACGGCACTCCTGACACAATAATCACAACAGCACCCTGTGTTCCTTTAGTTCACAACATAGTTACAGAAAGTCAAAGAAACTACACACAGTAGTGACAACCTTACTATATGAATGCTTAGGTCCTCTCCTTCTAATGCAGGATGTTTTGGAGTTCAGATCACTCAGTGCTGTCATTAACTGAGCTGTCTACATATATATTCAATAAGGAAGTATTTTTCTGGAATGAGGGAGCATGGCTAATGAGGCAGGTTTACGGTGCAGCATTCTACAAAATAATTATTTTTTTGTGTGAAAATACTATAAATATTTGGGCATGCATATTAATGAGGACAAAGTCTAGCAATTGCATTAATGTTGTATTGGTGCTCGGATTGTCTCAGAGTAAATGTTCAAGTTGTAAGTGGCTTTTTAAATTAATAAAATATTATTTATAAATTATCGGTACATGTGAGGGTTTCTTTGTGTGAAAGTATTGCAAATGCATGTTTGTGTCCGTTTACAATATTAGTGTAGCATGTGTGCAGTGTCTATGTGTATTCGTTTCACTGACACTAAATGTCTGTTTTGTGTACAGTGCCTGTCTATGTGTATATTAGGGTCTCTGTCTGTGTACACTGCTTGTATGCTTATATGTAAGAAAATGTGTGTCAGTGTGTATTTTGTGAAATATATAAAATCACCCTGCTTTTATCTGAACTAGAAACATGGCTGTCTTGAATAAATAATATTTCAAATTTCCTTCCCTTTATGGAAAACTATTTATGTTTACAATTATCCCTCTGTGACTGCGCTAGTTAATAGTATAAAGCACAATATGGAGATCAGAATCTTACTCTGTTTTTGTTTTGTACTGAATGTATTATTAATCAGTGGACGTACTCAGTTTAAAGATATTTCTCCAGTTCAATTGTAATGCTCTGTCTATATCCCACTGCCAGTACGGCATATAAATCAACCTGATCTTGATAGTCTATTGGTTTAATTACAGTTAAATGCAAATTGATCTTTACATTAATTAGCCTGTAAAAGAGATTGATTTTTAAATAGAGTTTTATACTCTGTGTAGCAGCAAAGTACTCTCATTGATTTTGTTTCAGCAGTAAATACATGGCTAGACGCAGTGTATCCCTTTGTGAACTGCCTAATCCCGTTTTCCACAAATTCTAGCAAAATATCTCCTTCTGTTTCTTTTCTCGAGGCATAATTATAACACTACAGGAGGTGTGTACACAACGAAATACCTACCTCTCATGTGCTGCACTTTGAAACTAAAATCTATGTCCCTCTTTTTCTAGAGGCTTGGTATATTTTGTGTGTATAAGCGTATCACAGCTTTCTCACATAGAAAACACATAATGTATGGTGGTGTATACAGGTGCATTGTGGAGTTCCATAGCAATAGCATTCACAGTAAGATGTGTTGTGTATGATTGTATCACATGCATTCTCCCAAAAGGGGCATTCTAAGCACCATCACCATGACAGCACACTGTAGTGGCTATAGTGCCATGATTACCAAGGCACCATACAACAGTACGTCATCAAACTATTTATCAATGGCTTGTCTGATGCCAATAGTACTTTTTAAAGTGGAAGTTAATAATTGCCCCATTAGCAAATTCAATTGTGTGCAAGTTTGGACATTACTGGATGAGAATGTAAGCCAAATATAACAATTTGACACTGTACCATGGGGAATTCCTAACGGACTAACTATACCTTTAAGTTTTGTGTTTTTAGTGAATATACTCACAGAGCTCTGCAGCAATAAAATCCACTGAATTGTACAGTGTGTATGAGAATATTGTATGATAATGTATATATATACATTCATACATATATACTGGCTCTGCATCTCTTTCTGAGTTGTGTTGCAAAGCTGATGTGCACAGCAAACAAACTCAGAGGAATTCATGTATAAGGTGGAATAATGAGGCAAATGTGAAGTTTCTTATGGCTTGACTGGTGTGTGCAGATGTTTGTTTAACAACATATTGAATATATATTTATATACACACATATATACTCACCAAAAGTATAAATACATATTTACCATTTACTGAACATACATATAATCATTTGCATATTTACTGCGATAGTTACCAGCTTAATTACACACTTGATGACCAAAGACATGACTTGTGTTATGGTATACTTAGATTTGTCTAGCTTCTTACATATTAAGGAATTAAAAGTATATGGATTCATTTACACCCTGAGAATAATTAAATGCACAAAGGATTAAATAAGTATTTTTTTTAAAGACATACACTAAGCAACAAAACTACTACATCTACACAGGGCCGCCTCAGAAATTTTGGGGCCCCTAACTCAGCTCAAGGTCTGGGCCCCGTGGGGCACACCTCTAAATCCCACCCACAGGAATACACACACACAGACACAAACACACACTAATACAAAAGGACACAGATACACACACACTGAAACAGACATACACGCATATAGGCATACATACTGACACACACATACTGAGACATACACACATATACAGACACACAGGCATACAGTTTGACAGACCGACACATACTTACATACATACAGACACACATGCATGAGGACATACAGACACACACAATGACATACAGACATACATGCATACAGACACTGACATCCATGCATATATACAGACATCCATGCACACAAGTTCATACTGACACACACACACACAATTTTTCAGCCACCCTCCTGTTTCTAACCTTTTCTTTGCAGGAGGGTGGCTGGGGCTGATAGGAGTCGGCTGGCTCTCCCTCTTCACAGCCTGGCTGGCGGTACTCCCGCGCAGAGTGAGCTGGGAGGAAGTTACCACTTTTTTTTTTTTTTTAAACGGGCCCATTCGCGCTATTACACGGCCACATCGCTGACCGGGCCCCTGAAGATATATGGCGCATTGGGTGGCCCTAAGTGCGTGAGCCACCAGATGGGCCCCGTCAGCGTGCGGGCCCCGGTGCAACTGCACCGGTGGCAATTCCGACGCTACACCGTCATGGTTGTCACCCCTGATGGAGACCCTGCATCTACATGTAGTGGTTTTGGTGCATCTATGCAATCCCTTTACTTATGCAAGTAAGTTACATTTGTCCAAGAACAAACCTCTAGTGGTTGTCAGACAGATAACAACTAGAAGCATTCTTGCTTAAAGGACCACTATAGGCACTATATGCTCAATGAAGTGGTCTGGGTGCCAGGTCCCCCTAGATTTAACCCTGCAGCTGAAAACATTGCAGGGTTAATCCAGCCTCTAGTGCAGGGGTAGGCAACCTACGGCACTAGTGCCATGCACGGCACTCGAGGTGTCTTTGCACGGCACTCAAGGCTGCTAGAGCCAAACAGGGTCTGTCCTATCAGGAGTCCCAGTAAAACTTCAGACATCTGCTAATAAGAGGTGGTGAAGGACAATCCTCAATTTATGCATTGCAGATCACTTCCTCCCAGCACTTGTGAATGGGATTCCACACTGTAGCAGAGCAGCCTGCAGCAGCTGTTGCAGCTCCTATACTTGAGCTATACCTGGCCGGCCTGGTCCCCACTGGAACCTAGGGAAGCCACCCACACTGCTAGATATACACATAAATGCAGAATAACCCTCCCCTCATACAAATAATACGAACAGCCCACACGCAAACATACACACAATCCCCACAAACGCAACACCACTAACAATCCACATACATGCACACAATCCCACATGCAGCCTCTCACATGCAATACCCCAAACATCCCCCACACACTACCAAACACACAATGTGACATATCCATCCACACACAATTCCACAAGCAGCCCTCATACACAGTCCACATTCATATGTATCATACATGATACCATAAACTACTAATGAACATATACAATATAAAAGCTCATATACGCACAAATACGATACAAAGCAATTACAGTAAAAATAATAAGCAGAATACGGCAGCATACACACCTCAATTTAAAAAAATAGAATCGGCACGCTACGGGACATCACAATCCTATATCGGCACAGTGCTGCTAAAAGGTTGCCTACCCCTGCTCTAGTGGCTGTCTCCCTGACAGCCACTAGAGGCCGCTTCCGCGATCCTCAATGCGAAAATCGCATTGAGTACGCTGAAATCAATAGGAAAGCACTGCGCGTGGCTCTGCGCTTTCGGCTTCACTTGGGAGCTGACTTCGGCGGGGGAGGAGAGGTTACCAGTGCCGAGGCAGCCCGGCGCTGGATTAAGGTAAGTGGCTGAACTGGTTTTAACCCCTTCAGCCTAGCGGGAGGGGGGCCCTGAGGTTGGGGGGGGGGACCTAATAACCCTAGAGTGCCAGGAAAACTAGTTTGTTTTCCTGGCACTATAGTGCTCCCTTAAGGCCTTCAATTTGCAATGGTCTTCACTCACATTGAACATTGCCAAACCTCCATGGAGAAAGATTGCTTCACATGTGCTGTAGGTCTAGAGTGCTTCTCTATGAAAGGCATCAGACCATCTGATTGGATATGAGATCATCAGTCACATTCTAGGAATAGCTATGAACTCATAGCAAGTAGACTGTCCTACCGCTGAATTACAGGTAAATTTAAAGTTTTTTTCGTTTTGTTTTTGTGGAGAGGGGGTTTAATTTGAAACAAAAAGTGGGACGCTCTGGATCTAAAGTTAAAAAAGGAGCATTCTAACTTTAAAAATAAAACATTTATTTTTATAGTTAGAATGCTGCTTTAAAAAAGATATTCACAAAATGAAGGGAGGAAATTAACATAGAAAATGCTTTATTTATTTATTTTCACACATGAATGCACATTTTGTCAGCTCTAGGGAACAGAGTTAAAATATCAGGGGGGGTTTCTACCTTTCTTCAATTAGGATAAATAAGTAAGCAGTGAAAAAAAAATATGCCAAATGCAAAGATAGAAACATGATTAAATGAATTCCCTTGACTAAAAGTGCATTTACGTGTACACACAAAAAAAAAAAGTTTGCGGACTTAAAGCTTAGCTGTTACAAATAAGGAAATGTGCAGATTGGCAAGAGCACAATACTTTTTGAAACTGTGGCCACCTGCCAGCATCAATCTCAGATCTACAAGCCATATCAACAATTTTATAAATAGCTCACTGTGCCAATTCACCCTAACCATACTTGTTGATTCAATTCCATTTAAAAGTAAACACAGGTGAGCAAATTTCAACCGAAGACAAAAAAAAAAAAAAAAAAAGACAAGAAAAAGGTGAATGTTCTAGCTCCTAACGAAACAGCAATCAATAATGCTGTGGGATTAAATTCTAGTTTGATCAGTAATAACCTCTGTAACCAACTTAAAATAAACAGAACTGATTTGAGTGTAGGCATTTCCTGGCTACATAAAGGATGGATCCAAAGGTTTAATGAAGCATACAGATCTTTGCAAACATATTTCACCAGATCTGAGTCTCTCAGACACAACCTTTTTCTATCTGTTTGGGAGGATCGAAATTTGTAGCCATCGTTACTTTTATAACAAGAATTTGCCGTTATAACAAACACTGTATTATTTCTAGACCTTACGTACGTGACCAAGTGCAGGAAGTTGGATATGGGCTTACGGGATTCATACGCAGATTGACGATTTAATGCAGCTCACCATGAATCATGTTCAGATGAGTGTAAAGTAAAGGGCTGTAGGTATTCAGCGCTGTGAAGTACCGGTGTGGCTGTCTGTGTGTCAATTACATCTAATCTTGGCACTGCAAAAGTTTTGTTAACATTTTCCGTGAGGTCAAAATTTTTGCAAAGCATTGCGGGAAATGTAGTTCTGAAACACCTGCAGTGTGTCAAAGAAAATGCACGTGAAATCTATATAAAATAAAACACTTGCAGTTGCAGCTCATTTATGGGGCTTGAAGGCACAACAGAAAGGAAAAAACATAGTCCCCTCGCACTTTCAGTAAAGTGTGGAGGGGTGGGGAGGAACTTGTATGCTGCAGACATGGCTTGTTTGAGAAAAGGAAGGATTCATAGATTTTAGAACCCCCATACTAGGTTGGACACAGGAGGGGTACCAACACAGGCAGTTCAGCTCCAAACGCTATAGGGAGGATTGTCAGGTTTGGCTTGCAGTGGCTTATTAAATTTGTGGTTCTAAGAGACAGGAATTGGAAAAGTGACAGCAATATTTTGGCAACTAATCCCTTTTGTGCCTTTAAGAAGGGCTGAAGTTCAATATTTTCTATATTATTTCTCTTAAGATGTGGCTGCAAGTCAAGGCACCATTATGCCTCAAAATCAAGGCCTTGCAAGTCAAGAAAGATCACCTGAGCAGTGTATTCTCCTTCCAAATCCCCTAACTGTCTGAGCAGAAAGAGAGTGTGATGCTTGTTGTAGGGAGTAATCTATCTCCACTACTACATGACAACTGATTGCACCAGGAAGCTGTAATATTGTGTGAATATGTGTGTCTGTCTCCTTGTGTACATGCATGCATAGGTCAATAAATTGCTGGTTTTGTTTGGCGATTCATATGAGAGATTATCGAATTTGTATATGCATATGTATGAGCAACTGTCTAATTTAGTGTACATATACAAACACACATATGAAAAAATGCCATTTGTCAAACCCTGTAAATATTAAGTATGTGTACAGGGGCTATTTGGCTGATTGCAAGTATTCAAGCAATGCAAACTAGAAAGTTATTTTTTAACACTTGTCAGACATTGATAGATTTATTGCCTTTTAGAAAATGTAGATTATGTGCTTAACACACACATATTTTAGCCCTTGCTATAAGCACTTCTTCCCATAATATAGATTATATATAAATAATATATATCACATACGTAGCTTCTATTATTATTGACACCAAGCATCTAAGCTGTTACAGGGTATCATTGCCTTGTTTTTCTCAAATATAAACTTACAAATTATATATGCACAAACCCAAAGGCCACTATATAAAACTCTTAATCCACCCAGCCTTCTACATACATGGCTGAACAATGGGAGTTAAACTGCAATAACATAGCTTCCTTTGGAGTAGGAAACAGTTGCACTGCATATGTATCTAAACGTGTGCAGACGTGGGACTTAGACCTCCTATACTTTTGCAGGATCACACCTGCAGAACACCAACTCAAAGTTTAAGCCGGACTACAGAAATGAATCAACAAAATTCAACTTCATGAATACAACATTAATTTCCTTGCCAAAGTCCTTTGCAGTGAGGATTCCACTCCTCAAACAATTTAAAATAAATACATAGATACATAACAAAGGGTCCCAAACTGATGTATAACTTACAGAGAAAGTGATATCAGCTTAGAAGATGCTTCTCCTAGAGACGGGATATCAGAGAGTTCATTGTGGTTCAAAAGCCTGAAATAAAATGAACATAATAATTATTGAAAAATAACTAGAGAAAATGTTCCTGTTCAATCATCTCTCTTAAACATTTGTTTTGTATCATGTTGTAGTAAAGAAGCATACACTCGGTGTCAGTTCTCTGTAGAACAGGTTGGGCCAACCAATCACATTTATATATGGGTACAGAGTCTAATAGTAATAGTAAATGGTTAGTTGTTCGGGACTTCTGGATGGATGGTAGGGTCTCACTGAAAAGTACAGGTTTCCATTTTGCTATTGCAATTTAGATGCAGCCACATCAAAATCTCATGATGGCACATTAAAAAGTGACATTTTGGGAGGGCCTTCAGGCAAGGTTAAAGGACCACTCTAGGCACCCAGACCACTTCAGCTTAATGAAGTTGTCTGGGTGCCAGGTCCTTCTAGGGTTAACCCATTGTTTTATAAACATAGCAGTTTCAGAGAAACTGCTATGTTTATCAATGGGTTAAGCCTTCCCCCAAAGCCTCTAGTGGCTGTCTCATTAACAGCCGCTAGAGGCGCTTGCGTGCTTCTCACTGTGAAAATCACAGTGAGAGCACGCAAGCGTCCATAGGAAAGCATTATGAATGCTTTCCTATGCGACCGGCTGAATGCGCGCGCAGCTCTTGCTGCGCGTGCGCATTCAGCCGACGGGGAGGATCGGAGGAGGAGAGCTCCCCGCCCAGCACTGAAAAAAGGTAAGTTTTTACCCCTTTCCCCCTTCCAGAGCCAGGTGGGAGGGGGACCCTGAGGGTGGGGGCACCCTCAGGGCACTATAGTGCGAGGAAAACAAGTATGTTTTCCTGGCACTATAGTGGTCCTTTAAGTTCCTTGAGACTTAATAACTTAATGAAAAAAATAAAATGAAAGGAAAACCTGTTCTAATAAACCTGCCAAGTCATTCTTCATATCCTAACATTGCTTTCCAGAGGTAGCACACACATATAAACTACATATGTATACATTCATTTGTATTTTTCGCCTACCATATTTTCCACATGATTATAAAAGTATGCAAATATTTTAGTTCAGAATGACTACATCTCGCAGGTTGCAAGTCTTAACAGTATAAAAATAAACTGGGCCAATGAAAAATGCTCAGATTTAGCAGGCTAATCATCATAAAATATCAAAGTGAATGAGGTATGCTTTCGTTGGAAGAAAGAACAGTCTATCCTGCCTTGGCAAAGTGATTTGTATCTACAGATGTTCTACAAAGGTCATCGAGCAGATTTCAATAATTCTCCCCTTGAAAGACTTCTTTTCTCTGCTTGCATTGAAAATCCATAATAAGTCACGATCCCATTGTTTAGATGAAACTAAATGTGTTTCATATTTGTTCTGCATAAACCGTGAATGTCCCTTAACACTTATTTTGACTTGTGGGATTCACTGAGGTTGGGTCCACATTCACTGAACACTATATTGTGGTGACCTGACAGATGAACTATACAATTTGAATTGATTGTAGATGTCTCTAGCTTGGCTCCTTTAGCATCATTTTTTACAAGTGTGTACTTAAAGGGACACTATAGGCAGCCTGACCACCTCTTCTAATTTAAAGTTGCTGTGTGCAGTGTTCTTGTCCGCTAAACCCTGCAATGTAAATCATTTTTTGAGAAACTGTAATGATTACTTTGCAGGAGTTAGACTGTCTCGCTACGCATTAGGTTCCCCCATAAGATGACGTTGGAGAAGGATCACTGATCCAGTCCCTCAGTTTTACTCAGATGCCTAAATAAATGGTTATTTAACCCTTTATATGCTGGCGGGGGGGCTGCAAGGGGGGGGGGGAAGAGAGGGCACTATAGTGTTAAGAATATAGATTTCTATTCCTAGCATTATAGAATTCCTTTAACTCATTACAACTTGCTAATGAAAGAATTACTGATAGAACATTTTTATATCCTATCCTTGGTATTTCAGATGAAGTAGAATACTACTCTCACCCTGCTCGGTGCCATTTGCGTTTCTTGGATTTTCTGACAATTTACCCAGGAATTCAACAAATGGATGTGACATGTAAATAGTAACTGCAAAGTTCCTAAAATACGTTTTTCTTCATTTAAAGTAGTAATTGAAGGTGAAAAATTCAGTCAATGTCCTTTCATAACCGTCTGTTTGAATGGGGACTAGCCTCACGGCCACCCTCGTTGAATCCCCTTTGTACCACACTGAAGCAATTACCACTCAATTCCATCCAAACTGCTGGGAAGGTACCTATAGTGCACACTGAATTCACATTTTTCTTAGTTAGCAATAGCGGTCTTTTCCCAAAATCATATATTTTAGAACAGGAATTACAAGATCAACAAACTGAATTTGTTGACACCCATTTTACCCACTAGAACATTTTCTTACTTTGTTAAGGAGGTAAAAACACATATATATACACATACACACATATATATGTAGAACGCTTACATTTTTCCTAGTGCTGGGCCTACATTTTTCTGTAGTGCTGGGCAATGGGTAAATAAATGTAGCATGAAAATATATAATAATTGGAAAATACAAAGACCCAAGAAAGTAACAGGGCAAAGGGATGTATAACAAATGTGTATGGTATCATTTGCAGTTTTATATGGTTCCAAACTCATATTCATTAGTCTACCTCATTTGAGGTCTGCTGAAAAAGCAATCTTGTGCTGGTTTAATGTTACACAAGAATAAGCACATAAGCAAAAATAGTAGCAGTAAGACAAATATGCCGTGTGGCTATAAAAATCAATCTTTTTAAACTTTTTTTTAATTCTTCCAGGAAATATATACAGCTTTGGGTAGGGAAGGGTCTCTGGGCATCTATTTCAAAGAGGCAAGCAAGTACGTAGAAATATCATCTTTGTTTAGTCCAAAGTCATCAAGCTGTTAGATACTAACATCAGAGTGACATCCATTTTACTGTAAGACAACATCAAATGTCTGATATAGTAATGGTTAAACTGTCAGCTGTTAAAATGATTTGTAAAGCTTATATTATCCATTAAGTCATGTCACAGTAAATGGTTTTGTCAGGTGTAACAATCGTAGACAATTTTAGCTGCTGTCTGGTTTAGTGCAGGATAAGCGACTGCAGGTTATACACCACAATGTTATGATAGCAAACTAAGTTATTCTTTCATTGACGTGCCTCAGCTCATGGGCTGCATCACATCTAACCTGACGTGTTTCTGCCACCAAAGAGGACTATGCATTTGTTAGTAGTTTTAAAGGTATTCGGGATTTCAAGCCGTTTGTATTAAGGAAGACTAAAGAATAACAAATATTTACAGCCCAGCTGGTGCCTGGTTTAAAAAAAAAATAAAAAGTACCTTTACAAAAAGTAAGAGATTAATTCAGAGTTGCTCTGTATACATCGTTGGACTAGATCCAGTAAACGGAAATTTGAATGGAGCATAAAAGATAATAGGGTAGGAGAGGGCATTATTTTACCAGCTGGGGGTGAAACAGGAAATCTTATTCTGCTCTTTTCCCATGTTTGGTATAAAATAGCAGCTTAACAAATCCAGAACAAATTAAGAGAGTTACCATCTATGTTTTGTAAAAGTTCCACATGTTCACAAGTGTAAGGCAGTGGGGGAGGGCCATATTTTTTTTCCCCAGTAGAGATCCTTAGTCCAATGTCTAGTGGTGTTAGCAGTTTGAACAGGAAATCTGTTCGTATATATTAGTCTTCTCTGTTCCAACTCACACACAGGGAAAGATGTATTACTGTTACAGTTGTTCTAAAATGTGGTCTAAATAAATTACCAAAAGTTGGACAATCACCACAGAACCCAGTGGAACCATTAGGTTTAATTGGTGACCCTACTCTTTTCCATTTTGTCACTACTTTTTATAACTAGATAAAATGTCCCCACAGTGTTCCATTAGATATACTTTTCAGTTTTGGGAAGTATGAAATCAAGATGAGTGTGACTAGTCAAAAAATGGAAGTGTCTGTAAAGATATAGCAGCCGATTGCATGCAGCCTGCTTAGATTGCTGAAGAAGCCGTGCTGATAGAGTTGAACAACATCTAGCAAGACAGTACACAGCATTGCTTGTTATCACATCTACAGTGGACAAACAGTGCACTAGAAGAATACGGGTTATCTGTGCACTCAAAAAAAAGAGATCACTACATGTTCACTAGACTACCTGGAGATCCCAGGCACAGCAGCCTCGAAAGACTGAGGATTCCCAACTCTTTAGGAATGCCAAGTAAATATGTGAATAAGGCCAGGCAGCACGAACACTTTCTCAGATTTCGATCCAGCAATGTCGCCTACGTTTATTTGCATATTTTGCAAGGCGTTCTGGGAAAGTTATGGGAACACAATCTTTCAGCTCTGGCAATTTTATTTTCTTTAGGACATGTTTACACTGTACAAAAATATAATTTAAGAATTTTAATCAGTGAGAATCATTTGTCATGTTTTAAACTTGCTCCAAATGTTTACATGCTGAGCTCAGTACTGTACGAGATATTCAAGCAGAGAAATCGCCATGATGGCTCTAAAAGTGTAAGATAGTTTTACACAGCTGGACACTGGTTAAATCAAATTGTCAATTTTTGTGTGTGCGCGTAAAAATAAATAAATATATATCTCAATATCAATCACATTGATGTAAGTGAAGCTACAGAAGATGGCTCTCCCGGGATGTTGTCGGATTTCACATTTCCTTGTGAGGTTTCAGAAATATCAAAGTGAACAATAAATTTAAAAAATAAATAAATAAAAACCCTCTGAATACTTACACTTCCTGCAGCTTATGCAGCTCGACAAAGGCGGCCGGATCGATCTCATTCAGCCTGTTGTAGCTCAGGTTTCTGTTAAAATTACAAAAAAAGGCAGTAGGATCAGCACATGGAAGTTACTATACTCAGCAGAAATGACATAACAATTCTTCTGGATGGCATCAGTGAAACAGTCATTCAATCTGATGTTATACAAAAGCACTTAACAAATGGGGCACTGCGTTCTGTTAAAGTAGCTAGCCAATTGCCAAGGAGGCACTGTAAAGATACATGCTATTCCTCTGTACATTAAGTTCTCTTCTAATTGGATCATCAAGTTAAATAGTGTTACCTCTTGCTTTTACTTATGTTCTTTATTTTAACAGCCAAACAAATCCATCTTAAACCCTGTAGTGAATTACAAAATCGTTTCTCTGAATTGTGATGCTGCATGCATATTTTGACACTAAACTAACATTGTTTTTTTAAAATGTTTTAAATTAATTCACCAGATCTCTCAAGTAAAAATATACCCCAAATATTAGTGTTTAGGGTAAAATTGCCATGCTTTGCATTCCCCAAAATTGTAGGCATTCTGCAATTTTGGGAATTATTAACCCCTTAAGGACCAAACTTCTGGAATAAAAGGGAATCATGACATGTCACACATGTCAAGTGTCCTTAAGGGGTTAATATTTCAGTAGGGGTATTGCCCTATGGAGGTCACCTTTGTATAGAAAATATGTAAAGTGTTTACAAGTTTTCAAGAGCAGAAACCTTTTAAGTGATGAAATGTTATTTAAATAAAAAATAAAATCAGCCATACTCAACTGAATAGATTCTAAATCTATAACCAGCAGATACTGCTCTTCAAAAATAATTTCTGATTTATTCATTTTTACTTGGGATGAAGGATACAAATTATGATCACAAACAGACTAGGCAAGTTCGAACACATTTAATTTATTATTATCTCGGTATTCATTTACAATCGAGTTGTTAGTACACAAATTCTAAATGTCAGCTCCTGGGACTCCAAATATCCAGTAATGTAGAATTGCATTACAATACTGGATAATTACAAACTAATGTTCTATGAGCACAAAGCAGATAAACCATTTAGTTCGAACCTTGTGATTTTGTGTTTCTGTAAATAGTAAATTTGCAACTGGGTTTAACTATTATAGCCAATCTAGGCCTCATTCTGCAAGTTCACAGGACCTCTCTAGCAGCTAGAGGACTACGACCCTCATTAGGAGTTGTTTGACAGATATAAAAAGAGAAAGACCAAGTAACTGAATGACAAAGATTCATGGGAGTTGTAGTTTGTCAAAATCATAAGGTCATGGTACAATGAAAACAATATTTGCAATAAAGAGCCAACTGCAATCAGATTTATAAGCAAGGCACAAAAACAAATCAGTGTTAGTGGTCTAATACCGGTCTGGTAGAATTATACAACTGTAAATGAAATGGAATTACAAACAGACCTGACATATATGTATTCAGTTAATTCTTTACTTTTATCATTTTAAAAAATCTCCTCATGGTGAATGACAAAAATAAAGCATGAGGAAAAAAAAAGAAGAAAACAAAACAGACCTGAGAGCCAGTTACAGACAGTGGATGATGAGAGTTGTAGTCTATTCACAAGCAGGATTGTCATATGTGTGTCAAATCAATGCTCAAATTAAACATATACTGTATGCAGATACAGTATCTCACAAAAGTGAGTACACCCCTCACATTTTTGTAAATATTTTATCTTTTCATGTGACAACACTGAAGAAATTACACTCTGCTACAATGTTAAGTAGCAAGTGTACAATGTGTACATGTGCTGTCCCCTCAAAATAACTTAACACATAGACATTAATGTCTAAACCAGTGGTGCCCAAACTTAGGTTCAAGGTGCCCTTAATATTTCAGTAATTTTCCCAAGGCACCCCAAGTCAAAATTTCTAGGTTGCGTGTTGAGTTATTTTGAGGGGACAGCAAATGTACACTGTTATACAGGCTGTACACTTACTACTTTACATTGTAGCAGAGTGTTTCCTCAGTGTTGTCACATGAAAAGATATATAATAAAGTATTTACAAAAATTTGAGGGGTGTACTCAATTTTGTGAGATACTGTATAAGGAGATATCCAAGGCTGCTGCTGTTAAGGTTGTAATGTGAACCAATGAAAGATTGCTAATTAGATTGTGAGCTCTCTAGGGTAGATCTGCCCTTTCCAATTATGATCTGATCGGCACAATGTTTCTATTATACTATAATTGCGTGTCCTGAAATCTATTTTGTAATGATTTGTGTGTATAGGCAGTGATTTGTTTTAAATAATAAAAATACAAAAATCTATACCACGACTCTTCAACCGCGTGCAAAAAAAATTTAAAAAAAATGTATGTATATATATATATATATATATATATATATATATATATATATATATATATATATATATATATATATATATATATATATATATATATGAAATGCTTGCTTGCAGTCACGTGTTTTTATGAAGAGGCCTCAAAGTCTTACAGTATTATTTTCAAAATATTAATCTAAATGCAGGTCATGTGAAATACAGACTGACAGTGGATTCAAAATCCAAGCTTCAATTGATAAATTGTACAAAAAATATATAATTTGTCTGCAGAGATTACATTACCAGGTAACCACAGAATACCATTTTGACTTGGTATGTCACTGCTGATTTAAATTGTAGTGAGAAAAAGGCATATTGGACAAATAAAATATCCACATGACATAGTTAATCAAGTATAATATAACATGATAAAATTCTGTCTCTAGAGTATGTGTCATTTTAGGATGGCTATTTAAAAATGCTTCACTCTACGTCCATTTTTAATCAGCAATACTCTGATCTAAATGTACAAAATGTTAGCGCTATAGGGTTAATCTACCCAATATCATTAAACAGTGCGGCACAAATGCTCAATCTGCCCCTTTTTCTGAAATGTAAGATATATTTACGTAAGGCGCTATATTCCCTTCGTTTCCAATGCTCTATTAAAGCCTGCCTAAGTGTGGACGTTTGGCTGTTTGATCAGACATGCCACTGATCAGATACCACATCCACGCTGGTTTATAGACTACATAGGTCCTCTAATTTAGGCCTGTTCAAGGTCTCTCTCAGTTGGGATTAGAAATGGTCAGTTTAAATTCTTCAATATTCCAGAACTCAAAACATTTCTTTCAGAACAGGACCACTCAGTCAACGTGCCAGCAAACGTTCTCTGTTTTTTCTCTACTCAGTCCAAAAACACAGTTTTCATGCAGCGTTTATGTGCAGTTGTATCTTATTAAGTTTAAGCCAATTCACCATAAAAGGCAATACTCTGAATTGCAGCAAAAAAAAGCATGGAAAAAAGTTTAAAGTGAAAAATTTAATATATTAAAAAGATTGGTTTTGGTTGCATACAAGGTTATTTTGATCATTTGGATAAAAAAAAAAAAATACAAGCAGTAGAGACCTACTTAGAAATTGTGCAATTAAAATTATTCAGATTTAAAAATTATAAATGCATTTAAATAAAAATGAAAAGCATTTGGGTAGAAAAAGAAATGCGTAGGCCACTTGTGCCCAAATCTGAATAAGAAACATTTAACGAACAATCAGTTCAATTAAACAGATCCTTGGCTCGAAAATATAGGAGGTCAGAGATTCAGCAAGTGACAAAGAATATACTGTGAGCTATTGTCACAGCATAAAGTTTATCCTGTAAAATGAGTTTATAGCTCTAATTAAAGTAAATGTATAAATAGAATCTCATAAAACAAACATGCTCAAAAAAGACTGTTTGTGGTTTCTAAAATATTAGCCATATTAAGAGGGACAGTGCATATATACATCAATTAAAATATGAATAATAATAAACAAATAAACACACACAAAAAAAAAAATATACATCTGAATTAATTTTCATACTTTAACATGTCTCACTCTAAGGCCTAGTGACCACTCAACCACAAACATTATTGTCCAGCTATAATGAGTATGCAAAGAGCAAGGAAATATTCCTGAATTACACATTGCACAATGGAAGCTGTAGTGCACAAAAAAGCCGCAGTCCCAAGTTCTGGACTTGGCATTTAGCTAGAAATCTGCTTTTTCCTATGTATTTTTTATTTCCATTCTTTAATTTAAGCTTGAGCATCAAGAACAGCAAAAAGATCAACAGTGGTTAATGCAGTAAAATACAGAATTATTAGATAAAGTAAAAACAGACATAGGAAAGGTGCCACAGGACGCCATTGGAACACTGACAATAAGCCATAGCATCGTGGTCGTTTCATCGTGGTCTATCCAGAACAAAAAATCAACATCCCCAAGCTTAAAGGATCACTATAGGGTCAGGAACACAAACATGTATTCCTGACCCTACAGTGTTAAAATCACCATTTAGCCCCCTTGGGCCCCTCATGCCTCCATAAATATAGCAAAAATCTTACTGTATTCAAGCTTGAAGCTGTAACTCTGCATGCTGTTAGAATCAGAAAAACAAGCAGTGTGCTGACATCATCAGAAGTGATAGCCTGATCCAATCACAATGCTTCCTCATAGGATTGGCTGAGACTGACAAAGAGGCAGATCAGGGGCAGAGCCAGCATGATTCAAACACAGCCCTGGCTAATCAGCATCTCCACATAGAGATGAATTGAATCAATGAATCTCTATGAGGAAAATTCAGTGTCTGCATGCAGAGGGAGGAGAGACTGAATATTTGGATGCATTTTAGGCAGCCATGACCCAGGAAGGATCTCTAACAGCTATCTGAGGAGTGGCCAGTGAAGTTATCACTAGGCTGTAATGTAAACACTGCATTTTCTCTGAAAAGACAGTGTTTACAGCAAAAAGCCTGAAGGTAATGATTCTACTCACCAGAACAAATTCAATAAGCTGTAGTTGTTCTGGTGACTATAGTGTCCCTTTAACACTGCTCATTAGTGGCTTTAATTTTTAGCATGAGAATTTTGGAGCCTCTGCACCCATTGTTGAAATGCTGAGGTTTTTACAGAAACAGAGTCTCGCCCCTCAAGGTTTTTAACGCCGAAGAGTTCCAATGTATTTTTTTTTTTAAGGAAAGGAGTCTGTTATATATGCATCCAAAGAGGTTTGAAAATAGCAATACCTTTTTGGAGGAACCATGAAACAATGTCAAAGTGAGTGTAATATTAATGATTAAAAGAAAGCATCAAGTTCAGAAAAAACAACATTATTGTACACTTCATTGACATACAACATATGTGTAAAATAAGTGTCAATATGCTTATGTTGGCTCCACCAGAAAAAAACAATTTGTATGAGACTGTGTCAGCATAGGGGTTGTAAACTAAGCAAAGAATTCACATTTCCAGACAATTTGACCTGCTTAAATTTTCAGTTAAGTTATTTTTAGGTATCACCAAACCGTCTGTGAAATTCCAAATACTTTGCACTTGTTTACCAGAATCTGAAGGACTTATTCAACAAATCTATCCTATACAGGAAAATAAATAAAACTATGGGGCTTATCCTTGCCTCGAATCCCATGGTGAGAGTATCCCTCACCTCAACTCTGTTCTAGGAGATCATCACAACTAGTACTCATAGAGAAGCACTGAGCGGCAGGGCTTGAGAAGCACCATGTTGAGGCACAATGCTTCGCTATGAGAAGTCACACAACTGTTTTGTGCTAAGGCACAAGGCAGTCCAAAAGAGCACCCTCCTATAATACAGCATTTAGTGAACGTCCTTGATAGAATCGTTATTTTTATTTACTATCAAAACGTGCTTGTTTTTCTTTATTGAATACTCTGCTAAAGAGTCAGACATATGTTTGACAACAAATGGTCCAAGGCTGCATTTATCCCCTTCTCTCTGTCATTTTCTGTGTGAAAGACACCAGGGCATTTGTATCAGGAGAGCCACTCAGCAGCGTACAGATTGTTATTTAAACTGTAACAGAACTTAATTCTTTGGTTTTAAGAATATGTTCTCTGTGAAAAAAAAAGAACCACAGCCTAGGAGAAGAGAACTTCCTTTATCTGTGAGCAATCAAAGTATTAAGCTGATGCCTTCTTCAAGGTCAATGAAACAATATACTGTCACAGTGAGCATCATCATCATCACAGACAGAAGTGTTACAATTAATTGCATCATATTACAGGTAGCAACCCATGCCAAAATGATGCCTAATATTGTCAATTTCCCTTATAAGATATTTAAATGAAAAGTTTTTTGGGGGGTGCTAAAATGGGAGGGATTACTGAAGGATCACACCACATAGGACATTATTATTAAATAGTCTAGAAATCATTAACAGGAGGTTTGGCAAGATGCAATTATTTTTCCAAAAAGAGTTAAAATACAAAGTTGCTAGTAATGATGGATGCCTCTATCCACTATGTCCTAGGGTACAAATATTATTACACAACTTTATACTATAAAGATTAAGAGTTTAATTGATCCTGCAGTGAAGTCGTATTGAGGCTCAAGGGTTTTTGGGGAAAAAAGCAAGTTACTACAGAGAGAATATTACCTTATTTAATGTGGGACATGGTGGCACTTTTCTAGATAAGGGCGCATTTCAAACTTTCACTGGATCTGTGAGGCATGGGATTCATCAGAAAGTGACTGAAAAATCTTATAGGAAAATTACTCACTTGCTGTAATACAAACCTACACACAGGGTTATTTACTAAAGCGAGGATTCAAAGGGAATTTTAAATGTAAAGGAACAGTTAAGCATTGCAAATACAAATGTTTAAAGCTGCAGTGTTAAAAACGGGATGGAAATAGCACCCATACCCACTTCATTGTACTTTTAAGGTCAGAGTAGCTAAACTGAAACTATAGCCCAACTTAGAGAATGTTCCAATTTGACAATTTTGATCACTTTGAATCATCTTTTTAATGAATAAGCCAGTATGTAACTCCCAGGGAGAGAATGGAACCTGCTTTCAGCTTCGCATCCACTTGGTAAAAAAATTAAATTAAGAAAATCACTTGTGCAAGGCTATACAGCCTTCCATCCACTTCCAATTATGGCTACAATATAAGAATAAATGTTTAAAAAAAAATAACCTAGTAAAAAAATAAATAAATAAAAATATGTTATGTGTTGTTTAATTTATATATTTAAAAATTTGTATTGAATTAACTTTGCAAGACTGTTCAAACCTACTTTGGGGCCACGAGCAAAGGTCTAACACATGGGGGGTGGGGGGAAGTATTGGATCTCCTACACTAAATTGAGAGGAAGTGTTCACAATTATAGGATAATTACAGTCTGTGGGAGAGCAACACATGAAGGACACAGTATTCCTTGTGTTTGCATCAGAACTTAACTTTAAAAAATAAATAAATAAAAAAAAACTCCCAGCCACACTGAGTCAGTGGCAACCTGTTAATATATACAGTGGTTTGAAAGACTCTGGCAAGTTAAAACAAGTGCGCCAAGCATAGGAAAATGCCACTAAAAAGATCTTTTATTTCCAGTGACAGAAAAGAAAAGGAAGGTTTGCCAACGCCTGTGGTGTCAATATTTATTTAGGGCAGTGCAAAAGAGATTGCATAAACCAGATTGGTTTTCAATACACCCTTGAAGAATTTGCCATAGAGATACAAGAGAGATTATCACAACTTCAGATTAGGCTTTTGTACGCTTTCATCTTTACTTCCTGCCTGAGCTACACACCTACAACTTCCTCATATCTCAGATAGGTTCATACCGCCTAGGTTTACACAGCCGATTACAACCAATGTACACATGAATGTCGGCGAGCTTTTGATTTTTATTTATTTTTTTAGAATGATTTCTCATAGAACATTTAATTTGGAGGACACCTACACAGTCTAGCTTAAAAAAAAAATGCAGAAATATAAGGGCTAAGGAACGCACTTTGTTAAATAGATATTGTCATTTGTACCATTTTTGTTTAATCAGTGTAAAAATGTTTCACTTACTCTCAGTCTGTTGGGTACAATGAGCACATCCTTATGTTACTGCATAGTAGTAAACAAACGTGTAGAATTTCTGTTTGAGTGATTTGTGGATAAATCTTATGTCATTATCTTACTAAAAAAATTATAAACAAAGTATCTAAAACCACCAAAAAGGCCCATTTCAGTTAAACGGTTATTTAAATCAAAATAACCAATAACACCTGCTGTAGTGGTAAAACTAGATGTGTTTTATTTCACTATGCTTGGGACAGAAATATTTTCTGTCCATGCCTGTTATTTAACATGTAGTTCCAAATTCAATAGTCTCAGCTTCAGCAACATGACATGTTACACAGGAGAGGATAGAAACAAGCTTTCAAATACTATTTCCCAGGCTTCCACTAAGCACTAGCCGACACAAAAGTCTAGTTTTAACAACTTGCACTCCCCCTCCCCCATATCTCCCAGCTTGCACACAACCCAGACAGATACTTCACACCTCCCTATAGTAAACCTGTCCAGTGTAATTAACCTGCTGCACTTTAGGCCAACAAGCACACTTTGACCTATAAGTTATAGCATACAGCCAATGTTTCAGGACAGTGGAAGCTCTTGTGTTGCACTATTGACTAAAAAAATAAAAAAATAAGATTATAAAGTTTATACTATATATAATATATGTTATATAGCCACGAAGCAAGGCACTCACTGGTCTTGTTGCAAAAAAAAAAAAATGTGTCTTCATGCACCAAGATAAGGTAAATCACATCCATGTTTCATTCCGTACCCGTTTCAGACCATTGTAAAAATTGCACAATAAAGCACTTTAAAAGATTTTTTTAAAAGCTCCTCTTGTGCACTATTATTGGGAGTGTCTCTCTCTCTCACCATGCCCAACAGTTATCTGATGTACAAAGGGACAGGATACAGCAGTTTTGTGTTTTCTTTTAAAGCAAATTGTTATAGGCCAGCAAGACCCATGCAAATACTTTTTGTGACACAAACATTTTACATTATTCTTCATTTTTTGTGTCTGAATCCACGCAAACATTATTATTTTTCTTCACATTATTTCCGAAATAAAGTCAGAAAAAAAATAAGAAAAGAGAATAAAAGTTAATCCAGCCTGGAGTATATCTTTAAACAACTTCTTCAGCAAAGATAGAGCAGTCATGCATAAGCAGGCCACGCTTCAAGGAACAGTTGTGGTAGAAAATGGCTATGATTAGTGTTAATGGATTTTCCAGGTTTAAGACAAAAACCATAAAAGAATTACTGCTTTTCCAACACCTCAAGGGACAAAGTGCCAAATGTTCCTTTGACACTTGAGGTTTCAGACCTATAAGTAAGAAAGAACAATATAAATAGAAATTGACATTGTGCAATAAAAGGCTGCTGGAAAGATGCAAAATCTATAATTATGGTTTATTGCAAATACAGCTACTGTACAGCTCAGGCCGACTCTTTCCCTGAATCAAACATTTGTTTACAATCATAACACTGTGATGCAACTCAGAGCTCTAGGGAGAGTGGAGAATATCAGCTGGCCCCTAACATTTATAGTAACATGAAACAGAAACAATTAGCAGTTAAAATGCCGTTATATTATCTGTTTTAACAAATCATTGAAAGTGACACTCTAGACATTGGGTTTATGCACTGACCCGGGACATGTAGAAAAATGACATGGGAAACTGTAGTCCAAATTTAAAGGGACACTACAACCACAAAAATAACTTTAGCTTAATGAGGCACTCTCACTGCTCAATTCTCTGCCATTTAGGAGCTAAATTACTTTTATGTTTATGCAACCCTGAGCACACCTCTCTGCATGTGACTTACAGAGCCTTCCTAAACACTTCCTGTAAAGAGTCATCTAATTTTTACACTTCCTTTCTTGCAAATATTGTTGATAGCCTGCTAGACCCGGCAGGAGCGTCTTGTATGTTATTAAAGTTAAATTTATAGAGCAGGAAATAAAAACTGTCAAAGTAAGTTACATCTGATTGAAAATGAAACCATGTTGTTTTCATACAGGCTGTGTCAGCGGAGGTGTGGCTAGGGCTGCATAAACAGAAACAAAAGTGATTTAACCAGTGAAACTTCAGGGGCATGATCTATACGCAGAAACTGCTTAATAAGGCTTAAGATGTTTTGGTGACTGCCGTGATTTGGTTATATTGGCGTAGGACGTTAATTCCTTTTTCTTTTCGCCACAATTCACAGTTTACTGACTAAATCCCAAGAAAAATAACCACAACAGCTCAGAGCTGTGTTTTTGTTGCATGGGGTCTACATGTACTGCCTCTGGGCTTCATGTCAAACAAACAGTCTTGGAGAAATTTAACAAAAAAATGGTTCTCCTTAGCACCCGAGGACTCTCCCTTCCATATTCGTAATGTTTGTTTCCATCAGTGGCGCTAACTGGTTGATTAACTTGTTGCTCTCAATTAGCGCCTTCCAGGTTGGATAAACTTGACACTGATGCGGATGTCTATGGGTGCTGTGGGAAGCCCTGTTTTTTGTCAAAAACAACCCCTAAACAATTTGGCATGATACCTGTCAACAGCCAATGAAATACTCTAGGCAACATAACTGCTACACCTCCGCATGTTCGTGGACTGCATCTCCCCTGATGCTTTGCCTGCATTTTGGCTGATGAGGCCCACAACATCTTGACTCCTGAAGGTTGCCTACTCTGGCTTAGAGTGTGCCTGTAAAGATTTATTAACTAAAATCGCTAATTGTGGAGAATTAAAAAGTATAGGTCAGAAAAGCCAAATCAGGAACATTCTTCGTGTTTGGCTAAAATATGCCACTACCTTGTCAATTCTCCACAAGTCCTAAATCGATGAAGTTATACAACTTCTGCAACATGGCAAGGGGATGCTAAGGGCTGTGATTACAGTATCACATAATCCCTTTCTTTATTTCACCTAGATTTACCAAATACCCAGATTTGGACAGGGGGCACAATAAATTCTGCATTAGTCCATGCAAGGCTTAATAGTACAGTATTGTTCAACTGTACCAATAGAGCCATTGGAGGCAAAATCCGTTTTAAGCCCTGGCTACCTTCACTCTACTGAAGTGGTATCAATAAACACTATGCAAAAACATTATATTTCAGCATACCTTTACCTTACCTTTAGAAGTGTCAAAACAGTCATTGTCTATTTTAATAATCATAACAAATGGACTTCGTTTTTGTTATTTTAACATGTGTTCTACATTCCCCGTGTGAGATAAAATATTTTATGTCCTTTCCTTAACAACAGGAGAAAATGAAACTAGATTTTCAACCAATGTACTGAGAAAGTGTGTTGACATTCGAGTTCAGATGATCAAATGCAAAGATTTTAAGAGCTGGGCATGCCCATTGGTAAATGGATGACTGATATTAAGGCTATGGGCTGAGATAAATGTGTGTGGGTGCCTGCCAGGTTGCATATTAAGGCAGCGACACATGCAATAACGGCACACTAGTGCAGAGGACAAAGAAAATTTGTGAAAGATGAGCAATGAATGTCATGGTTTGCTACATTAAAAAAATGATATGCTAAGAAAAAAACAAGAAGAGGGAAAAAAAAAGTCTGCTTGTCTGTTAATGTCATATTAGCCGACGAGAGAGATTTAAGCCACATGAATTTCTAGTTCATATTCACCTTTTCAATGGGAAGATTTTTTTTTTCCTTTTAGAATGAATTATTGGACTTTTCTGTTTTATTGAGGTTGAAATTCAGGCATCAAAGGCAGCCGCCAAGTTGCACTTGTGCAATAAACTACTTTCGCCGACATCACTTCACACTTTCAAAGTGCAAAGTTCAAATTGATATTGTTGGCTCTCTCACTTGCTGAGTTTTGGCAAGAGCCCTCCCGCTTGGCTGTTCATATACAATCGGTACATTAAAAGGCTTTGTCCCTCTTTTCGGCCTGCCTTAGACAGGATTTTATATTTTTAACTAGATGCTGACGCACAAAAAAATATTAAAACACATAAAAGCAATACATTGTTATAACCTGATTTATAGTCTATTCATACAAAAAGAAGTATGATGGGGGGGTGAGGGCTGGGGGGAGGGGAGTGTGAAGATTACTAAAGTAGTCTCATAGCATATAAATTGATTCAATTTTAAACAAAAAAAAAAAAAAAGAGGTTAAAAAAAAAAAAATTGTATTTAACATTACAATGGATCAATTGTGTTACTAGAAGATGACCTAGAGTGCAGCTATGGCTAGGCCCCCAAGCTCTCCACCAATGTAACCTCTGTTGCGGACGTTCTTGTATGAAGAAGCTAGGGAATCTCTTTTCCCACACACTCAAGATTCCAGCTGCAGAATACAAGTGATCGCTGTCACCCAACAGACCTGCCATCATTAATGATACTCTGCTAAAGTGACTTTTTCCTCTTTTTCTTTTTCATCCCTCAGTTAAAAATCCCAACTGGACGCATGGCTAAGGTAGAGTTTCACTCTTCCTTAGCTATACCAATTAACGCTACCAATGGGCAGGTGAGGTGTGTTGGTGGAAAGCCTATCCCTGCCTTCCATTACTGCTCAGGTCATTCTTCCTCATTAGCCCATGGACCCTTGTTTAGCGTCATTCAACAATGGATGGGAGGATCAAACCAGGATACTTTAGACACTATAACAACTTCAATGAGTTGAAATGGTTAGAGTGTCCCTTTATTTAGGTTCTCCTACTGCAGGTGAATTACCAAATAACTGTTGATGACTGAGAATGTCGGCAACTGCGTCAGTCATCATTACTGGGGTCCAACACAACTCATGATCCACAAAAACACCGCAGACAAAATAGCATCTCAAAAAAAACAAACTAACGATTACTTCTGTTGTAGAAAACCTCAGCATCACGTGTTTTATTCTTAGCAGAACCAACTCAACCTCTCAATCTTCAATACAGCAATAACTAGCAATTGAGCTGGACAATAGAGCAAGAAATCTTGCACTCCTCCTGGCTAAGAAATACTTACAGACATCCAAAAAAAAAAAAAACACATTAAATGATTGCAACAAACAGATTACGCATAACATAGTTTGCGGCCATTGCCTGATGAGCAGCTGACTTAAGAAAGGCCATCGAAACCAAACATTTCCATGTTTTAAACAACAGAGCCACGATACGTGCATTTATTACAGTTTTCCCAAAATAAATGAATGCTCCATCAACCCAATTCATTGTTCTATCGCATAATCACACACTTTTCACTGCAGAAAATATTACTTTCACTGCACACCGTATTGTATAACTATATATGCATTTGTTTTATTACTCAATAAATACTTTTTTTTATAGGATGTTAGTCAAAATTTTAATAACGTGACTACTTGTAAAGTTCAATATTAGAGGCAGGGTGAACCTCTGCTATGATAGATATGGATCACTAAGAGCAAAACACACTTGCCTGGCTTTTAACCCCTTAAGGACCAAGGGGAATAAAAGGGAATCATGACATGTCACACATGTCATGTGTCCTTAAGGGGTTAAACCAATATTTGCTAATTTTAGTGACTAGCTTAATTCAACTACATAGCTCATTTAAAATGGAGGCTTGTATCTAAAATGATGGATGGCCTATGTTATTTTGTCCTTAACAATGGGTGGCTTGCTTTTTATTTTTATTGTAGTTTTTTTTTTTTTTAAGCAAGTTCCCCTTTAAGAAAGCCATCATGTCATTTATAAACAAGGAATAGCAGAGATATCTTAAGCACTAACAATAAAGGATTATAAATATGCAAAACAAATGTTCTAATATTAAGCACATGTCCACATTACGCTGCTTTGAAGGCAGCCACCATCGTGAACTTTTAAAACTTTATTGAAACTGACAAACATCTGTACAGTGCCTGATGAGTTGACAGGAAAATAAATACATTTAGAAAAAAAAAAATATAATTCCTGCTGCGCTGAAAATAAAATACAAAAAAAAGCTTGCGGCAGGATCAGGGAAGAAATCTTTTCCAAGAAAGCTGGAAATGCAGGACTTCATAGTGCTGCACAGTGTTTCCTTTCTGAGCAATTTGTGGTTTTGGAGAAATTGTTGTTTACACCACAAATAATGAGACTTATGTTTACTTTTACCCTCTTGGACTCACAAACTACATTTTTTAACATAAAGGTAGACAGTTAAAAAAAAAAAAAAAATGACATGTTCTTATAAGCACACAGCCAACTTAAACTTTTAAATTAAAAACAAAATACAAAATATAAACAAAGAGTATAAATAAAAGGGTGTACCTCAAAAGGGGTAACCACCAGTTTCTGTTAAACCTCTCAAAGAGATGATGCATAAAATGCCACTTAAATTACCCTGACACCCATAAAAAAATCTAGATAACCACCCCCTTCAACTAAATGTACACCTTTACATGTTTTGCTGGCAAAACTGGCAGCAAAAGAATAGCTTTTTCAAAATGGGTGCCACAATGAATGTGAACTAATGTTTATGAATTTGCACGAGGAGGCCTTCTTTTTTCACAAATTGTTTGGCAACTGAGCTGAGGCAGATTAAATTTGAATAACTATACATCAATACTTTTGCTAAATGTTCAAATGACAAACTGGGCAATGACAATAAGACTCTAAGACTAACTAGTTCTCCAGTTTTAAAATGTATTATAAATCTGTTTTCCCGAATAGTCACATGCTTTTGAATTTCACCTCTGGGGAAAATCCTGGCCTGCGAGCAAATAGAGGCTACACTTTCTTTTTTGTTTTAAATAGTGATTTTTCTTTAAATTATGCATTTTCCAGATACGCAAACTTTTACCAGATGCACAAAATTCACAGATGACTCATCTCTCATTGACCAAACTCAGACATCAGGCCTTAAGCAAGACAAGCTTTCAATACCACGTCCCTATAGAGCCAGCTCTGGGCCTGATCTCAACAGCACACTAAAGGTTTGTTTTCAATTATATTTCAAATTCTTTTAACAATAACTCTAAGGCGTCTGGCAACAACACTTCCGATACTTTGAAGTACTTCTCCAGTAGTGCAGAAAACTCACAGAAAAGAAATCTGCAGTCAGCAAATGTGATTTTAAGATTCATTCTTGTGTCTGTGAAAAAAGAATAATAAATGAAAATATGGTCAACTGATTGATATGGAAAATACGAAAGGTCTTATGATACAAATGGTTTTGTATCAGTTGGCTTAGGTAGGGTTAACAGATTTATTTTGACCAAATCCTCTTTTTTGCAGGTCAAAATCATCTTTCATACCCCAACACACCCTTATACAGTTTTCCAAAAAGCAAATTAAAGAGCACATACCTAGTTACATCCTTAAATCCACATCAGTTTCAGCTCAGATGTAATATAATTTATTGCCAGAATTTATAACTTCGTTCAAAGTGTAGAAAAATAAATATGCCTCTGTCTGTTAGACTTCTGATCCCTCCATTTATAAAGGCTTAAGAGAATGAAGGGGGCAGAGGAGGGGAATAGTTAATGTACTTACACCTGGGCTACATATAACACCTGTAATTAGCCAATAACAGCAGTAAAACAGTGCATTCAGGGGCACACGTTAAACTACAAAAGAGTGACAGGTAAACAAATGACTGCTAGAGAGCATCAGGCTGGATATTTGAACCTCAGGTCTGTGAGTCTTTTTTCTGCATTGTGGAATGGAATTTTACAAGGATTTCCAGTGCAGCACATGTTTAAAATTACTCTGGACACATATTCCAGCACAATTCTTCTCACTACAAACCTGCTTCTCCTATACACACAGCCCTGCAGCGCGCACACTGCCAGCTGCTTACACACATACATTCACAAACTTACACAGGGCTATTTACCACAGTGAGAATAGCTGGGAGTTCAAAGCAAATACAAGGCAGAATTTCAAAAGCAGCCAAAAATTGGAAGCATAGCCGATTTGGAGAATGTTTTCTAGTTCCACTAGGTTGGCCTTAAATTTGAAAGTCACTCAGAAATCTCAAGAATAACCCTGACACACTGCATGCTGCTTTTGCATTCACATACACCACACTTGATAGACAATGCTTCTACTTTTGCTTATACATACACATACACACACACACTCTGCTTGCTGACTTTAAATTACCATGCTCCGTTTGAAGGCTCTACACGGACGCGCACACTCTGCTACATCTACACACAACACTTCCAGATTTGATGATGAACAAAAGTTAAGGAATGTGTAACCTATGAACCATCTGCTGATTCAGTAAAAAGGTATACCTTTCTTTTCCCACCCATTCAAATGCCATTTCATTCATTAACCCTTACCGTCAACATTTTCACTAAAAGAATTTGAAAAGGACAGTGTTCTTGATAAAGTAAGTGGAGCTAATACCAGTATTTTTATTCATAAAAGGAGTCAACACATGCTGTAGCATTTAAAAAAAAAAAAAAGGGGGGGGTTGTGGTTTTGTAAATAGAAAGCATAGAATAAGTTAAAATGTGGCCTTGACCATTTTAAGTAATATGTTAATATTCAACAAACAGGAAACTAGGTCTTGTTCATGTAAGTACATCTTGTTTTTACATTTACAAGCATGTCTCTTACACCAATTGTATAGGACTGCAGAATAGGAAAGCGCATTAATAAAAAATAAAAAATAAATTAAAAAAAATACATGCAATTTACTAATACGTGACAGCTCCTACCCCACTTATAGCCTCTCCGTTGCAGCAGCTGAGATAAACACTTTGTTAGTTCATTTTGTGTATCGAAAAAAGAATAAAAGTTTCATTAAAGGACCACTCTAGGCATTTTTCTTCACAGAGATGCATTGATTCAATGCATCTCTATGAGGAGGTCCTGATTGGCCAAAATGGCATTTGGCTCCGCCCCATGCCGATTTTAGCCAATCCAATGTTTTCCCTATGGGAAAGCATTGGATTGGCTAAAAATCTGCCCTTTTGATGATGTCACAAAGGGGGCAGGACCAGCGCCAGCAGATCCGCGCTGGAAATAAAGGTGAGTTTTAAACATTTATAGGGAGGCAAGCCACCTAAATGGTGGGTTAAAACGCGATAGGCTCAGGAATACATGTTTGTGTTCCTCACCCTATAGTGATCCTTTAATGTAGTTGTTCTGGTGAGTATAATCATTGCCTTCAGGCATTTCCATGCCAACAATGCCTTTTCAGAGGAGGTGCTGATTGGCCAAAATAACGTTTGGCCACGCCCCTTGCCGATTTTAGCCAATCCAATGCTTTCAACCATGGGTAAGCATTGGATTGGCCGACAATCGTCAATTCTGATGTCACCAAGGGGGCAGGGCCAGTGCCGGCAGACCCGCACGGCACTGGAAATAAGGCAAGTTTTTCATGCTTTTAAGGGGGTAAGGGGTGGGGCAAACATGTTTGTGTTCCTGACCCTATAGTGTTCCTTTAAATTCAGTGTTTTATTAAGTCTATTCTTAACTGTGAGCTTTCTGGATACTGACTGAGATTAGTCCTACAAAGTTAGTCCTACAAAGATTTTGATTGGCTGAAAACATTGAAACCAATCAGAGTGCAAAAAAAAAATAACTTCTTAAGAATTAAGATATGTCTTCCTGCAACTCTGTTCTGTTTTTTTTTTTTTTTAAAGGCCTTGTGCTAGCAAAGAATGTCCATATTTGATACAGCAATGATGTATGTCACAAAATTAAAGGGGTATTTATTTTAGGTTTTTTTTTAGTGCAGACAGTTATAGTGACAATAGCCCTAAATGGGTTTAAGCAGTGCTTTTATCATTTAAGAGATGTCTATAAACCACAAATAGTTGTGAACTGCTAAAAGATAGATCCCAAATTGTTACAGAACTCCACTTCCCATTGTGCCAACCATAAAGGAAAAATGGCAGACTCCATAGGCAATCTCTTCCATTTACCTCTCTAGTGCTTACCCAACTGATGATCATTCTCATTGCTCTGGCAACGCAAGGGGCTAACAGCCACCCCAGATCATTCATCAATATACATTTCTGTGTTCTAGAATATTTAAAGAGAACAAACGCACAGAGGTACTCCTAAACTGCACCAATGGCAAAATAGACATTCATTCTCCTCCACAGTTTTATGCATTGGTGACGTAACCACAATGCTATGCAGCTTCTTTAGATCATAAAATAAACAAAGTAAGAATTGTCTTGAAAACTCAGCATTGAACTTATTTGTTTTATTTAAGACCTTGACAGACAATTTTTCCTTGCTCAGATTGTATCAAAGCATGAATCAAAGTGCATCAGACACAAAAGAACTGTGCTTGAAAACCAATGTTCCCTACTCCAGTAACTGCAAGAGTTGACATTAGCCACTCATACAAGTAGAGGCAAAAATTCAACATTCTGTTATAGACAATGAAATCATAGCTAGCTGGAAACAGAGTGGAATCTGAGAGGTTGCAACTCAAAAAGAGAAAAAAAAATTAAAATCTACCACAGATAAATTTAGCAGTCAGTTCTAGAACCCCCAAAAAATAAATAAAAGTAAAAATGGAACAAATTGGCTTTAACATCCAATTTCCTGATATCTCACCACAAGATCAACCAAATGATTTCCTAAGGTCTATGAACGTCCTTTTTCTGTTTACAAATTAAACTAAGACATTTTCATTATGCTAGGGACTGCATTTACCACATAAAGAGCTGAATTTTTACCAAAACCAATGATGTGTCAAAAATGTTGAGAGGCCTAATAAAAACGCATGCGGGCATCAATGGTGAATGTTTTGCGGACAGTTGAATGACTCATGACAACCAGAGCTAATTTGTAAACCTCAGTGAGGTTTTCTTAGTTCTGTACAGGTAGATAAACATACTCTAAATAGCTACAATCACATGTGAAGAAATGACCACTTAAACCCCCGTCTGGTTACTGGGAGTGTTTCAAAGTCAGTTGTTTAAAATTCAACGCATTAACATAAATCAATGTTAACTTGGTTTTGTACATTAGGTAAAACCCTAGCAGAGTTTACTATATAATCTGGCCCTTAACTCATGTGACTTGCAAACATTTGAAACACTAGCAAACAGTTCTGGATCATATAGGATAGTCCTGATAAGGTATCCCTGTCCTGCTTCTGGGGACACCAAAGAGAAATCCTCAATTTAAAAAATAAAATAAAAATAAATAAAAAGCCAGGCCAAAGCAGGGTATTTTTGCCATACAAAGATGCTTCTATGGTACTCTGCATACAGGCCACCCATACCTTTCTGGTCATAGAGCAACACTAGCATCCCTAATTCTGGGAGGGATGAATGATCAAACAAGGTGTTTTGTTTAGATAGAACAACTGTCAGGCAACAAACCAGGGCTGCATGTAGACACACAGCACAGAGGTAGAGCTCTCACACAGGCATGCAATGGCAGTACAAATCAAGATGGCAAATCGTGGGCCCCAAATCAGTGCTACTTCAACAGACCCAGGAAACGTGGAGCATACATAGAATTACAAAATGCAACATCCCAATTTAGGATGATTCTACTTTAAACACAATGTAACTCAAAACAGCAGCATTAAGGAAAAAAAAAAAAAAAAGATACTACTCAAAATATTTTTATAGAATACAGAAGGTAAACAAGAAGAAAATATTTAGATACACATTGCTTCAGCCAAGTGGATTTGAACTTCAACCTGTTGCTCATCCCTGATTTAGAAAGCTAGTTCAATATAGATTTGCAACATGAGAAACTTGATCCGCAACAACTGAATTGCCAAAAGTTATCCATCACCGTATTAAATCAGACAAAGAGTGCCGCTTAACCCTTTAAGCACCAGTGATGTAACAAATCAGCCTTTACTGATCAAACAACCTAGAAGCTTTTAATAATTTAATTTAGATAATAGTAACACCTATATCGGCGGAACAGAAAACAGAAAAAGAACTTCCCATGATATAGAACTTTAGCTGGTCTACAAAACACAATATATGACATTTGAGGTGGTGTATAAAAATTGCAGCACTTCCAAATTTATGCACAAGCACCATTTTCTTATAGGTCAGGCTGGCTGAGAATGAGAAGTGTTGCGGTTCATGCAAAAGATTTGACATAATTATGCATGTTCTAGAGAGTGAACATTTAACACTATGCGCCATAATGTGAATGAATGCCATTCAATCACTAAAGGCCCTGTCCTCAAAACCATAGACATGCAAATAGACCCATTGATGGCTTGTCTTGCCTGAATCAAAATCCAAGGGTGGTTTCTTTAAATATAAAAGAACCTTGGCAGAAAGTCCATCCCACTCTCAGCTCCTGCTGAGGACCACTGGAGCATGAAATGGTGTTGCACAGATGATTTTAGACTCTGCCCCTTTGTGTTCCCCATTTTCCAAAAGCAAAGGTTTTTTTATTTTTTAAATACTCACTAACTCAGCCATCCAGGAACATAAAGTAACTTTCAGGATGGTGATTGACTGCATATTATCCACCCTGCCCCTTACCACCTGGCTTGTAAAAAATATATTTTGGGAGGGTGTGGTGGTCCACTTCTCATATTTTATAACGAAACACAAAACAACAATATAATGATTTATAGGGACCCTAAATATACAGGGTTACTTACTTTACAAATCATATATCAACGCACAGTTTTATACGTATCACATAAACAGATACAAATTCCTGACATATATGAATTTTATTAAAGTTGTTATCCTAGTATTAAATAGCAATATTTGGATTGGTTTATTTTCAACCTCTTATGAGAATACCAAACACTAAATTTTATTGGCATGCACTGGACACTGTTATGCAAAAAAAAAAAGCCAAAACACGTATCTTATCCAAGTGAATGGCAATGATTTTAATGTGATCTCACTCATTTCGTCCTAAAAATCAGAAACCATTTTTATTTTTCTTTCCTGTAAAAGAGTGCAGTTTTTTTTTAATTTGTTGCGGAATTTGTGTAGAATCTACTTTCACACTGACAAGCAGGACATTTGTCAACTCTGAGGCAAGGAAGCCATGGATGGGACACAAACTATACTTATTTTCTTTTAGAGGATAAGAAAAACATGACTGATTAGGCAAAACAATGGGGGTCTTTTAAAGAGCTGCAAATACTTCCTGTCTATGCCCACCCAGTTAGCGCGGTTCAAATGCCTAAACTCAAAAGAATTTTTCCCAATGACTTGGCAGATAAAATGTAACAAACATGAAGTACATCTCCAACATTGAAACTTAAATGGGCAGTAAAACGTGTTTGTTTTTTCTCTCCCAGTGATTAGTACACAACTTCATTATCCGCTTCACTCCCCAGGCTTTTCTAGTTCTTTTAAGTATTACTTATGCAAAGTCTGCTAAGAATTTACCTTCTGACTTTTTCCTGGCATCATGAATTCTATTATCATTCAGGAACTGGGGGATGCTAAAGTGAATGCAATGCATTTTGGAGTGTGTTGCTTCCCAAGGATGCGTTAGCCAGTATGTTCTAGATTCAAATAGACAATCCAAATACCATAACGCTTACAGATTATTGAATCGGTTATGGTGCAAATAGTTTACCGGTCCTGTTCTTTTTTTTCTTTTTTATTTAAACATTTGGTACTGAACTCAAAGACTCACAATAACCTGTAGTGGTAAGGGTGCCTGGGGTGTCCCTTTAATTCTTAAACTACTGATCTATGTGACGTTTTCTGGTCCCCTAAAGCTAATGTGATAATCATCTTCCATTTTGTGAAGCATCAAACTCATGCATCATTCAGAGAGACTTCACTGCTTATGACCGTAAAGGGCAGAAAAGCCACATAGTAACCAGTGGATTGGATTGACACCATGAGACATTCCTAAAATAAGGATGTATATTAAATGTAGCAGGGTTGTCAAACATGCGGCCCCCCCAGATGTTGCTGAACTACAACTCCCATGATTCTTTCAATGAAACAGATAGCCAGGGAATCATGGGAGTTGTAGTTCAGCAACATCTGGGGGGGCCGCATGTTTGACACCCCTGATCTAAAGCAATATAAATCAATATGTAAAATATAAAATTGACCCAAAAATAGTTTCACGACATGACTGTTAATGCAATCAATATTGCAACTACAACCTTGGTTTTCAGAAAGGATGATCGCGTGTAAACTCGTAACAGGTGTTATGTGCTTAATATTAGTTCAGCTTATCCCTAGGAAGAAATTGGCTAGTTTAAAAAGAATTGACCATTAGATTAACACCTTTTAGAATAATGGTTGAGAATTTGTTTTTAAGTGGAAAATGCCTGCTTTGTGACTACAAAACACAAGCCACCAGCCATTGAAATAGACTAGACTTTCTCGAAATTCTACCAATCCACAATAAACATTCTTAACAAAAAAAAAAAGAGAAAAATAATAATTTGATCCTTGTGGTTTTTAATGTTTAAGAGAGTACACCTGGTACATAGACAAGCTGATGGAGATTGTGTTTGATTTCGCACACCAGGTGTACAGATGCAAACAATAAAAATAAATGCACAGTAAATATGATCTACTGTTATGTGGTCACCTGAGGTTTGTAGAACTTTACAAACTAAAATTACACCTTTCCCATTTGTTGGGTTTCACAAACTACCTTTGCTCATCCAGAAAAATATTTCTAAATCCACAGACTAAAATGGACAAACCCAGTTATAGCAGGGATCTTGAACTGCATTGGCTAAAAAGTATTTTGTTTTAGAAAAAGAAAATACAGAAAAGAAAAACTGTAACTGTTTATTCAAACGCAAGAAATATTGTAGATTTGTGATCCTTTGTCTTCATTTTAAAAAATCCCTACAATTCCACTTTACAAAGGGAAGAGAGGTTATGGGGTTAAAGAAATGTGCTGTAGTGGTTATGGTTCCTGGAATGCCCTGGTGCCCCTTCCCAATGTAAGTAGTTAACCCATTTGCTAACAGTTTGACAACATACCTGTGGTCCTCTATAGATCAGTCACCTCTTCTATGAAAGACACAAACACTCTGCTTTGAGCCAAGACCAGTAGATCATGTATTAGCTAATTAACCAAGAGGGGTCAGGTGCACAACCAGGTAAGTTGTCAAACTGTTAACAAATGGCACCATAAAAACGACAGTGCATTATAGTCATATGGAGTGTGCCTTTAAAGATTTATTATAAAGGATTTAATTCTTCAGTGTGGAGTAAAGATCCCTTGCTTATTTGTCCTGCAAGGCCTCATCTTATAGGCCTCATCTCAAATATTATTGCTTTCCACCCCCCTTTCATTATTTTCTAATGACCATGTCATGAGAATCTTGTTTCAGGTCTGATCACCAGTCTTTTCTTATCAGGGCAGACAGAGAAGTGACAGTACTTGAGAAGAAAGTGGAATGCAACAAGACATGAGAAATCTCATCTCTTTAACCACAAAGCCAGTTGTTCTTGTCACACAAACCTCTGTTTACGAATCTGTGTAACAGCTTCTCAATGTGTTGGAATCTCTTTTCTAAAGTAGCTCTCAAAATAACTGTTTTGTTTTGTCAGGTTTGACCACATCAAAAGTAGGAGGGGGTATGGAGGAGACACGCAAAACAAAAACCAAAACCAAGTTTTTTTGTATTTTGTTTTTTTAGCTTGAAAAATGGATTCTAAAGATTCACTCAAAATTTTAGTTCTTTAAAGCTAGGAATCTGCATAGCTTGGAAGTGTCCAGGTTGTGCCCATATTCTACTTCTACAGGAAAGCTACGTACAGTAGGTGAATGCATTACAATTAATAATTTCATGTTTGAAGTGTTTTCTATAAAACGTGCTGCGAAATGTTGCTATATATAGCTGTGAAGGAATCCACAATTTGATTCACTAATCTAGGTTGAAAGAAATGGACTTCAAATTAGGATTAAAGAAAACCAAACAAAAAAAACCTAACAACGGCCTTGATTTAACAAGGTTTCCAAATGATTCAATACATTTAGAACGTTTTTCTAACAGACTTATTTACTGAAGTCAATATTAAAGGCTGGTTTTTTTGCAGACAAATATTTGTTTTTCTAACAGTATGGAATCATTTGGAAAGCTTATGAAATAATCATGGAACAAATAAATTCAGATATAGGACGACAATTAATCTATACATTATCCTAGCATGGCAATCTTAGAAAGAGCAAAGAAGTTATACCTACTGAGCTGTTTTATGGTCAATATACTGACTATACACGCTTTATGTAAAAGCCAAATTGGTGCATCATGATAACAGTAATGAGAAACCTTATAGGCAGGGATCAGTTTTTCTGACACTAATTTACTTCCTTTGGTCTTCCCAATGAGTAATATCCAGGCCTCGTTTCCCCTCAACTACAAGCAAATGTTACATCCAGCTTGAAGAATAGTATTTTGACAAGTGCTATTCACATGTGGTGTACACAATGATTAGTGTGACAGGATGGATGAAGCAATGGGGAAAAAAAGAAGAAAAAAAAAAACACACAACACTTTCCAAAAAGATTGGTGTCCATGTGTACTCTGTATGTGGAGGATTTTATGGACAAAAAGGGCAATATTGCATTTCACACCAAAGCTCCTCAAACATGGAAACCTCATTAACTGTTTTTTCCAAGACTGATCATAAACCAACATTAAATAAAAATTGGGGCTGCTAAATTAGAAATATATGGGACTGGGCAACCTTGGCTCACAGAAGGGTCATCGGACTACATGAAAAAGCAAACAGTAGAATAGTTTGTACTGTATAAAATCAGTGCCTTTACTAAAGAGTGCAGTCTACGTCTCAAAGATACATGATGGGACTGTGCAGTGGACAGTCCCATTTGTTTGCTTTTATTGCGTCAAGCTGAAAGTATATAACAATATTACATTTGTTACTTATCAATGGGTGAAATGTACAGTTGAAATATGGCTTAGCAGAGAGAATAATTTACATCCGAGATACCCCAAGACCGCAAGTCACCAATATTAAATAATACCCTTTAAATAGGTCACACTATCCGGGTGAGAGCAAACAATCCAAGTTAGGAATACTATCTGGGATTATTATCTGCAAAGGTGCACTACCAGCTTCAGAAACTAAGACTCAGAAGTTTATGAGTGGAATCACCTGCGAGATCCAACTGTCATTTGCCATAAGGTTTTAGATACAAATATAAAATAAAGTGTTCAGATTTGCATACTGTCATCGTATTCTCCGACACTTTACATTTTTAAAGTGATGACAGAGGAGCAAATAAGCGACAAACTATTCCAAATCGTAACAGGTTATTGAGAACCCTTCTCGAATGATCTTACAATCAAATAAAATGAATGTATCAAAGCTGAAAGTGCACGATTGTCCTTCAAATATGCCCTTCACAATTTATTTATTTCCTGTTTGTTGGATTAACACATATTTTGATACTAATACACACTCCTCCTCCCCAACCCACCCCCGTCTGGTTTTGGTCTATTATTTTAAATCCCACAATTAAAGAGCAACATATAATTCGTAAACCACAAAGAGCATATGTTTGGTCCAAACTGACCACACTGAGCAAGCCTTAGTATTATCCTTTTAGGCAACACTTTTACTCAATGTTTTACATTATTTAGAGTCACGTAGAACCCTACAAACAAACAGATGTATTTATAGAGAGATGTCTCTCAAACAGACTACAGGCATTTTAATTAGTCTGCATGTAGAAATGATCCCAAATTCCATATCCATTGTCTTTATACACCAAAACATAAGATGCTATAAGCAGAGGGAACATCAAACTCCTTAAATACCCTGCCCCACCGAACTAAAATTAGTTCAAACCAGCCTTAGTGCTCACATCCCCCACCACACTTTCTTTAACTCAAAGTAGTAAAATCCGCATTTAGCCAAGGTCACAAGAGGAAATATAATAAATTTTTTAGTAGGCCCTAAGGCAAATTAGCATTTTTTGTCACCGTTATCAACATGCTGCACTTATTTTACCACTGAGGGCCTATTAGGACATTCTCTAACAGCTGTGCCTAAGGTGGAAAAGATTTTAATGCATAGCACTTGTAGTTAAACAAATTGCATATTTGCATGTTGGCTCTGAAACAAAGCCACGGACCCTTGCTACTTCGTAAAGTGCTTCCAGAAAATATAAAAAAAGTATGGTGTAATGTCAAACAGTTAGAAGTGAGGGAATGATCACAAACCTAAAAGTACAAAGAATCCTGTGCAGGGACAGATGAGCAATGATTAGAGATTGGCTGAAAAAGAGTGTTGCTGCAGTTTGGGTCTCAAAATATATTGGTTATGCAAAACAATCTGCCAGAATATTTTTCAGTGGCCACCATTTAAATTCAAAACAATATATAGACAGATAAAGTTAAATATATATAATTTTTCAAAGTGGAGGTGGAATGTATTCTTACAGCATTTCGAGTGATATAAAAGCATTACTAATTTTTTGTGATTATTAAAATTGTTTGATGGACATATGGTGCTCATTCGTAGATAAGCAAATACAACTTCCCAGTTAATCAAGTCAATAGTAGACTGTGCAGCTACCATAAAAGCAATCTGTCTGCCTTATCTTACTGCCAATAACATCCATAATTAAACTACTACTGTGGCTATGCACAAATGTGTCATCCGGCAAGTATAAACCACTCTAGTTTTGATATGCTGAGTCAGTCATCCAGCACTGGTTTAACACTATGTGAAATTAGTGACTGGCCTCAACCTCATTAAAATTACTCAGACTGGATTGCAAGAGTCAAAATAAAGTACCTGCAACATCTGTGTCATTCTACCAACCAGACACATTTCGTGACCACCTACGTACCTTGAGCAGACTGCCATAGTTTCAGACAGGTCAAATGATGCTAGATGCAAACTCTAGTACCTATTCACATCTCCTTCAACATGTGTTAATCTGGTGCTGTATATCCACTTGTGTCATTATTTACAAAACTCATGTTGTTCAGTCTCAAATATAATGCCACAATATATTCAAAACATTCAGCTTTAATAGCAGTACAGAGAGCTTGCACACACTTAGTAAATGATAGCAACCTTTTTAGGATTAATTTAAACCAAATCATGGCATCCTGAATTATAGATAATATGAATATACATAATAAATAATATATTTTTGGAATACATTTAAATAGGAGGGCAAATAAATACTTCTTGCAAATAGTACTAGCTATACTAGGGCTGGAGAGCATGTGGTTGAGACTAAAGCCCAAAAGTCTAACAATGTTAAGTTTTCATGTAAAGTATCAACAAAAGGTGTTTGTAAAACGCCCCTATTGCTCTATTTTTTTCTGTAAGCCCCTATTAGCCTAGTTAGATATCGTCAATATCTTTTCCAAAAACAACAGATTATTTGCACCCGCCGAGCCCTAAAGTGGTCAGACAGCAGACAAAGATGGCAAATATGGAAAAGGAAAGGGACACATTTAATAACATTGTGCAATTCAGGGACACCCAACAAAATATCTCATAACTTTTAGGATGTCCAGTCTGTGCATTTGTCACTATTTGTACATTTCTCATTATTTGTACCTGGGTTATTTAGAATTTTCCAGTGTGGGTTTGTGATTTAACCTCCCTCCATGGAGGAACCCAGTGGAAATGGTCTCTTATAGTATGTGTGCATTTCTCACTATATGTACAACTGTTAGGACGTTGGCCCTGCTATACGCTTTTTTGTTCTATCTTGATTAATCAACCCCCAATTCATATTATTATTATTATTGCCATTTATATAGCGCCAACAGATTCCGTAGCGCTTTACAATATTATGAGAGGGGATTTAACTATAAATAGGACAATTACAAATAAACTTACAGGAACAATAGGTTGAAGAGGACCCTGCTCAATCGAGCTTACATTCTATAGGAGATGGGGTGTAAAACACATTAGGACAGGACTGGAGTTTGCAATTCATGAAAATACAGAAATAAATTATGGTATATTATGCAAGATATGGAGTAATCTTGATGTCTACAAACACATGTATGTCAAAAGAACAGTGTGTATTAGAGGGAATCAAGTGCACTTAAATATTAGTTTTGTTTCAGAGTCTGGAAATCTGTCATGTACCAGACACTATGTGGTCATTTCTGCTTATCTAGTTTGGACAAACCTGAAAAGGATTGAAAGCAGATATGTGTTCTACCTTTTCTCTCACAGAGATTCGTATCTTTTGTTTGGCAGGTCACCCTAATTATTGCATACATTATATATGTTACTCACTTTACACAGAACATAATGAACGTGGAGAGCGCTGAATGAAAAGGAGGGGTATAACAAGATTTTCGTATAATTTAATACAATGTGCATATATTCTGTTTGTTGCAATAAAGTGCTACCAAACCCACTCTACTTGCTGATGAGAGAATATATATTTTATTTTTTTTAACTTTACAAGCAGTTAACAGAAAGATGATTGAAAAAGAAGTAGAATTAGAAAAGGAAAAACCCAAGAAAAATAAAAAATAAAAAATGAAAACACAAGGTCAGATCAGGACAGTTCAAGAGGTCCGATACGTCACTAATTTGTGGGAGTATAGAGGAGGCAACAATGTCAGTCATACAATGATAATGGAAAAAGGACACAAATCCTTTAAACATGTTGCCCTATCTCAAAGCACAGGAGATGGGGTAGGAGCAGGGGTAACACCACTCCCTGCATATGTTTACTCTCATTTCGTATGGAGATAGCAGGGTGCCCCCTATTCTTGAGCATAGAGGATAAGAAAGTGATACGGTAGAAGGGAGACTAATGGAGGGGTAATGGACACCAAGGGCCAGGGGGTTGGAATATATGGACATAAACAGTGATCACCCTACTACATTATGGGTTTATAGGATAAGAGGGAGCCTACAGATCCCTCCTAGTTTAGCAAGAATCCCAGGGACCCCCACACACATTTTTAACTCCCACCCAGTATCCTGTGGGTTTATAAAAACGTATGTAGGTACCAGAGCTCTTCGTTAGTCTAGTAGAAAGGAACAGAGGCACCTACACACAATCCCTCATTATCAGCCAAAACAAAGTCCCACATTTGTTATGGAACATAGGGACCAATTACCCCTGGGTATAATGGGATCCAATGAACTTCTGCATATTGCCTCTACCCACAATGCATGAGGATTCTACAGAAGTCTGGCTTTCACTTACTGATTATGAACTATTAAAGACTTCATACACGCAAGAAAGTGAGAATCAACTGCAGTAGGTGACTTTCAAAGAGACTTGACAAAAGCTATTTGACTATTTCAACCACATTATGAAAGCCAGCTGCAATGTCTGTACATTTAGTAAACTAACCAGTCACTTTACAAGTGAAAATACTATGAACTGTATCTTAACTTTTTTGAACATTAGTTTACAAACAGTAATATATCTATTGTACTAGAAACTTAATATCAATCCTGATTATTAACCATAAAGAGTTTACTAATGGCAATTAAAAAGCTATCTTACTGCCTGTTGAACTTTGAATGAGAGAACTCTATGCCAGAAAGCCCTCTAAGTTAAAAGTACTGCAAAAACTACTGGAAACAAACCAGTTGTGGTATCTGGTTAAGCCAACACTGACATAACCACTAAGCTGACCAATTAAAATGAAGAATATATTTATATCAATATACAAGTTCTCTGCTTCACTTACAATAAAACTCCTTTAAAATAAACTGTCCAGAGCAGTTCTTAATCTAGATGGGTTTAACCAAACAATAAAATAGATATATAATCCAGAGGGACAGACTATGAATAACAATAAGATTACTTTTGGAGAAACAGATTTTGTACAGCATATTGCAAGTATTGAACGTTAGTTAAAATGGGCAGATAAGTTTCCAACATCATGGGTTTTCATCATCTAATAAATTGTCCTTGGGTCAGAAATAAGATTGGCGTTTTAAAAATTAAGTATTTTAGGTCAGAAAAAATTAACATATATTAAAGAAAAGAAAAAAAAGGAAATAATTGGTAATTTAGGTAAACCAACTAAAAAAAAAAAAAAATATATAACACAATCTAAATCTCTAACTTACTAAACTGGCAACAGAAGTGTCATGTTTGATCCAAACTAGCTGAACTGTAAAAATAACATTTCCAATTTAGCATTTTATTCTAACTTTTGCAATTCTCTGCTTAATAAGTAACCTTAAAAATGTGTAGAATTAGGATTTCCAGTCTGCATGTTGTAATAGATTCGGAGTACTTGGTTGCAGAGTTTACGATAGCAACTTGTTTAAAGTTTCCAATCCCTGCTTGCACACTGTTTAGTACAGACTTTAAATGTTAAAGATTATTTTGCTTTTCCTAACAAAAGGACAATGTTCTCTAGTCTAGAGCATTGCCCAATATTACTAAATGTGTTTCATCTGCCATTAAATTAATCCTAAAATTTAGTTACACAACCACAAGAGTACTCTTAAAACATATAACCATTTTACAATGCGTTACATAATTGTTTATTGAATAAACAGTGTACTGTGTTGAATTGTTAAGAGAACTGCAGATGTTGGGTCATAGAAAAGCAATTGAAAGATTCGACTCAGCTGCTTTTCCAGCCCTGTCATTTCTGAGTACGATTTTTCAATTTGCTTATAAAATGTTACTGAACAAATCCCTTTGTTATGGTTACAGTGTTAGCTACTTGTAAATATATTTCAGAGGGTTCTAAGTATACAAAAAAAAAAAATTTGCACTGATATAAAAAATAAATAAAAAAAAAGTCAGATTTATAAAATATCTACCAACTTCACATCTGCACATTAGGCATGTAAGTTTTAATTAAGTGTTCAGAAAAAAAAAAAAAAACTATGTCTGCATTAGTAATCAATTTCTTAATGAACTTAGAATACCAAAGATCGTAGAAGAACAGGTGACATCTTTATTACTTTGGCAATAGATTTTGGGAAAGTTTCACTAGAGGTCAACGTTAGAACCTATACAGTAGGAGTGTTGTAAATCACCTTTTCTTCCTGTGGCTAAACAGGTGTAGTGAGGTCACACCTTACATGTTGTATGTTACATGGACCCAAATTGCACATGTACTGTAATCAGCAAATTTTAAGAGAATTTCTATATGAAATGCCCATGTAACCAATACATATGGATGTTGCATGTTTCTAATTACATTTTAAGTTTAACTTAATTGTTTATTTACAGTAACAATAATAATTTTAAAAAAAACAAAAAAATTATTTTGCATTACAAGAAAAAAAAAAAAAATAAGTCTGAATCCCTGTCATGAGACATATGTCTACTTTGGAAAAGAAAAAGTTCACAGCTCATGTTAAACAAATATTATATAGTGAATTTTGCCTCATTAAACTATTCTTGCGGAGCCATCTACATAATAAGATGACTTTATTTCTGTTTTATACACCAGAGGCAAAATAAATAAGATATCAGATTGATTTTTCATTCATGAAAAGAGCATAACTTGTTCCAAACAAACAGAGGTTATAGTCACTAAACTGAATTGTACTAATCGACCTTCAGGCCAAAACAGAATTGGGAATGAACCTTATTACTGCTAAATTAGAGATTTATTTTTGACACTTCTGCGTTAATCTACATTCTGTAAATCAGATTGCAGTTTCTAAAACTACTATTACTTAACGTGTGACTTTAGCAGAGATGGGCGTGATTAACTTTATTGGTCAATTTAGAGTTAAATTTGAATGTCAGATCTTTATTACTGTTCAATGCCCACAAGTGTTTCCTATAAATATATATCAACAGGACTAATTCTATTTATAATTTTTTTTTTATATATATATATATATATATATATATATATATATATATATATATATATATATATATATATTTATTATATATATCCTATATATATATAGGAGGAGATAAACATGGCAAAACGTGACTTCCATTTCGAATTAAAAAAAAATATTTAACGTAATTCTAGAACACTACAACCACTACAGAAATTGACTTCAACTCCCATAAGTTTCAGCTTTTGCACCATGTTTAAAGAGGACGCACAAAAGTTAATATAGGATTAAACTTTTCACAAAATATTCACAACCTTCGCTGTTAAAAAAATACTCAGAATTCTTAGACACAAAGAGTTAATAAAAAGTGTTGAACTTTTCCCAGACAAAGTAAGTCATGCTGTTAAAATGACTTTGTGAAATACAGATGCAACTACCCACAATCCCCCTCTGTACCATTTGCCTTTAAAAGGCAGTTAAACCAACAGAAATGTGACATTCACAGCTGTGCCACTTGTCTTGGAAAAGCAACCAATGCCACATGCATTCACAATATACAGTGCTACTCACTATATGAAGAATTGATGGGAATCTAAAGTAAAATAGAAATTAAAGGCCAAAGAAGCTCAACTGGTAAAACAGCTGACTTGGAAAATGTTTCCAGAGCGGCTATTTTGGCCTTAAATTTCACTTTCAATTACTGGACAAATCTCACTTTAGTGAATAATCCAAATAGTCTACTCCTGATATAACCTGCTTAATTAAAGATTTAAACAATTACAGCCTAGTCATTCCTCAGACCATTATTAAAAAATGCATGGACAGTCTGAATATGTGCCAAATATTTAGATATAGAAGGAAAAAAGTTACCAATTCAAATCTTTGATCACAGAATTGGCTTATGTTAGCTCAATATCTTTCTGACTGCCACAAGAAGATTTTGAAAATAATGATTTTTTTTTTCTTTGTACCAAACACAATAAACATGATAAAAGAAAAATCTAACTTAACAGCAACAAACCACAGAATATTTAAAATAAATAAATCACAAGCTATAGAGTTTTTTTTTTTTAACTTAACTGTGAATTGTAGATAATTTCAAGTTTTAGACCAAAATAGTTGAGCTGAAAGAAATGTTCTATTTTGGCTATGTATGCCTTAAATTTCAATAGCCCTTGTCAATTGCCAACAATTCATGGTTTAGCAACTAACTAAGCTTCGAAGTCTGGGAGACAAGGCTGTAAGGTCCCAGATTTGTAATATCAGTGTAATTTAAGGATCCATATTAATATCTTATCTGCCGTCACATTCTATGTTTCTATAATAACATCATCTATAATAAAAATAACACACGTTACTATTATTACTTATTTACTAAAGCCAAGCCACTATCATTACAGTTCAAATTAACTACACCAAAAATGTATTTTAGTTTTATTTCTAGCCCAGCCTTTGACAATCTAATCTTATTAGCAATAACTTCTCATCCTCCAATTTGCAACATGTGTTTCCCAGGATTCCAAATGCAAAAAAAATTAAAAAATAATATAGAAATATATAGTGATACTCTAAGAAGGTATATGGAGGATTACTGGGCAGAAGTCCAAACACTACACAACACCTGGTGCAGCAATGATATCAGTTATGAGAAAATACAATATATACAGTGTGCTATTCCTCTCTTCTTCATTATGCATAAATCACAGGGATTCAATAATGACAGTTGTTTTAAAAAAACTTTTGAATAATAAAGAAAAATGCTGTAATAAAAAACAATGATCTTTTTTTTAAATAAATGGTGTGTGGAATATCTAGCTATTATTTAAAAGAATTATATACATTTAGAATTCTATTGAACACAATATGTCGATTTTTAAATTTAATTTTATTTATTTTTATGATTACTAATTGGCTAATTAAGTGGATCATATACTAAAATGCTGCGGACAATTTGTCAGAACTTACAAATGGACTGTCCAGGATGGGAGGTCATGTGGTAGCTGTGTAAGCCCCTGGTGGCTGCAGTCCACTAGTTCCCCAGAGCAGGTGCAGTTGGAAGGACATGGGGTAGTTGAACTTTGGCAAGATCCGATCAACAGGTGAAAGATAAGGGTGACATTCAGGAGACCTAGCAACGAAAACCTCCTTCCAAGCGAGAACTGCATGTTCAATGATCTGCACTGTATCTACAAGAACTGTGTAGGAAATAGAACGATTCCCAATAATTAGCTTATGATATTATGCACCAGATACTATTGATATCTCCATAACCTTTGGGGAAGAGTCCTCAGAGGGGCTGCTCTGTTTATCATGAGTTCCAGGAGAGCCCTATGGATGCGCTATGTGGAATCAATCCTTCAGATTAGCACATGGGGTAAGTTTCCGAAATGCTGGGGAGGGCAGAAGTCCAATGATCAGAATGCAAGAAGTTATGTCCCAGTAGCAGGTCCAGAGGTCCTTAAAATGCCAGATGACTTGCCCAAGCAGCAGGTCCAAAGGGCCTTAGAATGAAGACTTGTCCAGGAGTCCATACAATGCCAGAAGACCTGGTCAACTAGGGGTCCTTAGACTGAGGACTTTCTCCAGCAGCAGATCCAGAGGTCCTTAGAATGTCAGATATTGTGTCCCATGAGCAGGTCCAGAGGTCCTTAGAATGTCAGATACCGTGTCCCAGGAGCAGGTCTAGAGGTCCTTAGAATGCCAGAAGACTAGTTCCAACAGAAGGTGCAGTGGTGAAGAAAGCTCTGCTTGTAGTGAGCTCCAGACACAGCACAATAACAAACCCAGTGAGAGAGCTCGCTCGCAGATTACATTCAGGCTCACTGTGTACAATGTGGAGTCTGCAGGGTGTCAGCGGGGCTGGGGGGGTTGCTTTGTGAAGGCGGACAGAAGGCAGACCCAAACAGCAGAGCCCCTCACTCCCACCTCGGACTGTTCTCCGACCAGGACAAATACAGCTTCAACTCCAGCAAGTCAAGCAAGCCGCTCGCTGATTGGCTCTCCCGCGTTGACTCCTATTGGGAGCTGTTTCGGAGGCGTTCATTGGCTAGACAGCTTCCCACCAGCAAGTAACACTCATTTTCAAGTGTAAGTTACTTCTTACTCGGCTGGATACGTGGGTGTTCTATAGGAGCTGAGCGGATACATGCGTGCTCTATAGGAACTGAGCGGATACATGCGTGTTCTATAGGAGCTGAGCGGATACATGAGTGTTCCATCTCTATAAGAGCTGGTTGGATTAGTGCGTTCTGTATGTGCTGGATGCTTCCTGTGTGGATGCTGAGTATAGGCAGCTTTTTATATGGTCCTATGGTTATCTAACTGAATGTATTTTCGTCTCATTATGACTGTAGAAAGGTGTTGTGTACAGAATACTTTTATGCACATATATTTTATATACATATAAAATGTACTTATGGATAGACCGCACATGAAAATTGCTGCTCTGTAGAATGCAATAAATCAAATGTGGAAGGCAGGAATTCAAGCAATTACTTTTCTTGCACTTTTCTTTCTCTGCAAATTAACATTGATAAGTGATTCCTGACCAGAAAAAGATAGTGAAAATGTCAAATACATCCAACACTGTAAACTTTCTGCTGAAATAATTTTTTGAGTTGTCAAAAAGAAAGAGTCAAGAATAGACAAAACCACAAAAAACTGAAATCTGGAAAAATCTTGTGCACCTAATCACTATAGTAACATTATCCCCTTAAGGACACAACTTCTGGAATAAAAGGGAATTGTGACGGAATATTTCCGTCATGTGTCCTTAAGGGGTTAATTTGGTGTTAAATACCCCCAAGTCTTTCCAAGCCAATAATATGCTCGTGGTGCTTAAATAGATTTAAAAAAAATATCAAAATTGCAACCAGTAATTTCATTTTGCGTTGTTCTTAGTGATGTAGTTTCTGCAGGGAATTAATTGCCTATTTATTACAAAGTTAAGGCCAAAAAAACCCCACTCTAAATAAATGCCCGTAAAACCACAGCTATATTTTAGCTTATATTGTGCAATCCAGTTTTGAATTTACTGCAATTCTTTTAGGGTTCTTAAAGGACCACTAAAGTCACTCTGACCATTTAATCTCAGTGAAGTGGTCTGTGTGCACCGACCCTGTGGTTTTAACTCTGCAAACTCTTAAACTATGTGGTTCGGAAAAAATTCTCTGAAAGTTTAGATTGCAATACAAGAATGAAACGGCGTAACCTGCGCCCCAAATTGTAAATACAGATGGTTATACATACATAAATGTCCAAATATGTAGTACTGTGGACGTCCGAGATAAACAGAGAAAAAAAATCTATAGTGCAATATGGTAAATGTGACTTATAAGTGGTGGATAATAAAATGTCGCTACCACTCACATTCTTATGAGCTAACTCAGAGCTCTGCAGTTTTTTCGCATGGACGGAACAATCCCCGTCTAAGGATATTTGTTGTTATGGTAACCCCAGATTCTTCAAGTAAAGTGCATTGTGCAAGGCATATGTGGAGGCAAATCTGGAAACAAACTCCAATGGTGAAGTAAGTACAAGTTGTGAAATAAAATAAATAGGTAAGGTAATGTACTCACATTTGTTAGAGCAGAACTTGCTCTAGTTTAACCAACATGGGTGGTATAATCACCACCTTGGATGTGTTGGTACCAGAAAGTAGTTGGTTGATGCAAGTAAAAGTAATATATATGAAATATAAAATAAACTTTAATTTGCCAAAGAAAAATAATTAAAAACAGTATATAAATATATAAAGGAGTCCCACTTGATGCGTTTCGCCACTCAAAGGGCTTCTTCAGAAGTGTCAGCTTAGATTGGTCATTGTATCCTCAGTTTTGCAAATTCAGATTAACCCTTTAACGCCGTTACGGCGTTCTATGCTTTCCCCATTTAGTAAATAACCCTGTAAATGTCTATCCCTTAATACTGCATGTGAATTTCTCATGTTGGCTTTCTACAATTATCATGTTGTATAGGCCATGTTAACAATAAACGCATAGAACGCCGTAACGGCAGCAGCCCCCAGAGCACTCGGGATACTCACCTCCGCTGTAATCCTCTTTGGGAGGACTGCCTGACAGCCCAGGCAGCCCTCCCACGGCAAAAGAAGCCCCCGGGGGCCATGTGATCGCTCTCAAAGAGCAAGCACACGGCCCCCTATAGCTGGCTGTGGATCTGCCAGCAGGGGGCCTGTCTGAAATGTCAAACAGTAGCTGGTGGGAGCTGTAAAAAAAAATATATTAGACATGTGTAAAATTAAAATAGAAATGTTTTTAAAATATATATATTTTAAAACATTTCTATTTTAATTTTACACATGTCTAATATATTTTTTTTTACAGCTGACGACGTTAATATATATATGTAACATCATACAAAATGTATTTTAATATTAATATAAGTACATATATTAGTATTAAAATACACTTAGAATGACGTTACATATATATACGTATAATTACAATAATAAATAAATAAAATAAAATAAATAAGTAAAATATTGAAACAAAATTTAATATAAATTATATATTCATATGTAATTTCATTCATAATGAGCACATGAAAACTTACTCAAGGAGAACAGGAGATGGTATGTTTCTAGTGCTTGGGATGTATTGATGGAATGAAGAAGGCAGCTCGGACAACCCAAACCGAAGTCTTTATTTTCCAGTCAAAAATGGGAAGTGTACACATAAAGGTGGGAGTAGCGCCTTAAAAGATCCTCACGTATGGGCAATATGTAATGAAAGAAGGGAACGGTGATAGAGTATACAATGTAGCATGTTCAATATTGATTGGAGATATAAAAATGTATCAGTTATCAGTTAGCTGTGCTCCTGTGGGTACGATCCAAGCGTATAGATCTAGGATGTATCTCTTGATCCATATCTTCTGGATAATACCCTATTGGATTAAGAGATACATCATACATCCGTAGGTTGGAATCATACCGCCCAGGCACACAATAGTAGAGCTAACTGAGAGCTCTACACGCTATACACAACTAGCTATACAATCTCCAATAAATATTGAACATACTGTATTATATACTTTATCACTGTTCCCTTCTGTCATTATATATTGTCCACACCTGAGGATCTTTCAAGGCGCTACTCCCTCCTGTAAGTGTACACTTGAAAACTCGTGCCATTTGGTATATTCCAGGGTATGTAAGTTTGGTTGTTAATTTGAAAAAAAAACATTTTGGTAACTCTGAGATCACTATACTCAAAGCCCACCAGAACAACAGAACATTGCCACACAACTTTTATACATGACCCACATTGTTCGTTCTCTAAAATATTTGAAGGTATGTTCATAACATAGCTCCTTTGAAATTGCATTATTTGCTATTGCATTGCACAAATATAATTGTTTTTTTTTTTTTTTTTGAATTTCAAATTTAAAGTCAAAATAGCCAAACTGCAAAATGTCTCATAAACAGCTATGTTTCCAGATCAGCTACTTTGGCCTTAAATTTAAATTTCACTTTGAATTATCAACGGTTCTCACCTTAGTAAGTAACCCTGTAAATGTCTATCCCTTAATACTGCATGTGAATTTCTCATGTTGGCTTTCTACAATTATCATGTTGTATAGGCCATGTTAACAATTAAGGTGTGGCACGACATAGATTCTTTCTTTTCATTACCAACCTCCTATATGCAATCTATACATTACCACTATTGTGTAGATTTGTCCAGCTGCATAACACACAAATGGACAAGTGATTGACTTCTTCCCTGGGGAGCCTTGGGGTCATTTTGGATGCTGTCATGCATTAAATCAATATCCTTATTTCAAAGAGGACAAAATTACTGACCAAAGTTCGGCTTCAGAAGTATGACAGTGTGTCCTTTGTTACAAGATGCGTACTGCGATTTTGGTTACCCACATTATATGTGCCAGGTGGCATGAAAAGATTTCGGTTCCTGATAGTGTAACCCTTAATAGGTCTTCACACAGCTTTGGGGCTAAATACATTTAATATCGTTACTAGATACAATTTTAAGATCTATATACAAAATAATGTGGCATGGTAAGTTTGTGATGTTTTGAAAACGTTCTGTGTAGTTTCAACGTTCTTTTCAGTTTTTAAAAATACTTCACGTGAAATATATCATATACACTTCAAATGTTGGAGTATTTAAAATGATATACACATAACTGGATTCAAAGGGATCTATTAAAAAAATATCACAGAATCCCCTTCAGACAGGTATATCACCATCAAATGTATTGGCCTAATTTAAGATGACCACCAGAAATAAGTGCAAGCCACATACTGAGTAAGTCAGAATGCCTTCCCCCCGCCTTCCCCAACCCACCCCCAGTTTAGGTTATCCAAAATAATCTAGGCCCATCCAGAGGACGTACGAACTGTAAGATCCATACATTGTATTTTTCACATGATCTAGATATGTCCATATTTTGCAATACAGCCTCCAATTGTGTCTGGATGTAGTTTCGGTTAAAAATTGTCTTGATGCAACCAAACAGCCAAATTTGGAACTGAATTATGAAAATATGCAAGTGAATGCTCAAAGATTTAGGCAATATCTGCCTGCAAATTTGGTTCAACCTAACTTTGCAGAAAATGACCAGTTGTGATACCAAGCTACTACACTGCGGAAATCTGTCATTTGCACCATTTAGATAACTAATGTCTAGTTAAAACAGGTTAACTCTCAGATAGATCTATTTTACCCCAATAATATCCCAAAATGCACTTGAATTTACTTTGTAAATTTTCTCTCTAAGAGATTTGATGAGTGAATCTGGTTGAAATAGGTGTTTGATAAATATGCAAATACTACATTTTATGTAGGATATACATGTGAGAAATACAGATTTTCATCCAAACATCAGTTCATAGAGACTGAGATGTACCTTTAGAAAGTATGAAAATTACAAAACCGGGTAAAGTTTGGTCATATTAACCAGATTTTAGGCATCCGGACCAAATTCAGACTTTAGTTAAAAACTACGTGTTCAACATTCTGTTGCCAAATGACATTCACTCACTCCCACAACGCATGGTAAGAGTATGGCTACATGTGCATTCATTGACATCCATGTTAAAAAACCACCATTGACGTTTTCCTGTGCCAGGGAAGCTGGCTTTAAAAATAAAACCAAGAAGCAACATG